TTGGAGACCAACCTTCACAGTTTGGAGGCTCACGCTGGTGAGGAGACACCTTTAGTTCCCAAGGCCTGTTCTGATAGGATGGACGTTACGGGACTCTCAAGGATTCCAGTTAGGAGGATTGGAATTAACAAACTGATTTCAGTGGTGAAGGGTTAAATGAGTGAGTGAACCCACTACCAAGGATGAACTCTGCTAACTTTAAAAATCAGCTGCTCTAAATAAGCATGAAGGTCAGAGAGGAGCTCTAGGATGGACATGGATAAAGGAACTGTAACGTAGAGGTAAAGTAGGGCAGGGCCAACGTTAGCAGCTGTCATACGGTCCATCTGAAATGTTTGAATTTCATTTGGTGTGTTATATTTTGTGACAGGTTAGAGCACAGTCTCATGTTAGAGTTTTGTCATGTGAACATTGAGATACCTCTCAAAATAAAGAATAATTTTAATCACAATTGAAACAATCGTAGAAAAACCTCGTCCAATCAGTGTGCACGTCCTGTTCTCACTGATTGGATAAACATCCCTCCATCAAACTTTGTGCAATGGTGCACTCGCCCCTGTTTTCGCTGTAGATCACTGACCTTGACCATGCAGATCTCCTCAGCATCAACCACCTGGTCTCTCTCCTGTTCCTCACTCACTCTCTTAAAAAAATCTTCGTATATCCATCTAGCCAACACATTGAAAAACATTTTCAGTTTCTAATGCCAAAAAAAATGCTACTAAGCCATTTAGTTTTCACTCACAATAACTAAAACAGCCATTGGTGGATAGATGGTACAGAATATGGACAACTGTTAGCCTAATATAGCCTATGTTTGGTTGCTCATGATGATGGCATTTTCCATAATGTCACATTAAGCTGCCAAAATTTATGTTAAAGTTAGATGAGTACAATATCTCCTTTCTTTCCCATAGGTAAACATAGGAAATATTAAGCAATTGACAACCCACATGGAAAGAATTCATATAAACATATAGGTTTTAATATATGTTTTGATATAGCTTTTGAATATATGTGACATTATAAAACTGGCTGTTTACTATATTATAGATACATATATGTACCTATAATATAATATATATATATTATAGAAAAAATATATAATATAGAAAAATGGTCAATAATATACACATTCGGCCATATTCTGATTCAGGTTTTTAGTGTGGAGTGATTTTTGTGCCACCAACTGGAGCGTGCAGTGATCAGTCTGCAAGAGCACAACCTGCTCTGCAGTCATATGCGGCCCTCTCTCTGCATGCTCAACTCTGTCTCTGCCTGCACAAATCTCCCTGCTGTTGCTCAGTTTGCAATTTACAAAGCAATGTAGCCTCTCCGTCAGCCAATCAGACAGCTCTCTATTATGCAATCAAAGCATGTCCAGGAAATACTGCCAGGAAAATTGCACTTTTTTCAGATAAAGAGGACTTTATATAATTATATTTATTTACCATGCTTTCGTTCTTTTTAAACACAGAAACAGTTTTGTTTCTTCAGCGTCAGCCTGAAGAAGCCGGCAGCCGTCGGCGAAACTGTAGCTACAAAACAGGTAAACAAAACTGTTTCTGTGTTTAAAAAGAACGAAAGCATGGAATTAGAAAGACACAGCAAGAACACACCTAAGATATATTTATTTAGGTTGATTAACCCTCCTCTTTTCCTGGGACATTTCCACTGTTCACTTCCTTTTACACATCAAGGGATCATTTATGTCTAACCAAACAGAGAAGAAGCACTTTATATGTTGAAATTAAAAGTCCTCTTTAACTGAAAATAGTGCAATTTAACAGTTTTAGGAATGGGCAATGTGTCTTTTCTGGAAGTCAAATATGGTCACTCTAATCATGACACATGAATTACAACAAAGTATCTTGCAGGCAGTGGATGGTGACTGGTAGCTAACCAGCAGCAGAAAGCAGTTCAATTAGCTGTTAAATGGGTGTTTTTCTGTAAAGCAGTATTTCCTGGACATGCTTTGATTGGATAAAACAGAGCTGTCTGTGATTGACTGTTGGAGAGGCTACTTGTTGAGGAGAGCAGGGAGAGATTTGCATCGCAGAGACAGAGTTGAGCCCACAGAGGGCTGCAGCTCCTGCACACAAGCGCAGAGCAGGTTCTGTTTGTGCAGACTCATTACTGTACGCTCAAGTTGGTGGCACTCAATGAACTGTCTGGCTCGTTAATCACGTCACTTCAGGGGAGTTTTCAGACCATTTAACTATGGCGCGGCTTTTCATTATGGTTTGCGGCATGTAAACATGCTAGCGGACTTAGCGTTAGCATGTCGGTGCGGTAGCATTTTCCTCTCTCGTCTGAACTATAACCTTGAAATATTAACGGTGTGCTGCTGTTGCTGTCTTACCCTAATGTGATGTTGAGTGACTTACAAGAGCCCTGAGCAGGGTTTGCTCATCAATATAAAGGTTTTGCAGTATAACCCCTGCCCCTGACTTGTCAACAAAGCTGCCGGGCTTAAGGGGAGGAAGTCCTTTCTTGATACTTCCTGTGTGCGACGGTGTAGTTCTATATTCATTAATTATTATTTCTGTTTCAGACTAAAAAAAAAACTCATGTACCAACTACACGTGTCGTGATTGTGTTGAGCATGTAGATGTGAACAAATAAAAAAAAGTTAACTGAAAAAATAAAATAAACCAAAATGAAGCCCCCCTAAAACAGACCTAACGACGTCAGCGGCAAGTACTTTTACTTGTACGTGGGTAAAAAATTATCAAAGTATTGGTACTCGTACTTAAGTAGGAAATTTTAGTACTCTTTCCACCTCTGCTGCAGAGGAACTGAGAAACAGCATTAAACCTTTTGCTGTTTGCTTGTTCAAGTTTAATTCAAATAGAATATTTAAGACATCAATTATATAATAATTGTATGTATATTTAATAGGGGTGGGCCGGTACGCCCCTGTGTATTCGAATGTGTCGGTACGCCCTTGTCGGTCCGGTACGCACTTTCGCACCGAGTTTCTACTCTAATTGCGTTGCACATTAACCTACTGCATGCTAACTAAACACGTAGTGGAGCGCCGCAGAAGTTATGGCAAGCACCTCGGGAGAGGAAGAGCTCGAATATCCACCGTTGTCATTAAAGTCTCCTGTTTGGGAACACTACGGCTTCCCGGTGAGATATGTAGCAATGAACACCTGTATCCCCACATTGCCAAGCTAGCAAAATGCTACCTTGCCATACTAGCGTTCTCTGTCCCCAGCGAGAGGGTTTTTTCTACTGCAGGAGATATCGTAACAGCCAACAGATCTGCCCTTTCTGCAGACAATGTGGACTAATTTCTGGCAAAAAACATGAAGGTTGAGTGAACCTAAAAAGGCAACAAGCTGGAACTTCTAATGTTGCAGAATTTTTTTGTTAACCTATTTCAATCTGAATAATTCCATTTGTTCATTCATTTACACTTTGTTCTTCAGAAGAAAACAGCACAGTAATCATCTTGCAGATTCCTAAATAAATATTTAAACTTGCATATATGTATTTTTTATCTTATTTTTTCTCAGACTATATGTTAGAGTTTACAAGAGATTATAAGAATAGTTGCACTTTAAAAATTCTTAATGTTTTGCTTGTATGCACAAAATAATTATTTATTTCAGTAGTTAAGCCAGCTCTTTCAGTTGCACTTTGTTTATTTGTAAAGAGCAAGCCAAATGTTGATGCTGCATTTTTCCAATAATAAAATATTGAAACCAGTATATATTTTTATGTTAAACATTATGTATGTTAATTTTCATTTACTGGGAATATCTCGCAGAATGTAATGCAAGTAAATGTCCAACTTAAATGTAAATAAAGAATTTACTGTTTACACAAAAGAAAAGCATTTTTAATTTTTTTTACTGTACCGAAAACGTACCAAACCGTAATAGTAAACCAAAGTACGTACCGAACCGGGATGTCAGGCGTACCGGCACACCCCTAATATTTAACAGTCATGTTAGAGATAAAAGGCAGAATAGATTAAAAAAAAAAAAAGAAAGAAACATTTTAACTTTATCTGGTTACACTGAAGCTTCACGTCCCACGGTGAGCAGTCTCTGTCCCACATTTGGTGAGTTGGGATCTGGTCATCCTACTTAAGAGTGATTACAGTAATTTGGAATATTTTCAGATGTTTTTATGTTTGGTGTTTTGTGAATTAGTTTCATAATAATAGTTAATTATTATATGATGATCCCTAATCATTATCTGATTAGTTATTTCAGTTTATTATATTTAGCTCTCTTGAACAGTAGGACTGGTAGAAAATTGCTTGCATTTTGCAAAAACATTTTTTTTAAATATTCTCAATAAAATAAAAGTATGTAAATGTCAGAGGTCACTACAAAACCCACTGTAGAATAGATGCACATCTGCAGCACGTGAGGACCTTGTTTGGGGGGAATTATTTTAGTTGTCACTTTTTCTCAGCCTCGGAGTTCGTGGCTATGAAAATAGATGCATTTAAACTAAAAATATATATATATATTGTTCTTCTATGCGCGCAGTTTGCATTTTAGTACCACGTGGCTTTACGTATTATTGCTACAGCCTCGCTGTCCGGGATGTGACGTAACCCAACATGAAGTGGAAAACGAAGCGATGCAGTATTTAAAAACAATATATGAGTGTTTAACAATTAGTTCTTTGCGATAGTCTTAATTTTATTTTTACAAGGTCTTAAACAGTCTTGAAAAAGTCTTAAATTTAATTTAGAGATTCCTGCATATACCCTGCTACGCCACTGAGTAATAATGAGTGATTTTTTTAACTTTTACTATGTTTGTTATGTTTACTCAGCTGGATTAGTGTGGTATTTCTTTAGTGGGGGAGGGCAGTAAATGGACCCATATTTACACACCACATTCTTTGTTGTACAACAGTTGCATCATCCTGATTGAGGCTCTTCTCCACCTGCTCCACACAAATGATCTGACTTGTGCAATGCTTTAGTAACTGGCCTGTCAACATGATTATCTCTCCGACTTTCTTTTCAGGTTGTCAGCGTCCGATTGGTCTTTCCAGAGGAAAAGCAAAAGTGTGTTACTACAGCGGCTGGTATTACTGCCAGAGCTGCCATCAGGATAACTCTTTCCTCATCCCAGCACGCCTGCTGCACAACTGGGACACTAGTAAGCACAAGGTAAGTAAACACACATAAGTTATGAAGCATTCATATTTTCCTAAAAAAAACTTAGCACTAGATGTGTTTACTTTTCTTAGCAAGAGCTAGATAATATTCACACAACCTGGTGCAACGCAATATCCAGAGGGCATCATTTTAAATCAGGATAATGAGTAGCTAGCAGCCCGCCTGGCCTTGTCCAAGTGTAAGAGAAACTCAGAAGGCAGGTCTAAAGCTCACAAATGAACATGTTAGATCCTGTCTGTTTAATCTCTACAAAGACGCAGGATCTTCGTGGCTTTTTTTAAGTCATTACAAGCATGGAAAGCACAGCTTGTTGAGGATTATCTGTATATCAGAGCTCCTGTGGTGTTTTGAACTAAATGTAAACTCCTGAATGTCCCTCCAGGTGTCTAAACAGGCCAAGGAGTTTCTGGAGTTCGTGTATGAGGAGCCATTGCTGGATATCCAGCAGCTCAACCCATGTCTGTATGAACACTGTGAACCTTTAAGCACAGTGCTGCGTCTCCGTCAGCAGCTGCAGTCGCTGAGAGCTTACCTGTTCAGCTGCAGGGCAACCATCGCTGAAGATCTCAGGCGGAGGTATGCTAGCTGTAGCGACGTCCTTCTCCAGATGCATGTCCACAGATTTGCTTCTGATTTCATAAAATGAACCAGTTTTTTTTTTTTTTGGTAAATATTGTCATGAAAAGAGAGTGCACCAAAAGGATAAGAAAGCACACGAAGGAGCATTTTCAAGATATAGCCCTGATACTGAAGTTACTGAATAACACTTTAGTCAGAGGTTATACATTTGGTGTGAGCAAAATTTGAAATTTATAGAAATGTTGTTAAACTTTATTCTCATTCTATTTGTAATTTGCTCCTTCCTAATTTGTCTCACGTTGTTCAAAACTTCTGGCTCACTGCTAACCAAATTGAGATGAGTTCCAGACACCTCCGTGACAAACATAAGAGATGTTTATTTGCTCGGGAGCAAAAAGATTATAGGTTTAAGGATTAAAAACGCTGTATCCAAAAAGTCCCGATTAATGGCACAGCTCTGCCTCCAGCTGGCTTCAGTCAGCGTCTACGGCCTCCTTAAAATGTGATCTCTGGGTAGTGTTTCCCAACTCCGTATCATGATTTCAGAATTCAGCTAAATAATCATAGTATAGTTGCAGGGATTGCATTTACCGAAGCCGACGGATTACAATTCAGGTGAGGTGGGTAAAAGCTTCAAAAAGCCACAAAGATGCCAAGTCTGTAACGTCACACTTACTAATGCAGATGACAGACTTTCCACAGTAAGGTAAGTAAAATAACCAAAATGAGATTTTCATTAGAGTTCTTTAGCTTCATCTCTGGGCGCAGTACTCAGAGCATCTCACCAGCTAGGAGCTGACTGGGCATGGAAGCGTTTTGGAGGCCACTGTGGGTCACAATTGGTGTAGGTGAAGCACCGGTGCACCAGAAGTTCAACCTCCATGTGAAGCGACTGTTTGAGGGATTAGCTATCCCCTCAGAGTCTTGCAAACGTCTGATCTTTATTGGAGAAATGTTCCCTTTTGTAACTCTGTTGGGGATTTATTTATACAAAGTTCTGTATACAGATAATTAGATAACAGTATAAATCTGTTTTAATTAAAATTTTCGTAGTTTTTATTGTGCTTGTGAAGGGCTACTTGATTTTTATCTTCAAAGGTGCCATACAAATGAACAACCATCTGATATCTTCAACCCTCATTGAATAGTGCCAGGGAATGTTTAGGGGTATATATATTTATTTATACAACAGGTAGTTCCGACCGAGTGATTTGATTGGTCAAGAGACTTTCCAAGAGTGCTGATATTGGACATTAACAGCACTGGGACTGTTTAAAAACAGTATCACTCCGCTGTGCACAGGCGTTCTAACTGTTATTGTAGAAAATGTTTGTGTTGCCTAGCAACAGCCTAGTCTGAGTCTCCGTTTCGTGTTGGGACTATTTGTGTTGGCGGAGCCTGATAAATGATTAAATAAATGAACAAATCATAATCTGTTGTTGCTCATTGCTGTTATAAAAATAAAATGAGCAGGTAGAACTGTTGTATAAAAGCAATATCACACGAGAGGTCGTGCGTTGTTGCTGAACATCAGCACTGGTGTGATATCTACGGTACTCGGCCTGCGGCCTCGTGCCTACGACCAAATCACACCAGTGCTGATGTTCAGCAACAACAACGCACGACCTCTCGTGTGATATTGCTTAAATATATTTTTATTTATATATATATATATGTAAAATTTTTGTTTGTTTGTTTGTTTTTTTAACTGATTGAAACTTAAATGAAAAATATTGCAGTTATAACTTTTTTCCCCATATTGCCCAGCCCTATTAGAGCAACGTAGTAAGTGGCCAAACCCAATATACAGGTGCTGGCCAGTAAATTAGAATATCATCAAAAGGTTGAAAATATTTCAGTAATTCCATTCAAACGTGAAACTTGTACATTATATTCATGCAATGCACACAGACCAATGTATTTCCAATGTTCATTACATTTAAATTTGATATTCATAAGTGACAACTAATGAAAACTCCAAATTTGGTATCTCAAAAAATTAGAATATTCTGAAAAGGCTGAATATAGAAGACACCTGCTGCCACTCTAATCAGCTGATTTACTCAAAACACCTGCAAAGGCCTTTAAAAGGTCCCTCAGTCTTGTTTTGAAGGCACCACAATCATGGGGAAGACTTCTGACTTAACAGCTGTCCAAAAGACAATCATTGACACCTTGCACAAGGAGGGCAAGACACAAAAGGTGATTGCTAAAGAAGCTGGCTGTTCGCAGAGCTCTGTGTCCAAGCACATTAACAGACAGGCGAAGGGACGGAAAAAATGTGGTAGAAAAAAGTGTACAAGCTCTAGGGATAACCGCACCCTGCAGAGAATTGTGACGACAAACCCATTCAAAAATGTGGGGGAGATCCACAAAGAGTGGACTGCAGCTGGAGTCAGCGCTTCAAGAACCACCACGAGGAGACTCATGAAAGACATGGGATTCAGGTGTCGCATTCCGTGTGTCAAGCCACTCTTGAACATGAAACAGCGCAAGAAGCGTCTCGCCTGGGCCAAGGACAAAAAGGACTGGACTGATGCTGAGTGGTCCAAAGTTATGTTTTCTGATGAAAGCAAGTTCTGCATTTCCTTTGGAAATCAAGGACCCAGAGTCTGGAGGAAGAGCGGAGAAGCACAGAATCCACGTTGCATGAGGTCCAGTGTAAAGTTTCCACCGTCAGTGATGGTGTGGGGTGCCATGTCATCTGCCGGTGTTGGCCCACTCTGTTTCCTGAGGTCCAGGGTCAATGCAGCCGTCTACCAGGAAGTTTTAGAGCACTTCATGCTTCCTGCTGCTGACCAACTTTATGGGGATGCAGACTTCACCTTTCAACAGGACTTGGCACCTGCACACAGTGCCAAAACCACCAGCACCTGGTTCAAGGACCATGGTATCCCTGTCCTTGATTGGCCAGCAAACTCGCCTGACCTTAACCCCATAGAAAATCTATGGGGTATTGTGAAGCGGAGGATGCAATACGCTAGACCCAACAATGCAGAGGAGCTGAAGACGACTATCAGAGCAACCTGGGCTCTCATAACACCTGAGCAGTGCCACAGACTGATCGAGTCCATGCCACGCCGCATTACTGCAGTTATTGAGGCAAAGGGAGCCCCGACTAAGTATTGAGTGCTATACATGCACATTCTTTTCATGTTCATTCTTTTCAGTTGGCCAACATTAGAGAAACAAACATTTTTTCATTGGCCTTTAGAATATTCTAATTTTCTGAGATACCAGATTTGATGTTTTCATTGGTTGTCACCTATAAATATCAAAATTAAACGTAATAAACATCGGAAATACATTGGTCTGTGTGCATTGCATGAATATAATGTACAAGTTTCACGTTTTGAATGGAATTACTGAAATATTTTCAACCTTTTGATGATATTCTAATTTACTGGCCAGCACCTGTAATGTGAATAAATCAAGCCTTTGCTGAAGGTCTCTGGTAACTGTAGAAAGACATTTCCAGCAGAAAACTAATTTGGTGTTTTGTTGTTTCCTGCAGCTGAATTTGTGGCGATTATTTAGAAAATCGATCCGAGCTTTCATGGAGAGTTGTTTCTGACTCAGTGACGTTTTTGGTCTAAAACACCTCCAACATCCCCTGAGCGGATGTGTGTGAGTCTGAGTTTGTATGTGTACGTTACTATAACTTTTATCTTCATGCATTCCTGTGTGTTGGTCAGACGGCGACGACTGTTTATCTGAGTGGGGTCCCACACTGAAAGCCTTGTCTGTCTGCTGATGGATGCTTCCCGGCCCTGGTCCAGGTCACTAATACTTTCTGATCCAACAGCATTTCTACGGGAGGATCAGCCAGTAGACTCACATTTTTACAGGTTTACAGTTGGTTTAAAGCACCAGAGGATATCATGTTTATATTGTTGCTTAAAAAAACAAATAGCAAGTTTTCTAGAGGCACTGCACAGAAAATTGTCTTTTTGGATTATTAATTAGAGACTTGGCTATCATTAATGAATGAAATGTGGGCTTTAACTGACTTGTGCCACCTATCTGTTCTGCATAAACAGTTTATCAGTAGAATTCTCTCTATAAATACTCCCTCTTAATTTAATAAAGTAATGTTTTACATAACTGGCCACTGACTGAGCAATAAAAGAACAACAATCAACCTTTTGAACAACACATTTTAAGTGAATAACAAGTACCTGGAACTACTACTATTTCTAAGGAAATCCCCAAATGAGGCGTTTCTCCTCGGGGCGGCATCTTGGAGTTTTGTGTTTACTCCTGTCTCATTAGCTAAAGCCAACCAGTGCTCCACCACTTCCAAACAAAGCAGGATTGATGAAGCTTGTGGCACTAAAACCGTCCCGAACTCATCAGTCTATGTCAGGAGGATCTGAAAAGAGTTGTCTGCTTCGTACCTGCTGAGATCTGTAGACAGAATACACACAACCGTCTAACGGCTGTGAGGGGGAGTTTTTGTGGCCACCTTTGTAGGAACAAGAATGCTCCTGAAACAGGATACAGCAGCTGTTTTTATAGGTCAGGGTGAGACACAATCAGATGTAAATAAATAAGTGATTGTGGCACATGAAGCCCAAATCATCACCCCTCCACCACCATGCAGACAGCTGCTAGTTTATTATAGTGTTGGAAGGTCATGAGCTTTGGGAAGTGACCAAAAGAATGAGATCACAAATACAAGCGGCGGAAATCAGTTTTCTCTACATGGTGTCTGGGCTCTCCGTTAGAGATAGCATGGGAAGGTGGTTATCCGGGAGGGTCTCGGAGTAGATCCGCTGCTCCACATTGAGAGGAGCCAGTTGAGGTGGCTCGGGCATCTAGATGCCTCCTGGGCATGCCCAATTGGGATGAGGCCTAAAGGAAAACCCAGGACACACTGGAGGAATCATGCTTCTTGGATGGCCTGGGAATTCTCCTGTAGGAGCTGGACCAGGAGGTTTGGGAGAGGGAAGTCGGGCCTCTCTGCTTAGGCTGCTGCCCCCATGACCAGGGGGTGGGTGGACAGGCAGTCGGTCGGTCATCCTGTTCTTTTTTCCAGTTTCTCCGAACGTCGCGGTCAGATATTAGTTAGTTTGCTGGGATGTCCCCATAGAAAACAAATGTCTTTGTAGATCAATAGCTTGTAAATGACCTTTAACCATTCTCAGGCTGATAGCCGTTTACAGTTTCTTATCTAAGATCTTGTGTTAACACACACCTTGATGCTCCAGACCAGCCAAAATGAGAGGTTTTTACACTGATTGTGATCATTCAAACATTACATGCGACACTCACCAGAAGCACCAATGTTTGCAGACAAAACTTTGGTTTGCTTTAGAGATTACTCCGACCCCGTGCTCCACAGTCGGTCATGTCAGACCAGACCCACCTTCAGTACGCAGTCGTAATGCTCAGGTGACGGCAGAGTTTTAATGACAGGTGTGTCGGCTAAAATGGAAAACCCCTCAGCATATTTATTTAAGATATAATTGAAGCTCCCGAGGTCTTACAAATAAAAACATTACTTGTTAGAATGTGTGTGGATTTGCATACATGCACTAATCTTAGTCTGATGTTTGTTATCTAATCTGAGAACGTGTTGGCTCTCAAGTGCTTTTATCCAGATCACCACACAATTCTTTGAGGATGTGCTCGTCTCAGCACAATCTGAGTTTGTGTGTGTGTGTGTGTGTGTGTTGACTCATGAATGCTGATGTGGTAACCATTGGTAACGTTCCAAACAGAGTGGATTATCAGTCAGGCCTATCATCGTTAGTGTCTGGATCACGCGTACACACACATCCCTGTGTTTTACTGCCACTCATCACAGCTTTAGACGGGATTTAACATGGTGCCTTCCATCTTAGTCACTGGAGGGAAAACTCGACACACACACACACACACACACACACACACACACACGCACGCTTGTTATTCTGTAATTAAACTAATGGATATAATAAATCCCTACATCAACCCCACTACTTAACCCCAACCGTACCTCATTAATCTGTTAATCAGTCTTCTTTTTCCTTTTATTTTTATGTCGTAGGACTGAATCTTTATTCCATTACTGTCGAACAGAAAAGCTGCTGGGTGGAAAATGGCTCAGTAAATGTTGTCCTTGTGTCTCTGACAGGATTTTTCCCAGGGAATACCTGCTACAGCACATTCACCTGTACTCCCTGGCTGACCTGCAGCAGGTAGACACACACACACACACACACACACACACACACACACACACACACACACACACACACACACACAAACATCACACACACACACACACACACACACACACAGTCACTCTCTAAATGTGTGCCTGTCCACCTCTTTTTGTTTCCAGTAAAAGAATTTCACTAAAAGAATTTCTTTTTTTCCGTTTCACATGAAAGACACATTTTTGTAGCAAAGCTGGAAAAAGAAAGGACTCATGCCCTGGCCCCTCAGCGGTTCAGCATCGAGCCGTCAGACTGGGTTGGGGGTCCGAGGAAAGCGACCAGAAATGACTGAAAAGTTCTTTTGTTTGTCATTTTGTTCATTATGTAGCACCCTGCCCCATTTTTTCTTCTTTCATCCCGCTCTGACGCAGACCTCGGCCTCAGACTCTCAGTGAAAGAGGTTGGACCCCCTCTCCTCCTCCTCCACTCCCACACTCTGCGTCTCTCTGCTTCACTAATTGGTCACATTCAGAATCAACAGGCAGAAAAACAAAGCGTGACATCCCTCCATTCTTCCCAACATCCCCTTGGCCTCACACACACTCTGCACACACATGTGTGTGTACGTGTGTGTGTGTGTGTCTTTCCCTGCTAGAACTCGCTCACAAACCCCCAAACCAGGGATTTTAGTCCTAATTCCAACAAGACGAGTCTTTGATAGAGTCCGCTCGGCTCCCCCTCCTCCCCCTCGGTCATAGATTCTCGAGCACTCTGCCTTTTAATTGGTTTTCCATATTAACAAGCTTGTTTCTTTTGATTCACCTTCTGAATAAAGTGGCGCACTTAATCAGCGTGGCTTTTTTTGTTCCAGCTCAGAGGTCAGTGAAGGCTGAGCTCCTCTGGCTAAAGCCGGACCACGCTAGTCTTTTTACCTCCTGACAAATAGCCTCCTCCCAGACCCTTCATTAGGAACCAGATCATTTTGTTACAAGCCATATGTGTTTGTCCACACTCTCCTTCTGCTGCCTTCACGGATGATTTCTAAGGTTTTGTTTGGACTCTTAAAGCGGTACGGAAATGTTTGTGTGTTTGCTTCCCACGGTGACACCCTGGCATTCCCTGTATGCCAGGCATGCCTCTCCACTCACACTTGTCCAGACACACAGAGGCCTCTTAAGTAAATGTTAGGTGTTCTGAGAAAGGCTTCCAGTTTCTCCTCATGAGTGTGGGAGGAGCGACCCTCCACAACTCTGCCTCTTACACATTAAGTTAATGCTGGTTCTCGCTGCTCATAGAAAACTGTTTCACCTTTATGTTGCTTTTTTGTTATTGAAAAGTCCAGATTTGGCTACTTTGTGCCATATTTTTGTAATACCTCCACCTGCCCGACGTCTCTGCTTCAAATCGGCGTCCATATTGGAACACCTTTATTAATACACACAAGTACTGTACCGATAATCCATAATGGTGCTGTGGTGGTGTCATTTTACCTGAACTTTTGCTTATGTGTCACCAGCTAGTTGCCAAAACTCCCAAATGGAATCATTTTATGTTTTTAGACTCCCACTGATGCAGTAGAATTTGGGCCGACTGTTCTACAAACTGATCTACCGTAATTTCCAGACTATAGAGCGCACCTCAATATAAGCCACATCAACAAAAAAAAAGTTTTCTACACACACACGACGCTCTCATATATAAGCCGCGGCGCAGCAGCCACATGCAGGTCTCCGGCGCACAGCGCATGTACGGCCATAACATAAGATAATTAGACAGAAAGACGCTACACGTAGGTTTTTCGTCGTTGTTTTAATTCAACAAAACGAATTTTAAACATGGGTGAACGTGCCTGCAAGTTTAGAAAAGAAAACAGCACAGATAGCATTCATATTTCTGGATGGTTATAAAATAAAAACAGAACTGACACGTTATTACCGGTAATTTGCATGTTTAGAAGAAAAGAACAGCGATGACACAGCATTAATAAGCCTTGGATGATTAGAAAATAAAAACTGCACACAAAACATGCCTGGTTAGTAAATAAAACACACTTGCCTACCAGAAGAAGTCATTCGCTCTCATCTTCCTCTTGCGCACTAAAGCCATTAAAGTCCTCTTCTTCAGTGTCGGAGCTGAACAGCCTCAGAAGAGCTTCGTCACATACCTTTTCTGTGGCGATGTCAGTGTCGCTGTCCGTGTTGCTGTCATCATCCCGGGTGAAGCTGGCTTGAATGGGTTCTTCCTGCTGCCGTCTCCAGCGCCGAACCATGGATTCATTCATGCCAAGCTTACGTGCGGCAGCACTGTTTCCCTCCTTTACTGCCAGATCGATGGCCTTCAACTTAAATGCGGCATCATATGAACTCATACGTGTAGTTTCCATGATGAGGGGGTATGGATTTTATACCCCCTCATCTTATAGTCCGGAAAATACGGTAATATTTGTAAAGTGTCAGATAGGACTGGGCCACGTGGACTCCATATGTTTTTAGCTGTATCGCAATATTTTTCTTCCTGTAAAATATTTACAAAAACTCTATTAGGAGTCAAAGCTACATGTCTACAATGTTACACAGACACTTTTATTTATATAAAACGATTTAAAGATGTGGGCCACTTGTTTAATTAATACATTAGCAAAGGTCTCTAGTAGGAATGAATAGCTGGTAAGTTGTACTCTGGGGGAAAAAAGCACCGGTGCACCAGTTCCAGGAAATGAGCCTCATCAGAGCTGAGTGTCAGAGAGCAGGATTTGGAGTGTTGCGTATTTCCTGATATTTGGACTTTTGTCCTCTGATTGGCTAACAGCAACACAACTCTACCACTGACTCTATTTGCTTTGCAATGTTGTTGTTTTATCTCCACAAGTAACACAAGCTCGGAGGAGCTTCTGCCATGTAGCGGAGTTGCTAATGCTAATGGTTAGCATCTACTAGCCAAGGTGGTTTTTGATGTTTCCTGGACGCTAAACCAACAACTGTCTTCCCCGTCACGAGCCAAGATGCGTGAGTCTCTGAATGTTAAATGTCAGTGTGACGTAGATCTGTCAGGCATTTCTAATCGTAGCGTTTCACCGTCTATTTTCTATCAGAAGCTAATGCAGGAGATAGGTGTAGGAGACTAGTTTCATGTTCAGCCTGCAAGAAAAACAGAGTGACTGATTATAGCCAGAAATAAAAAAAATGTTTTCAGTTAAATGTCAACATATCATAATCATAATAACAGCAGTAAAACATTTTGCCTGAAAAAAAACTGTGTAATGATGAGCTCATTTAATGATGTAAACATCCTCTAAGCAATGCAGTTGTGAAGGCAAAACATGGCTGAAATCTTGTTATTCCCTGAGCTAGCTCATCTGAAACTTCTGCTGTCACCATGTTTTTCTCTGTGTCATGAACACACACACGGTGCAGTGTGTCTGTAGAAAACTTCAGGTTCGGCGGGGGAGAGGTGATGCTTTTGCATCGTGTGGGAGCAACAAAATGCACAATGATTAATTACGATGATGGAGTCAATGTAAACATCGCAGGTGATGAATAGAATAGAATAGAATAGAATAGAATAGTCCTTTACTGTCATAACTGAAGGTACAACAAAACTGAGGCTGCTCCCACGGAGCCACCTTTACCTGCAAATATTGGGTTACAACATTTTAAGGCAGAAAAATGTGGTAAAATATTATAAAGACATATTTAAAAGATGCAAAAACACAGCACAGAAAGTTCTCCATACATTGAGTATATTGGATATATTGCCCACGTCTACAGTCACATTTTCATTCAGGCGTAGCTCTTCCATCTAGTTTAGAGAATTGCAGTTTTTATTCCTCATTACAAGAAGATGTTCTGTTTGATCCGGTCTGATCAGTTAGAAGCGCTCTCAGGTTAGACTTTAGGACACGCTCCACACATCAACGTGCCTCAAGTTTTGTGTGTGTTTGTCTGGGATGGAGGAGTGTGTTATCCAAACAGAGTTCTCCCTGGTTCTGCTCAGCCTTGTTATCTCAGCTGGCTTTCTCATCTCTCAATGGAGCTGTGGTTGTGTGTGTGTGTGCGTGTGTGTGTGGTTGTGTGTGTGTGGGTGGGGTGGGGGGTGGGGGGTGGGAGGGGAGGGGGGACTAACTGCTGTTAAACAGCAGTTTTAGGGGATTAGGAGGTTTTGGAGCACAAAGACTCTGCATGCAGCAAAGGAAGAAGTTGAACTGGAGGGGGGGAGGAGTCTGAGGGATGGATTTTGTGTGTGTGTGTGTGTGTGTGTGTGTGTGTGTGTGTGTGTGTGTGTGTGTGTGTGTGTGTGTGTGTGTGTGTGTGTGTGTGTGTGTGTGTGTGTGAGAGCGTTTTTGATGGCAAGGGAGTCAAAATGTGAATACGGGTGGTTTCCCTACTTCTGCATCTGTTTGTCCCATCACCCCTAAATATTTCTATTAAAATAGTCAGAGGAAAATTACTTTAATGCCATCGATCTCGCACACTGCAGCATCTTAAGACTCAGCTGTGGCCCGGTTAGTGGTGGGAGGATGAACCAACGCACCTCACCCTGTTAGCACGTTAGCTAGCTGGTGGCTAGTTTGACGCACTAAATCTAGGCTTGGTATCCAAATGTATTAGTGTTTGTACGTTTATATGCACATCATAAACCCTAACTAACGCCTTAAGTAGACTGGCGTCATTTTTTTTATTGTTGCTGGAGGACGACTGGTTCTAATCAAGCTGAAGAAGCCAGATATTACGAGATAACCAGGTAAACAACTAGAATGCTGTGTGCTAAACCCAAAAAGAGAGCTCAATACAATCACAGATTTATGTCCAAATGTCTGGTTGTTTCTAACTTTTACCAGCTGAAACAAAACTTTATTTCCACGAGTCTGTTAAGTATTTGTTTATGAGAATCCATGTTGAATCATTTCAGATTTTCTGAGTGCAGAGATGAATCTGAGCTCTAACAGGTCTGCTGGTAAGCTCAGACTCTGAGGCCAGGCATCAATATTCTATTATTAATAATTCACAGAGGAGATTATTGTCCCCCTGTGATCCTGTTGGCCAAAGGTGGTTTAATGGAGCTGATGAAGTTGTCACTGAGTATTTACAGCGACCCAGTTTGACCCTGGAGAACTGAATGTGATCAAATAAGTTTGGTTTTTGGGTTTAATGAAAGAAAAATAGCAGCCAGACTTGTTTTCTTTACATCACTTTTCACATATTTACCTCCATCAGTCTCCATCTATCCAGCCACCCCTGTGTGCCTTCCTTCTCTTTTCCCATCGCCCCATCAGAGAACCAGTCAGCCACCAGAGCGGTGCTGCCACTCGTTTGACTCTGCCCAGTCCAATTACAGTGGGCCTAAATTACCGAGCCTGTCAGGCTCCATCAGGAGAACCATTCGTCATGTGGACTGGGCTGGACCGGAGCGAGCTGGCCCTGTTTGGGTTTGGTGTGGGTGGAGGGGGACACATGTGTCTGTCTGGCACTTTCAGCAACTGTCTGGCTTCAGATCGTTAGGGTGTTGAAATCCACTCACCGTGTTCTCACATGCTTGAGACTTTGGGAAGTTTTATTAGCAGATCTCTTCCAGGTTTGCTCAAAGGCAGGTGCTACTAATGATGCCTGCGTGTAAATATGCTTGACCGCAAGATACCTGGACCGATAACCGAACCGGATTCATTGAGAATTTTAGAAGTAATCGTTAGATCTGCATCGATTGACTTTTGGAGTCTCTCTGATTCAAGATGGCCGCCACAGCAGTTCGACCTTGTCAAACATAAATACAGCCATAAGCCTGTGAGTTTTTAGATGAACTAAAGTACCGAGTACCAACTTTATCCATAATCCAAAAACCGTGGGATGCATCGAGTATGTTCGACATATTGTCCACCTGTAGTGAAGTGAAGCCACTAGGATACGTTGTGTTTATGGATCTGTCCAGATTACCAGGAAAAGGGATTATAATTCCCTAAAGCCATGCAGGACCTTTATATTTAATAAATTTGCTGAAACACACAACCAGCCAAGTGACTGTAGCTCAGCATTGCACCCGGACTGACCTGCTGCTGCTCCCTAAAACACCCAGATTACTGTTCACTTCCTCCACCTTAAAATGTTGCTCAGAAGCTTCTGGAAAGGCACTTCAGAGGGAGAGAGCATGTTTTATTGGGAGTCTTGTATTTCTGACTGTGCCTGAAAGCAGTTTTTAGTGTGGTATTTGTTCACAGCATCACTGTTAGATGTGAAGAGGACGGTGCCGTTCCAGTGTGAAGCACAGCTGCATGCCTGCTTCACCAGACTCCACACAAACAGCATCAGTACATCTTGGTGTTTCATGTTGCGTCTGTGCATGCGAGGTTGCTTCCTCCTCTCTCCATCTCAAGTCCTCCTCTCGTGGTCTGAAAAACAGCACGGAGGAGGTTATAATTGGGAGGTCCAGAGCACTGCCAGGTGGAACCACTTGTATCTGAATACAGGCTTTCGCTTCTCTCTCAAGACCTCTTGTTCATTGTACCTCTGCTGCTCTCTCGTGCTTCCTCCATCACTGTCGTACATGCACAGGTCCAACTGCTCATCAGCCCGTCTGTCGTTGCACTGCAGTTCGAGAAGCTTTGGCAAAACGTTTTCTGTTCTCTGTGCAATCATCAGAATCCTCTCAATAACAATACAACTCCACACACACACACACACACACACACACACACACACACACACGCCCCACATCTTTAAGGAAACTTTGCCCCTAAAGCTTAATTTACTGTCGTCCTCCTGTTTCCTCTTTTCTTCCAGATTGTCTTCCCTTTTTCTTGCTAAATAATTTTAAATCATAGCTTCAATCGCCCGTGGCCTTTGATATAAGATCAGCCCACGTTAAAGGACTTGTTCACTGACTGATTAATACTATATTTTTACATCAGGCGTGGGGAACCCTGGTCCTCGAGGGCCGGTATCCTGCATGTCTTTGCTCCAACACTTCTGAGCCAGTGGTTGATTCACCTGTTCTGCAGCTCATCGGGCTCTGCAGAAGCCTGTTAATCACCTGCTGATTGAAATCAGGTGTGACGATGTAGGGTTGAAACCGAAATATGCTGGATAGCGGCCCTCGGTGGACCAGGGTTCCCCACCCCTGTTTTACATTCATGCAGAATGACAAAATGTTCATCAGAAGCCAGACAGCTCAACATCACGGGAAAAGTTAGCGTTCATGGCCCCGCCCACCTTGGTCTATGGCTGCCCACGCTTGTCTCGGTTAGAATAGCTAACTCCACAACACGGTGGAACATGTTCGGGCTTGTGTTATACATGGAGATAAAACATCAACGTTGAATTTTTTACGCAAGAAAGAAGAGTGAACGGAGGCAGCAGAAGAGTTGCGTTGCTGTTGGCCAATCAGAGGTGATACTTTTACATATCATGACTGTCCCCCAGTCCTCCAATAGACTTCTACCCCAAGAAACAGGAGCGCCAGAGCTTTGTTTCCACAGAAAACGACTCAAAGCACATTTACTGAAAAAACAAACGAGCGAATGAGAGCTTTAAAGCCTTTTTAGCCAGACTGTAATATGAGTCGTACTACATGTATTTTACGGCTTGGTTTCTGTAAAATCACAACGTTTTACTTCCTTAGTCTTTGACTCGGTGTAAAGTCTTGTGTTGTACGGAGGCCGGGTTTGACATTCCTTCGTTGGTTACCTATTAACCAGGTGATGTGTGATGATCTCAGTGTTTGGAGGGAATCCAGAGTTTCTATGAACACAGATTTCACACGTGTTTCTGAGCATTGCTGAACACACCCTCATCATCATCATCTGTTCTTCATCCTGAAGGTGATTGATGGGAAACTGGCTCCCTTCCTGTCTAAGGTGATCAAGTTTGCCAGCTCCCACGTGTTCAGCTGCAGCTTGTGTCGAGAGAAGGGCTTCATCTGTGAGCTGTGCCAGAACGGACAGGTCATCTATCCCTTCCAGGAGAACGCCACCCGCAGGTGATCATCCTCAGGATAATCCTCACAACTCAATCAGACACCAAGCAACATCGACCTCAAACAGACGAATTTAAGTGCTCTGAAAATGCCTGTCATTCTGGTACGAAGGTCGGGTAATATTTGAGCAGGATTTAAGATAAAATCTCAGCTCAGAACGGCCTGGTTCCTTTCAGCAGTTTACCGAATAAAGTAAACATTACAGAGAATTAACGCTAAATAAATAAAGATTCAAGAGGAGGTTGAGGAACAGCCATTTGCTGTCTGAAGGGGCGAAATGTGGACGTGATACTTTGAGCAGCAAACGGAGCCTGCTGTTTGTAACGCCGGCTGGTAGAACGGGGTGTGTGTGTGTGTGTGTGTGTGTGCATGTGTGTGCGTGTGTGTGTGTGTGTGTGTGTGTGTGTGTGTGTGGCAGTGGGACGTGGGCGTGTATTTTTCTCGACACAGTCCAGAGCATCACTGAAAATCAGAGTGACAGACAACAGAGAGATAAGAGCTGATCAAGAGAGAGACCTGAAACACACACACACACACACACACACACACACACACACACACACCCCTAGTTGTTGAGCTGTTTTATGACTCGTGAAGCGAGTGTTAAGTGTTAACTGATAACTGCTCTATCTGCTGCTCTGGGGTCTGGACGTGAGAGAGACGAGCAGCAAGTAGATGAAGACATTTCTCTTGTGTTTACTCCTCCCATAACCGACGCGGTCAGCAGGTGTGAATGTCCTGTTGTGTGTAGAAAGGTAAAGGTGTGTCCGCGTGTATGCAGGTGCGATGGATGCGGTGCCGTTTTCCACGCTGAGTGTCGGCAGAAAGCTCAGCCGTGTCCTCGCTGCGTTCGCAGAGAACTCCACCACAAGAGGCCGTCGTCCTTCTGGTCGCCCGACGACGACTCCCCCGGCTGCTTCCACCTGCCGTACCAAGACACCTGAGATCTCCTCCCGGGGGTGTAGTCTGGAACCAACGAGGCACCGCTGGGCGGCTGCACCGGACACAGTGCCTGTTTCTGATTTCTGCGGAGCTTATTAGAAGTTCTGACCTAAAACGAAGACTTTGACACAAAAACACGTGAGCTGAGCCTCTTCTGTTCTGCTGCAAAGAGCAAAGAGAACAAATTACTCGTATTTTGTTGTCAGACGTCTTCATTCCCCTTACCTTCACATCTCTTGTTCCAGGGTCTGAACATTAAGATTTAGAAGTCAAGGTGGTCCGAAACATCAGCAGCTTGGTGTAACTTTCTGCTTTTAAAGACGTGCTTCAGTTGAGCATCAGTAGCAGAAAGCCAGTCTGATATTTGGCCGCTTATTTAGCCAAAAAGCACAAAATTAGCACCTTTGCTTTGTTGGAATTAGTAATAAATTGCTAAGCAGAAGAAAAAGAGTAGAACTGTTAAAAAAGAAAACCCAGTTGGATCCTTCCCTGTTTGTAGCAGCTAAAGGTTCATTTAAAATAAAATTCTCCGACTGCAGCCTTTAAAGCTGGCCGACAACACGTTCTCAATATTAGAGACAAAAACACTCTTACTGAAGGAGGTGTGTGTGTGTGGATTACACTTATTTGTGGGTATTTATTAATGAAAATATCACCAACAGTAAAATGTTGGGCCTATGGTGCGTTCAGGGGTCAAGCCTAGCAGGAATTTCTTAATTCCTCTGTGGAAGCTGCGTGGTTCAAAGCAAACCTTTGTGTGAAATTTTGATGATCGAAGCTTTCGTCTAGGCCAAGTTTTGACTAGCTGTTAGCTTATCAATCCTGAAGGATGGAATCTGTTATTTCTGCAAACTAAGGCTGTTCAGGAAGCCATTTCCAACAGGAAAGATGGTAAAGGTGTGCAAATTCTGCACCAAAACACTCCTCAGAATAGCTGAAAAGTCCCTTTTAAGCAAAAATGAATTCCCCTTTTGCTTTGTTTAGCTTTCTGTAGAACTCAAACAAAAGCAATGTTTTTAGGCGTGGTGTGTGTATGTGAGGGCTCCGACCGATCTCCTGGCCTAAAACAAGTTAACATTTAAATAATAATAATTCACATTAGACTTTTTAAATACCTGCTAAAGCGTTTTCAGGGAGTTGATTCCATTAGACTTCGGGATCTAGAGCAGCTAGATTAGCGTAATTTCCCACATAAAGTGTTGCATTTTTATTTTATGACACATTGTTCTTCTTTTCCTGCAACTAGCTTAAATGACTGTTTTCCTTCATGTAAATGTAAAATCCAGACTTTAACTGGACCGGTGAGTCTGACATCGTCCTCCCTCCATCAGCCTGATGCTGAGATTAAAGAGGCAATAATTTACTGTAACTTCTTCTCTCATCGTTGCCTTTCCCCCTCTGATTCTGTTCCCGTTGTGCTTTATTCATGCGTAATCAGACATGATAGCAGCTTTAGCTTTTAGTATCTATGCAACCTAGATGGCCTTTATATTCCACTGCTTTCATGTATGAAAGACAAGATTTGATTTGTTTTAAGGCCTGAAACGGCTGCTGTGTCTTTGTCCCGTTTGAAAGCAGAATTTCAGAAAGTCTGTTTACATTTTTGGCTCCTTAGTCAAATTTTAAATGACTGAAAATCGACACAAATCAGATCAATTAAAATAAATCGACTTTAATCAGAAATTAAAGGTCGACGTTTTACAACTTTCTGGTTTTACTTTGAAAAGCGAGGGTTTATGTAGCTGCTGAAACTTCCTGCTTGAGGTTTTGTTTTTCTCTGACTCTCCGCTACCGAGCTGTTCCTGTACGTTTGTAAGTTTGAGCCATTAAATGTGAACTCTGAAGCTCATTCATGTAAAAATCAGGTGCTTTAATGCAGAGATGTGAACTTTCGTTTTCATGAAAGAGAATCTAAGAGTTGAAGTTTAAAATATGCACTGATTCTTTTGTGTAATTAATGCTTTCTTTAAATCATGGGAGGATTTTCAAAATAAAAGTTTGTCATGGACCGTGCTGCACAATGAATAGATGAAGGTTTTATGTTTACTGAATGGTGTTTATTTATTTGTGATTATTTATTTGTGCTGTGCAGCCGGGCAGGTGGTGGGTTCAGCGTGAAATCATCAAACCAAAATTAATCTCACATTTGTTTAATTTAACATTTGTACTCGATCTGAGCAGATTATGGAAAAATCTGGTCTCATATTACATAAAAGCATGTGGATGGTGATTATTATTATTACTAATAATAAATTATGACACCAAGGTTAGTTCATTTTTGCATTTGGACAGAATTGATGTTGCGTAAGTTTTACAAATTTTCCACATTAATAAGCATTCCAGTTTGGTCCTAAACAGCACAGTTAACATGAGAAACGACCGGTTTTGTTACACCTGCTGGGCTCTACAGTTTCTACTCGATTTGTGCATCGAGTCACTTTACAGGTTAATTTCTGTTGCACTGTGCATCTCTGTGGGTTTTTCTTCTGTCTGAAGTTTCTGGAACACCTGGGAACCCGTCACCTTTGATGTTTTTCATGTCTTGTTTTGGTAAAATTTAATGAGTTTTAGTCTTCTTTTTTTTTTAAACACAAACCTTGTTTTTTCGCTGCTTTTCAGTTTACGACCTGAAAATTTCCTCATGATTTGGACAGATTATGATTTGACAGTATTTAAGGGGACTGACTGGACTGAAACTCTAGTCTCTTTTGCACATTTTTGTTTGTTTTTCTCTGCAACCAAATTTCTGGATGAACAAAGAGTTGTTTTCTTCGTTTGATCTCACAGAAACTGATCCATTAGCAACGGATGCCAATAAAGACAAATTTATAATTTGGTCCAAGTGTCTGAATCACATCCAGGAAAGTGTCCATATCATTCTCTCTGTTAGGCTCTGGCTGGTGTGACATTTTCGGAGTGTGTGTTTAAGGAGTTTTCTGTGTGCGTTTAGCCTTTTTATTTCATTACAGAAAGTCAGACTTTACATTTTAACATACACTCTAATCATTTAACTTAAAAGATAAAGTCCTGCAAATGTTTGCAAAAGAAAATCTAGAATGTTCCTGTTTGAGAACCAAACAGTTTATACACACTTTACTGGGTACACCTTGCTAGTACTGGGTTGGACCCCCTCTTTCCTTCAGAACTGCCTTACTCCTTCGTGGCATAGATTAAACAAGGTACTGGAAACATTCCTCAGAGATTTTGGTCCATATTGACATGATGGCATCCCACAGCTGCTGCAGAATTGTCAGCTGCACATCCATGATGTCCCGTTCTGCCACATCTCAAAGGTGCTCTATTGGATTGAGATCTGGAGGCCATTTGAGTACAGTGAACTCATCGTCATGTTCTAGAAGCCAGTCTGAGATGATTGGAGCTTTATGACATGGAGCATTATCCTGCTGGAAGCAGCCATCAGAAGATGAGGACACTGTGGTCATAAAGGGATGGACACGGTCAGCAACAACACTCAGGTAGGATGTGGTGTTGCAGCGATGATCAGTTAGTACTAAGGGGTCCAAAGTGTGTCAAGAAAATGTCCCCCACACCATTACACCACCACCACCAGTCTGAACTGTTGATACAAGGCAGGATGGATCCATGCTTTCATGTAGATGATGCCTAATTCTGACCCTACCATCTGAATGTTGCAGCAGAAATCGAGACTCATCAGACCAGGCAACATCTTTCCAATCTTCTATTGTCCAATTTTGGTCAGCCTGTGTGAATCGTAGCCTTTCCTGTTCTTAGCTGACAGGAGCGGCACCCGGTGTGGTCTTCTGCTGCTGTAGTCCATCTCCCTCGAGGTTCCACGTGTTGTGTGTTCAGAGATGTTCTCCTGCTTAACTTGGTTGTAACGAGTGGGTATTTGAGTTACTGTTGCCTTTCTGTCAGCTCGAACCAGTCTGGCCATTCTCCTCTGACCTCTGGTTTGAACTGCAGTGGATCGTCTTAACCATGTCAACATGTGATTGGCAGATTAATGATTCGGATTAATGAGCAGTACCCAATAAAGTGGCCATGTTTTATTTTTTAATCTCTGTTGAGCATTCAGTGATTCTGATTTAGAAAACATAACAGCTGAGACATATCTATGTAGAGAGATGGTGTGCTGATACCAGAAACGAAAGTTTTCTCCCTCACCACGACTCGTTGATGCTTCAGATCTAGTAATAAAAGACTATATATGTGTTTTTATGACACCAGTCATCAGGGATCAGATTAATTAGATCAGCATGTGTTAATAACTAAAATCAAAAACATGCTGATTTATTATCACAGTCTCAGACACACTCACACGTAGGTAGTAATTATTTAATGAATGTGTGTTTGAAGAGCTGCACCTTTTGTCTGTTCAACCCTCACTCTCAAAATAATTGAACATTTGGTGCTTGTTGCAAAAAATGACATATTCCACCAGATCATGAATGGAAAGGATGTGGAAAAACTAACTCCTAGAGCAGGAGTGGGGAACCCTGGTCCTCGAGGGCCAGTATCCTGCATGTCTTTGCTCCAACACTTCTGATTCACCTGCTCAGCAGCTCATCAAGCTCTGCAGAAGCCTGTTAATCACCTGCTGATTGAAATCAGGTGTGTTGAAGCAGGGTTGAAACTAAAATATGCTGGATGGTGGCCCTTGATGGACCAGGGTTCCCCACCCCTGTCCTAGAGGGACCACGATGACTCAGGGCTGGGGCTGAGGTGCTCTGATCAAATTGGGAGGGTCTGACATACCCCTTGGGACCATGGAGGTTCCTGGTGGACTCCCATGACCTAGGGTTCTGAAGCTGATCCAGGACGGGCTCTCTGGTCGGATATGGAGAGTCTGTCTTCCTTCGTCGTGCCATGGAGGTCACTGGCAGACTCCCGGGGCCTTAGATTCAGAGTATGGCCAGTCCAGTCAGTGTGGTCAAACTGTTCGACACTTAAAAAAAACTTCACTTGTTCATTCGTTGATTAATGAAAACGTTCTTGGCAAACGCTGTCGCCTTCATCCGTCTTGCGCCGGTCCAAGAATTTCACCTCTAGCGGCACAATACGAATGCCCCCGGCCGTCCCTCTTAATCATGGCCCCAGTTCAGAGAAAACCCACTAAATTGAACCGGAGTCCTATTCCATAATTCCTAGCTGCGGTATTCAGGCAACCAGGCCTGCTTTGAACACTCAAATGTTTTCAAAGTGAATGCTTCGGAACCGGTGGGACACTCATCTAAGAGGGGACGCCGAGAGGTATGGGCTGGGACAGATGGTAGCTCGCCTTGCAGCGGATCGTCAGCTCAATTTTGAGATCCAACTACGAGCTTTTTACCTGCAGCAACTTTAAGACACACCCTTGGAGCTGGAATGACCAGATTTACCCTCCAATAGATCCTCATTAAAGGATTTTGGTTGGTATGGCTAGGGTGTGTTGGTGGTGGTCAGAGGGGCCGACGGCGCCAAATGGCAGTCTCGCCTCTGTCAGGCCGCCCCAGGTCAGCTGTGGCTACAAAGTAGCTTACCATCACCAGCAGTGTGTGAATGTGAGAGTGCATGAAAGCATCTGAGTGTCCTAAAAAGCGCTATATAAGTTTGGTGTGTTATTATTATTATTATTATTATTATTAGGGTGGAGCAGCAATAGAATCTAGATTTTGGTTTAATCCGAAGACTGTTGAGTTAGTCCGATTCCAGTAACGCTAAAGGGAATTGTTTCGTAAACTCATGTAACTTTCAGAAGAACAAAACAATTGTTATGTGCTAACATTTTCTCCATATTGTGTTGACTTAAGGTTTCACACATAACGTGCTGAGGAATGTCACATGACATAGGTTAAAGCTCCGCCCAAACAGATTCTGGACCCAAGGTCAAAACTATAAAAGTTCACAATCAGTAGAGAAAAACAAACGCTCGCATGTCGACTTGGACCCATTTGTTGGTTTTTGAGCAAATGAAGGGAAAACAGAGTTCTCTTAATAAAAATGTGGAGATGATCGGAACGTTTCCAGAGCTCATCCTCTGAACCGTTTCCCTTTCATGTATGTTGAGCAGCAGCCGCAAATCGAAGCTGAGTGTTGACCGCGCTTAATTGTCATCACCAATTAGTGCATTTTGGGACGCCCACAATGGATCAACTGTAGCGAGTAGAACCAAGTCCTTTGTGCTTCTCCAGTGGCCTACAAGCCAGTCAAGACTCATTTGCGGGCCCCGAACAACGACGGAGCAGAAATGCCACCGTAAATGAAAACAAAAGACAGTTTAAGAAGGGGAAGAAGGGGGATGTGGACAGCGGTTACAGAGGAGGGAAGAACCAGGCTGTGTGTGTGTGTGTCTGACACACACACGCGCACACACACAAAGGGCCCCCACCACGACATTTTAGTGAGCTGCTACACAAAAGCTGGCCGAGCCCCAGTGTTCCCAGTGACCTGGTTTTTCAGAAGGCTTGTTCGTCGGCCACATTGATGCTTGCAGCAGATTTTTTTCTGTTAACTGTTCCTTTGAATGCACCTGATCTTTTAACCAATCTCATTCCGGTGAAACCACCTGATGCACGCCACAGCGGTGAGGTTGGTTTTCTGTGACGCATTCACCTCATTCAGACTGGCCGCAAGTCTCTGCACGTTCCCACCATGGGAGGGGCCAGGCACAATCCACACTACACACCAGAGGTATGCTCCGTGGCTCAAATCAGTGTTTAAGAAAAACACAAAACAGCCCAGGGGTGTGTTCAGATCAAACATGGAGCTGTAGTTCAGACGCACCGTGATTTCACTGAGTCAATAAGAAGGACACAAACAGATGGAGAGTTTGTGTTTCTTATCTCTGTTGTGCAGCTCAGAGTCTCTTTATAACAACATCGGAATATGGGAGTGCTGCTCTGAGGTATTTGTACTTTAAATCAGGATTATACTCCTATTCAGCTTCTCTGAAACATTGCATTGCTCATTAGGACATATTTACAATAATCTGGGAAGTTTTCTAGAACGCAAACAGTAAAACCAGTAAATCAGTGCTGTTGATACAAATAAAGAAATGACCATCATCTTCACTGATTTGTTCTTTGTATGTAGTAAGTTTGAAAAGTCACAAGCTGAAGCTCCACTTTCATCTGGTGAAGCTAAGGCCTAGTCCACACGTAGCCGGGTTTAAAAAAAAAAACCCGAATATCCGCCCCTCCAAAAACTTGCAGCCACACCACCTCGTTTTAAAAAAAGAACTCTGTCCACACGTACCCGGATAAATACGTTGTTAAGGACATGCCAGACCTGTAGGCGGCAGTACTTCCCCCATTCTTAACCTCGTCCTTCGTCTGTGATCTTCCGCAAGGAGCAGTAATTCCGCTTGCAAAAACAAACAAGCAGAAAGCGCTTGGACAATTGATAAAGCGAGCGCAGCTCTGAGGGCATCCATGCTGTCGGCTAGTGTAAACACAGGTCGCACACGTGATGTCAGCATTTTTTTGTCGCGGAAAGTGACGTTGCGGACCTTAAAACTCCGGTTTTGTCTGTCCACACGCAGACACCCAAAACGGAGAAAATGCAGATCTTAACTTTGGCCGGAGTTTTTAAAAAGGTCAGTTTTCATGTGAAAAAACTCCGTTTTCGTGTGGATGACAGGCCAAAACGTAGAAAAATATCTACGTTTTGGCAGATCCCCGGCTACGTGTGGACAGGGCCTGAGACTCCCAGTTGTTTATTTGTCCTTTTCATCACCGTAGAAAAAATGTTCTAAGCAAAGTTGATCAAAAGTCATGTACCTTAGGTCTCCATCCATGTGAGATGCCCAACGTCCCGTAGCAGCAACGCTGACACTGGCTTTTATTTTAACATAAACAAGAATAGATTTAACTTTTGCTGTTGTATTTTTTATAATTCTGTCCTGTGAGTGGCGCTAATATATCTGTTATGCTAATAAATATGCTTGGTTCCATGTAAAGTTACCGTTAAGTTTCGTTATAATACCTCACAGTCACCACAGGGAGGTGCTGCAGACCCCTTCATCATGCATCCAGGCTTGAAACAACCAAAAATTATTTAAAACTTTAAAATAAGTTTTCTTTAGACGTGATTAGAAGTCTAAGATGGAGTTTAATTTGGCCTTACTGGGTGTCATGTTCTGTGTCCCCTTGGTCCCCAGCCCCCTCCTGTTTGTCCTCTGCCTTCCCCTCATGTGTCCCCTTGTGCACTGTGTGTCCCAACGCTTCCCCAGCCCTCTCCAGGTTCTCCTCACGTGTCTCCTTGTGTTCTCCAGCTCTCTCTAGGCTTCCCTCATGTTTCCTCCTAGTCACTTCCTTGTAGTTCCTATTTGTTTGTATCAGTCCTCCTCGCCCCTCCAGTCATTAGTTGTTTATCTTTGCCCTTAGTCTTTAGGTTTAGTTATTTAGTGTTTTATAGGTTTTGGTTTATCTCCCCCTCTGCTTGTTCTTTCCCCATTTGGTTTATTGATGGCACCTGTCTCCCCTCTAGACCTCACTCCTCACACCTGTCACCTGTTCCTCTGATTGCTTCCCTCTGTGTTTAAAAACCCTGTCTTGTCCCTCAGTGTTTGTTGGTCCACTGTTGTTGTCAGAGTTGTTCTGTCCTTCTCAGGAACTTCAGCTTTTGCTCATGAATCAGCTTTGTTTTTGTAGCTCAGTTTGTTTTTCTGGATTTTCGTTTTGGCCTCCTGCACCTTTGGATTATTACCCATCATCCTATGTAATGGATTTCACTTGTCAACTGCTCCTGCCTCGAGTGATCTGGTGTTCTGCAATTTTGGGTCCTAACCTCCTGCGCTCGATGTGTCACTGGGCTGCACCAAGTCCCCCTTTAGCAACAACTATTAAAACTAATTATTCAGTGTTTCACCTCATCAGCACCCAATCTGAATCACTTTTGATTTATTATAAAATAAAAATATATTCGTGTGTGTGTGTGTGTGTGTGTGTGTGTGTGTGTGTGTGTGTGTGTGTGTGTGTGTGTGTGTGTGTGTGTGTGTGTGTGTGTGTGTGTGTGTGTGAGAGAGAGAGAGTGTGTGTGTGTGTGTGTGTGTGAGAGTGTGTGTGTGTTTACCTGACCATAAGGTCATATCTTTTTTTTTTGAGTTTTCCCTGAAATCTTTGTCAAACAAGCCTGTCTCCGGGAAAATCACCACCAGTGATAAGTAATCACTTATATGTAGTGTGTGTGTGTGTGTGTGTGTGTGTGTGTGTGTGTGTGTGTGTGTGGACAAGAGATTGACCCTCTAGATGTCACTCACTATTTGCTTTAATCTGTCTGTGCAACCTAGATGAAGGTAAGTCTGACCTAGAGGGGCTCGTCCTGACTGATACGTTGAGCACACACTCACACACCCTCACCACTAAACACACACACACACCTTTTAAGACCTTTGTCCCTCAGAGAACGTTGTGATCTTTGTCCCATGTGGCTGAGTGAGACGGAGAAGGTCACTCCAGATCTGGGTTTTAGTCACTTTCAGCTTTCAAGACACTCACACCAACCCAAAATGTTTTGAACCTTGATTTATTCATTATAACTGATTGAGTTCTTTCTTTTCAAACCTGTTGCAATAATATAAAGATTGCACTATTATTTACAAGCTCTATATGAAAAATCTAAAATGTTGACCCATACATGTGGTTAAGATAGACAATCAATTATAGAGCTTCGATGTTTTAAATATCTATACATTTGAATAAATAGATTATTTTCCTATTTCATCAGATTTGGGCTCATAATTAAAAACGCTTTTGCTTCAGGAAACCAGAAAGTGTCACATTGTTGGAGAGTTTTATGAATATTGTGTAAAAAAATTATATTCCTTTTCTAACAAATTTCCAAACAAAAATTGGTTGGTTGTGCTTTCATGTTTTCATCAATTTAGAAAAAGTGGACATATAAATAAAAAAGTAGGATGTATTTTTATACATGTCATGACTCATGAGTAATAAATTACTCATTTTATTCTTGACATTAATACGTTATTTATACGTAAATAGAGAAATGTAAGCTTTATTAAAGCCCAATTTACTAGTCAAGACACCATAATCCACTTCTAAACTCCGCCCCCCTGCTGGGATCTCGTGCCACCCTCAGAAAAACCCTCCGGCTCCGCCAAAGAGGCTGAGTTGTGCCATTTCCGACAGCCGTGAAGGCAGCAGAGCCTCCGTTTGATGAGAAGGCGCTGAAGCTTCAGACCGACTTTATTTCACCCTCGAGCGCAGCAGCGCGTGGACCTTTGGGAGATAAGTGTTTATCCTGATAGACTGCTGGTGTTTTTTTCTGCTTATTCCCATTTTCCAGCTGAAACAAACAGATGAGGGAACTTTTAAAAGTTTGGAAAAATAACCGAGACGCATCAAGTGGATTTGACGCACCAGCCATCCTCCTCGTGGCGCAAAAAGAGGTCACTTATGGGACATTTTGCACACATTTAATAACTTCTGATTGGTTTATTTCATCCAGTTTTATGACAACATTTAAGACCCTGACGCGGTGATGCGGCTCTTTGCGACCCGTCGGGGGGAGACGGAGCTGGTACAAATGTCCCTGGGTCATTAAATTTATTGGAACGTGACTGCCGGATATGAACTTTCTCCGTAATGATTGTTGAAGTCCTGGTGAATGATTGACAGCTCGGAGGGATGTGGACGAACTGGTTTATTTTAAATAAGAAGCGTGTTGGTGCAGAAAACAAAGTCCTAGGTTTAAATGAACCAGAAGGAAAAAGGTTTCCAGTCATGAACTGGAATTAAAAAGAACATTTGTTTGAGTTGATGAATGGACTAAATCTTATTCTGCTGATGTTTGTTTGAGCTGTGGGACTCATGTGCTGCCTGCTGTTCCTGCTGCTGCTCTGGTGTCCTGGTCTCTCGTTAGGAGCCTCCAAGGACCTGGTGTGTGAGCCCATAACTGTTCCCATGTGCAAGGGCATCGGCTACAACTTAACCTACATGCCCAACCAGTTCAACCACGACACCCAGGAGGAGGTGGGGCTGGAGGTGCACCAGTTCTGGCCCCTGGTCCGCATTCACTGCTCTCCGGACCTGCTCTTCTTCCTCTGCAGCATGTACACACCGATCTGCCTGCCGGACTACAGAAAACCACTTCCTCCCTGCCGTTCTGTGTGTGAGCGGGCCAAGCAGGGCTGCTCCCCCCTCATGAGCCAGTATGGCTTCGAGTGGCCTGAGAGAATGAGTTGTGAGCAGCTTCCCCAGCTTGGTGACGAAATTCTGTGCATGGACCAGAACAACAGCGAGACCACCACTCTGGCACCTCCATTCCCCAAGTCTACGCCCAAAATCCGGACCAGACCTCCCAGCTCCTCTCAGTGTGACAGGGAGTGCCGCTGCCGGGACCCCCTGGTGCCCATTAAGAGGGAGTCTCACGTCCTGTACGGCCGGGTCCAGACAGGACCGTTGCCTAACTGTGCTCAGCCCTGTCACATGCCTTATTTCTCAGCAGATGAACGAGCTTTTACAAGCTTCTGGGTGGGACTCTGGTCTGTGCTGTGCTTCGTCTCCACCTTAACCACCGTTGCCACCTTCCTGATCGACATGGAGCGCTTCAAGTACCCAGAGAGGCCCATCATATTCCTGTCTGCCTGCTACCTCTTCGTCTCCTTGGGTTACATCATCCGGTTGGTGGCAGGTCACGAGCGAGTGGCGTGTGGTGCCAGCGCAGGTGGCAGCCAGCTACACATCCTCTACGATGCTTCTGGCCCTGCCCTTTGCACCCTGGTCTTCTTGTTGGTGTATTTCTTTGGCATGGCCAGCTCCATCTGGTGGGTGGTGCTGTCCTTCACCTGGTTCCTTGCTGCAGGGATGAAGTGGGGCAGCGAGGCCATAGCAGGGTATTCCCAGTATTTCCACCTTGCAGCGTGGCTAATCCCCAGCATCAAGTCCATTGTGGTCCTCGCCTTGAGCTCTGTGGACGGAGACCCAGTGGCAGGAATCTGCTATGTCGGAAACCAGAGCCTGGAGAACTTGAGGGGGTTTGTCCTAGCCCCTCTTGTGGTCTATCTCTTCAGCGGCTCACTTTTCTTACTCGCAGGTTTTGTGTCTTTATTCCGCATCAGGAGCATCATCAAACAAGGCGGAACCAAGACGGACAAGCTGGAGCGGTTGATGATTCGCATCGGGCTCTTCACGGTTCTGTACACAGTCCCGGCCACCATCGTGGTGGCCTGCCTGGTCTACGAGCAGCATTACCGCCCTGGCTGGGAGCGAGCCTTGGCCTGCTCCTGCCTGCCAGAGCGCCAGCGCTCGGGTTTAGCTCCAGACTACGCCGTCTTCATGCTCAAATACTTCATGTGCTTGGTGGTGGGCATCACTTCCGGAGTCTGGATTTGGTCTGGAAAAACTCTGGAGTCCTGGAGGAGATTTGTGGCTAGATGCTGCCCCTGCTGGCCACAGAAAGCCATTGCACCACCATCCATGTACAGTGAAGCCAGCACAGCTTTAACTGGACATACGAGGACTGGACTGACATCAGGAATCTACCATAAGGCCCCTCCATCACATATATGAACAGACTGAAACCACCATGTTTTTTTTTTACACAAGAATAATCTTCATACTCTCCAGTGTTAAGACAAGATCATGGACAAACACCAGGACTGTATCTATTTTTGTGTCCGTTTCTCTGAATAGAATCAGAAAAAAGATTTTAATCAGGAGTATTTATATTAAAATAGATTTGGGCACCCTTAAAACCACCTCTACAGAGTCAAACTCACACTTCTTCCTTCTGTTCCAGAGCACTGAGACTAAATCTATTTATTGATGTACATATTGTAGATATTTGTTGTATAATAAACAGTTAAGCTTCTGGACAACCACCAAGTCTCGTGTAAAAAAACAAATAGCTTTTCATTTGTATAAACTGTGCATAAATGTGATGTACAGGTCCGTGTTTGAGTGTGGAAACGAGCTGAAAGTCTTTACTGTGATTAGGAAATTCATTTGCCGTGTCTTTAATGCTGGCTCTGACATGACCTCTTAGTTCTGTGAAGTCATTAAAGTGTCTATGTGAAAGGAGAGCTGGTTCTGTTTGTGTTGTGATGATCAAAGCTGCAGGATGGGAGTGCACCTGGTCTTTATCTCCACCTGCTGGCTCCCAGTGGAGCTGCTTGCTTCAACCGGTCAGCTCCAAGAACCAAAGGTACATTATAGATGGTAAAAGTCAGAAATGTGGACTCGAGTCACATGACTTGGACTCGAGTCAGACTTGAGTCATTATTTTAATGACTTCTGACTTGACTTGATAAAATCTATAAAGACTTGCAACTTGACTCGGACTTGAACGCCAATGACTTGACACTTGAATCGGCTTGCATCTTTTGGCTTGATGATGACTTGAGCATATTTGATATTTTAGCACAAAAATGACACGACATGGACAAAAAATCATTCTTGGTTCTGGGTTTGATGTTCTGCTGAGTGCAGCAGAACTTTGTTAATAATCAGTTTCAGTTTCACTTTCTGCTTGTTTGAGCAAATAAATGAAGCTTTAAGAAGCTTTATGTCTGGAATTTTTTTTTATCATTGTCATTAAATTGAAGTTGGACAGATGACTTGATTATGACTTGAAAATTCAAAGTTAAGGACTTGGACTTGACTTGGACTTCCGCATCATTGACTTTGGACTCGACTTGGAATTGGTTGTCTTTGACTTGACTCGAGATTTGACTGGAAAGACTTGTGACTTGCAAAGCAGTGACTTGGTCACACCTCTAAGTTTCGTCGTTGACAGTTTGTGCCATAGAGACATTATTTCAGCATCTATTGAAATATTATTCATCTGCTTTTATTGGAAGTTATTTAAGTTTAAAAGTGTTTGAGATTCCTGCAGTTTTACAACCACTAAACATTTTCTGTTAACTCAGAGGTCACATTTTACATCATTGCTGAATTTAGGAGTGAAAAATTTACCAAACTATAAGGAACACTTACCGCCAGCACCTTTCAGGTCAGCTTACAACCGAGATGTTGGAGATCAGAGCGGCTTCAGTGAAATCGATTACATTTAAAGTTGCTTTCAGAAACAATGACGCCAAACTTTAGAAAATTATACATAAACCTGGCTCAGATGGACCTTTTTGTGTGTGCTAAAACCAAATTAGCCATGGCTCCTGTGTTCACTCGCAGCGTAGGTTAAGTGAAGATTAAAGAAGAGCTGATAAATGTTAAAATCTTTTCTTGCACGTAGTAAAATGAAGACTGGGCTTATTTGTTAGCTTCATTTGGGTTCAATTCTAACCGTTCTTATAAACCAGAGGTGTCAAACGTTTTTGTAGCCAATGGCTGAAATGACAGGTCATAAAAAAACATTTTTTTTCTAAATGCAAAAAATATTTATGGATATTTCTTTCAATTTATATTTTTCAAAATAGGCAAAAGAAAAATGGCATATTAGTAAAAATGTTACAAAGCAACAGTCCACATAAACCACTGGAAAGACTAAATTCCTGACTTAGAAATGCAAGTGGGCCCATAAATGGCCCCCAGGCCACACTTTGGACACGCCTACCACAAACCTTCAACTTTTGCATTAAATATTTATTTTCATACAGGTGTGTTTACCTGCAGTGGAAACATTTATGTGTAACCAGGCAGACGTCCTGCAGGAATACATCTCTGCCAGAATACTGACAATGGAAAATTCAAAGCAGCAACATTTTTAAAGCTAAATAATTTGCAAAAACTACATTCAGTTTATTGTAAGATAGCAGTGATTCACTCTGAATATCCATTAGGTCATCTGTAGGACCACCATGGAGCATGACTATGTAATAACCAGTCATGTGAATAATAACAGTCACACCAAATCTGTTATACTATTAGTGTTTATTTAAAATACTTCATTTGCAATTTGTTTTCAATTAAAAACAACAGTTTTACAGCTAGTAAGTAGCCTACACAGTAAGCAAAAAAGGTTGGGGGTTATCCATCAACCCCCCCTTGAACGCTCGTGGTCATCGGGGTCTGGGCCAAGCGGATGGTTTGTCTACGGCTAGCTCTGAGGTGAGTGAACCCCCACACTGAGCCTGGCAGCTGCAGATCTGATATGGGACCAGTAAAGAGTCCTGACTGAACATCTGCAGCAGATATATAATAATGCAACCACCACTTCCTGTGGAGTAATAAATGTTAAATATGTTATATGAGACATGCTGGATGCAGATTTACTCTAAATAAATCAGACTCTTCATAAAGAGTAACTTTGGGTAATAATATTACTTTACTGGTCGAGTACATTTTTCTTTTGTCTGAGAGGTTTCCAATCGAACAAATCTAATTCAACCCAAAACACTTCTATTAATGATGAGGTTAACTGATGTACTTTTGCTGTGTTTTAACCCTTTTTAAAGTTCTAAACCTCCTGTTTCACATAGTTTAGATGTAATTGAGAATATATGTAGTTAATAAACATGAATGGTTTATTTCAACCCAGAAAATATGAAAAAAAAAAAAACAAACAAAAAAAAACGTTCTGGACTTAAAATGCCTCCGTGTTTGTTACAGTTGGAGCACCTTGAAAGCAGAAGGAATCCTGATGCTTTAGAGTTTAAAGAGTAAGTCACCCCAAATCAACTTTTCACGTGTAGTCAACAGTTTTGCACTTTAGTGCATTTGTTAAATTTTAATTTTCTGCCTAAAACTGTCAGTGTTGTGCCGTTGTCTGGTAAAAACTCTGCACAGCAGTTGAATTTAAATCTGCCATCACTATTGACTAAGAGGTACCCTAGAATGTTAGATGGTACCATATGATGTCACAATGTCATTGTGAGCCTGTGTGTGTGTATTTGTTAGCGGCTCCGCCCTCTCAGTCTGCTAGGCAACCGCATTTGTTGCATTTTTCAAACAGGAAGTGGGAGTGGAGTCATACTTTGGTAGGGGGTGACCTGCTCTTTAAAGTAGAATACCTTCACCACTCAGTTCACATCATGTAAACAACAAGACCCACAGTCTCAAACCACTGAACCACCATTTGAGTCATGCATTTAAACTCCAATATTTAACATTTCACCTCAGAAATAAAGACTAAATGAATAAAAGATGTGTTAATGAGAAGCTGAGTAGTGAAGTTTGAGTTATTCGAGTAGCTGAAGTGTAACGTGAGCAGGTCACGTTGAGGCTGCAATGAGTGTTTGTTCGGAGTTGGTGGCGGGGTTTGTTTGGAGGTCAGCGGTGCGACCTAAGAGAGCACGGCGTTGGAGCGCCGAACTCCAATCAGGTTGTCAGCGCTGAGCGATCGTCTCATGGCTGCTCGACTCAAGTCCTTGTACTTGTCTTCACAAAGTCTAGAAATGGCCTGAGGGCAAAAGATTATAAAAACAATCAATTATTTAAAAAGTCAGTAAACATTTAGCTTTTGTTTAAACTAAAGATCTAACAGAACTTTTAGGTCGTGAGCACAAACATCCTGCAGCGTGATGAACGCTTTAATGTTTGAGACACACGGGGGTTATTTTTAGTGTTTGGCGGGAAGCACCTCTAGTTTCTGGGCGCGCTGGTTGTTGAGAGGCTCCAGAGGGAAGCTGAGATTGTTGTCATCAGCCAGCTGCCGCAGGTCAAAGTAATACTTGGCGTAGACACTGGCTGGAACGTTGATATTAAACTGGAGGAGTTCCAGGAACTGGCGCTCCATCTCATTCCTGGAAGGAAGGACGACACCAGACAGTTTATTTGTTTCCTGAGAGGGTCCTTTACACAAAAACACACAGGAAAATCTACAGTGCGGCCCTTCAAAATAAGAGCACCAAGTGACCTTGCTAACACACAGAAATCTCCACCCTGAACTAGACTGTGTAATATGATGTGAAATGACTTTACCAGTTAATTGGATAAAATCAGAAATCCATACTTTGATCAAAAGCACGCTAATGGGGAAGCAATTTGTGACAATTAGCAGACTAAAATACGGATTTTGATGAACTGCACTGACATCCAAACACATGCAGCATCTTTTAAAACTTTCTAGGTTTATAAAGTCTGAAACATAATTCTCATTCACACAGCTGCAGATTAAGCCCGGTTCACACGGCAGGATTTTTTAAACTGTTGATCAATTTTCCAAAGATAACAGGATGCACACGTGGTGACAAAAATCACGGATATACCCACAGTTAGGTGTGCTGCAACGTGGCCAACACTACACTTCACTTATGGCATTTACACACTAGCATCAGCTCTACTCCGCCTGGACCGGGCTTAAGCATTTTCATTTAGTTTGCAAGACTGCTCAATCTGCTTTTGTTTAACAATGGAGACACCGCAGACTTCTCTGTGCACCTTTGTCCCGCCCACGTGCCCGGAGACACGCCCATGACATCACAGACCAGAGTGCCCGTGTGCTCATTCATGTCCGCATTCCTAGGGGAATATGGAACGAACACAGCCAGGCTGGGGCGGAGTCGATGCTAGTGTGCAAGCGGCCTTACAGACATTCCCGCTCAGATGGGAAACTTCACAAGATCAAACATGACTTCAGAGTAAACAAACATGGATGGGTGTGTTGCGTGCTTCCGCCACCTTGCATTGTGATTGGCTGCACATCACGTTCAACAAGCAGCACATTTATTTGTTCTTGAAAATCTGGCGAAGACAATCCAGAATATTTGAAAGCACCGATTTATTATCGATGCGAGCTCGATGTGCTTCTGATCAGACCAGAGTGGTCTCAACACACCACACACAGTAGGAAAACCTGAAAAGATTATCTTTAGAGCCAATCCGGTAGCCATCTTAAGATCAATCCAGGATGTTTGAAAGCACCGATTTATTATCGATGTGAGCTCGATGTGCTTCTGATCAGACCAGAGAGGTCTCAACACACCACACACAGTAGGAAAATCTGAAAAGATTATCTTTAGAGTCAATCCGGTAGCCATCTTAAGATCCTTAAAAATGACGGAAGAGGAAGATCTGGTTCAGACTTGGCATGGTTAACCTGTTGCGTGAACCAGGTGGTACAAGACGAACTTTATGCGACAAATGTTCTCCGTGTTTGAGCCGTTTGATCTTAGTAATTCTGTCTTTTACTGGTAAGAAACTTTTAACAGGAAGGAGGTTAGAACCTCAAATGTTTTCCATGGATGCTTTATTTTCTTTATTATATTTGAAAACTGGAAAACACTGAATGAATTCCATACTTTCCCAGACTGGCTATATTTAGACATCACTTCTTTGGGAAAAGAAGGAAACACTGCGGTAGCTGAACTGTTTTCCTGCACCGCTCTGCTCCATAAAAATTCAAATGACACCACAAAGAAGATCAAGTAACGTATTGGAAGAGAGGTTTAGAGTTACATAATGACACGGCTCTGTGCACAAGCTCTGGCTGTTGACCATCAAACTTTGTTTTTCTCAAACTAAATTAGAAGTGAACTACGGTCACCCTGTGAGATGGGAGCAGGAGGTAAACCTTTACATCAGCCGTCTGTACGGGAGGCTTCAGCAGAGCTCGCTTGTGATCAAGCATTTCCACCTAGACGACAGCCTCCATCATCACAGCCACCAGAGTATCTGAGGGAGGTGGTCACCAAGGAGACAGCATCCAGGAGGCTTTGTTGGTCAGCAAAGGTGGTGAGAGGACATACGAGTGTGTGTGTGATGTCTGGTTTCCTGGGGCAACTAATGGAGTGGACGAGAGCCGGGGCCATTATGTAGAAGCAGTGAGAGCACTTGAGACCCTCCCCTCTATTTCCCTCTCTACTCTTCTTCCCATCCCTCCGTCCAGACCCCAACCAGCTCACAAAGACACTTCAGTTGCAGCAATGAAAACAGAGCAGAGAGAGCGTAGGTCAGAGGGGGGCCAGAGGAAGATGGGGGGTGGGGGCTCGCAGGCAAGCAAACACACATGCGGGCAGAGAGCGTCGATCCAAATCAGGAAAAACAAGACAGCGCTCTCAACCTCTTTTACACGCAGACGGGAGAAAAGCAATTGTAGGAAATAAAGGCGAGGTCCTCCAACAGCAGCCCTGTGGCCTCCCCGCTGGTTCACAGCCAGACAGCTGAGATGCTGTAGCTTCCATTCATCCCAGCAGCACTTTGTCTGTCTGCTTCAAGTGCTTCTGATTCAATTTGTTTTAATAGGCAGAGCCAGAAGCCTCTACTATTTGTTACCATTTTATTTTTCAAACCTCAGATCTGGAAACCCAAAACCGACAGATGTACAACAAATCTGCAACAACAAAGCTTTTTATTGTTCATTTCATGTACAGTGTTTCCCTTACATAGGCGTAGCCGTGGCGGCCGCCACGGCTGAAATCCCAGCACCACGCCTACAAGATCCCAAGTTTTATTGATTTTTTTTTTGCGCTGTTTCCCGAAGAAGCAGCGGGAACTACTCTGTTGTTGCTTGTGATCACAGCCGGCAGGCAGCAAGGAGGAGCAGGCAGGACAGGGTGAAGTTACAGCTAGGGATGAGCCGGATACTCATTTCGGACTAGTATCCGGTACGGATAAAGCATTTTTGACGAATACGAGCATGAAACGAGTAAAACTCGTAAATCTCTGTAATCGTGCTGAAGGAAAATCCTCATTGGGTAATTGACTGTCTTCACGCACTGTGATTGGCCAGTCACATAAAGCGCACGCCCCTCCCTACACACGAAACTGCAGCCGGGAGCTCAGTCCATCCGGCCCATCCACGCACACACACGCACACAGAGCTGGGCGGACACTGTGCGACTTTTTCACTCGTAGCACTCAGCTTCAGCTCAAACTGCACAACTTCCTCGCAGGGCAGATCTCACGAGTCATGTGCTCACACTGTACGACCCAGTTCTCGGATGCGACCTGACTGCTCACACTGTACGTCTGGTAGCAACACGTCGGACCTAAAAATATGCTAAAAATAGCAGTTTTTACACAACACGTCAGACTTTTTTGTCTTGCCTGTTGTCCTTCGGGAGTGCTGCAGGAGGACACACAGGGATTTATGGGGGTTGGATGAGGAAAACGAAATAAAGAAAGTAAATCTGTGTTTTGTGATCAGTTTAATTTGACATGAACACGACAAACACGCTTTCTAGACAATCTTTGTGAGTAAAAAACCGTGTAGAAATAAAAACGAACAAAGTGTGTTATTAGGGAAATAGCGGGTGAGCGGTGTTGATGCAGGATTGCGCATGCGCCGTGAGCGGTTCTGATACTTTTTGGGTCGCAGCTGCTCGCAGCGCCGCTTCAACAGTGCGATACCCTCACGAGGGACGAGCAAAATATCAAACACGCCAGAAGTTCGTGCGAGCTCACGATTGCTGATCGGTAGCTGGTCACGTGGTGTTAATCGCCTCTCGTAACCCCCTGTACACTACACGACGCTCGGCGCAAAACTCGCCCCGATCTTGTGGATTCTCGCACGAGTGGAAAATCGGCTCAAAAGAGTGAAAAAGTCGCACAGTGTACGCCCGGCTTAAAACGGATCTGTGCTTGCTTCACTGTTGCTGACGTTTCTTCAGTACTCCCTAGGTTTTCTTCAGCTTGCCTCTTTTCGCTTGAATATTTAAAGTTACTTTTTTCGTAACGTACGTGGTGCATTTGACAAGACAGAGCTGAAAACGGCTCGTGCATGCATCGGTCACTGCCTCCGCTCCGGTCGGGGTATTTTTTTTTAAATTATTTTAACTCTCTCCCTCTCTCTCACACACACACCTCAATCAACATTGTTTTGTTTTACTGTGTGTGGGAAAAATGCCAAACACGTTAGGAAAAAATCAGTTTAATCAAATTAAAATAAAATGGTTCTAGTATTTCATATTTGCTGGTCCCTACTGCATGAGTTCAGATGCATTAATTCATGCACTTAAATATTAATGTTCTGATTTTATTGAAAAACTTGTTCTGAAATAGTTCCTTTACTATTGTGATCAAAACTATTTAATCTCAATTCTGAGGCTGCTCTGTAAATAGTTTTCAAATAAACAATACACATAGCAACTTCTGATCAATCCATATCAATTTCAGATTTAAAATAATGTATTGATGTAAACCGCACCACCTAATTTCCAAATAATAAATAAGAGATGCATTCATCTGTGTATCTCCTTTGATCCGCATTAGTGATATTTTCAGCACCAGAACAATGAAGCAAAGAAACAGATTCTTGAGTTTGTTAGTAATTTTTAGGGGGTGAGCGAGTACACCACTATCTGTATCTGTTCAACCATCTAAATTATCTGTATCTGTACTCGGAGTGGGTGTGGCCTCACCCGGAAGTGGGTGTAGTTTGACCGGAAGTGGGTGTGGTTTACATCAATACGTTATTTTAAGTCTGATCAGAAGTTGATATGTGTATTGTTTATTTGAAAACTATTTACAGAGCAGCCTCAGAATTGAGATTAAATGTTTTTGATCACAATAGTAAAGGAACTGTTGCAGAACAAGTGTTTCAATAAAATCAGGACATTAATATTTAAAGAGCGGGTCAATTGAGCCTCGGAGTCCTTCTCCACCCACGTATCAATTTTAAAAAATGCAACATTAGTAGGCGTTGCCTGGAGGACCGAGAGGGCGGAGCCGCGGCAGTGACGAAGACGATGGCTAACTAGACGAAGCTAGCTCCCTTCACTCTGAGCAGTTATTAGAAGTGGAGGACGTTTCTCCCCCTCCTTACACAGACACTCGAGAAGAAAGGGACCAAGTCTATTTGGAGGAGACAAGCGGACCTGAGTCTTATTGTTTTGAGCTTGTGAGTTGCCTGAAACTCCCAGAACCGACCCAACAGAATCACCTCTGAAAGGTAAGTAGCCGTTAGCCATAGCATTGGATTAGCTGCAGGGTTTGTCTCCACGGCCCTAAAAAGCTAGTATTCAGCATGTTTTAGAGGTTTATCTGCTTCAGCACACCTGGTTTTAATCAGCAACAAATAGCTGAGCTGCTTAACAGCTAATCTAACCTGTTAAAGCAGGAAAATCCACTGAAACATGCTGGATAGCAGCTCTCCGGTAGCTCTGGGCTCAAGTTACAGTCTGCTGCATATAAAGTTATGAAAATACCCCATGAGAAAATTATTCTGTAATGTGTTCAGCCCACTAAAACTGCCCTGATTTCTTTATTTATTTACTGATAACAGCTGCTCTCTTGGTTCTAGGTCCTCTGTTGTCTGCAGCTGGTCTCCTCTGCTGGTGTCATCAGGATCAGGAACTTTCAGAAGAACGTGCCTTTCAATGACTCTTTCCCCCTTATTTGTTATATTAATTAAATAAATCTCAATTTATATATTTCCTGTTTTTGTTCATGTCCATAAATACTTAAACATGCTTGAAATTAGAACGAGCTTTTAACAGTGAGGTGCTAGTTTAATTAATCACAATAGCTAGTTAAACATGCAACAAAAATGTGATATTCAATGTAATTTATAAATATCCATTAAAATATCAAAACGAATCTAAATGAGATATTTGGCAGCACAAAAAACTTGTCAAACACAATATTTATTATAATAATTGTAGGCAGACAGGAGACAGAGCTGATGGAGGTTCTCAGTCATCGAAGGATGGCTGAAGGCTTTCCAGGAACAGGAGATGTGGTGTGGTCTCTTCTCTCTCTATTCAGCAGGATGAGCTGATAGGTTACAGGTGTGTGAGGACATCCTCATGCTGTCATAACCAGATGACAGGGGTTATCAGGTGATCAGCCAGGCTAATGAGATGCAGAAAGAAAACAAATTCAGGACAGTGTACAATATGTGGTGTTGCTCACCTTATGTGCTCTTATAGAATATTAATGTGTGCATGCCTCATGGTGTAGAGTCCATATTTTGCTGAGTGTCTTGCAATAATGCAGGTTATTAGTTAATTTACTTTTGATAGCAAAAACAAAATATTTAATGTAAAAGTTATTTTCCAGGAGAATCAGCTCACACGTCACCACCAAGTGTCACAGGGGCAGAATCAGTAGCCTCCGTCATGATGTAATCACATACTTATTTAATTGTTAATATCTTAAAAATTCTGAAATTTTTAAATTTTTTTTTAACCTTGAACAGTTCACTGAGCTTGCACTGTCACTGAGGTGGAAGCTGGAATCAACAGCAGACACCTCACATCTTGGTCTTTTCAGGGGGTGTGGATGCTCTGGGACCTTCTGGAAGATGAATTTTCATCATGGTCCCTGTGGGTCACCAGACACACTGCGGCTGTGAACTCCATTCTGGCTGGCTATGTACAAAAACAAAGAAGCAGCACATTTATAAATGTTTAAAAGAGCATAAAATCCCGTGTAACAATATTCTGTAAAACAAATTAAAACTAGAAGGTGATAATAAAATGTTTACATAGAAGATTATTAAAAATAATTCACCTTTGCTACAGGGAAGGTTTCACATCAGCCTGGAAAAGTACATTCATGCAGCTAAATCAGTCTGACAGCCAGTGTCTTGGGTAGATTTAGCCTGAAAAAAAAAATAGAAGCACATTGTTGTTGGGAGTTTATAAAGTCAGATAATATACAAAAGAATCTCCTATATAGGCGCTTTATAACATTCCTAGTGTGTGATCGTTGTTATAACGTAAAAGTCAGTCACATGTGATGTGGAGAGCCTGAAATGCGACCTCCTGAACAGAATTCCTCACAGAACCTGTTCACAAGCTGGATTTCACGCTGTAATGATGTCTGTCAACTAGTGCAGCGTTAGTTAGAGACACTGTAGCAGAATTGCCGACTGACTAGCTAAAGGAAGTGAACCACGTCTCTCAGACTTTGCATTTAGGTAGGGAATTGTCTTTAGAAGATGTTAAAACGTTTATTTAGCTGACTCACCTCAGACTGGAGCCCGCCGTGGTGGGGGAGCAGAGTCGGTGGGCTGCATCTAAATCGCGGAAGAGCCACGGTGGGCAGCCTCCCTCTTCAAACGGAGGCGTGCAGAATCGCGGGTAAAATGCCCACAGAGTCACCGCAAGCATACTACACTACACCTACTCACCAATACTAAGACGATATGGAACACTAAACCCGAAATACTTTCCCAATTACACTAACAGCCAAACACTAACTAAACTACAATATCCAACAGCCAAATCTAACACTAAATAAGTATTTATAACACTAAAAGATATGCTAAAGACTAGGATATGCTAATGCTATATGCTAATGCTGAACTACCGCTGACCTCCTATGCTCGCTTGCAAATCCAACTCCCACTCGCCACAGGGCGTGGCCGAGACGCTCGTTGCTTTTATAACTTTGGCACGGAGCTGATACGTAGTACTCTACTGGTTTACGTAGTACTTTACTCTTTAGCCATTGGCTAAAAATTATTCAAAATGACTAAAATTCTATGTTTTCAGCTGAAGGTGGCGCATTACTGTGGTTTTTAGACAGAATTTTTAATTTTTAAAGAAAATGCACCAAAATGCTAAAATAAAGAATGCACACATTTAAAACACTATTAGACACTCATTTATACAGTTCATCAGCAAAAAAAAGTTAATTTAGACGTTACTTGCTCTTTAAGTGCATGAATTAAGAGAGAGAGAGAAGAAAAGATCTTTTCTATAGCGCCTCTCAAGATAAAAATCACGGGGCGCTTCACAAAAACAAAACATGTAAAATAGAAAAGAATTTAGAAAATGATTAAAATATATTTAAAATGTGCAAAAAATAGACAATTGTGATTAAAAAATGTAAAGAAAGAGAGAGAGTGAATAGGAAAGAGGGAGTGGATCCTGAGGAAGAGGAGAGAGAAAGAAGAAAAAAAAAACAACTGGAACGGAGGCAGTTACTGACGCAGCACGAGCCATTTTCAGCTCTGTCTTGTCACATGCACCACGTACGTTACGAAAAAAGTAACTTTAAATAACTTTGAAGTAACTTTAAAAAGAAGCAAACTGAAGAAAACATAGGGAGTACTGAAGAAACATAAACAGTGAAGCAAGCACAGAGAGATCCGTTACTGTCTGTGTGTGTGCATGGATGGACCGGACGCGGACTGAGCTGTGAGCTCCCGGCTGCAGTTTTGTGTGTAGGGAGGGGTGGGCGCTCTATGTGACTGGCCAATCACAGAGCGTGAAGACAGTCAGTTACCCAATGAGGATTTTCCTTCAGCACGATTACAGATATTTATGAGTTTTACTCGTTTCATGCTCGTACTCGTCAAAAATGCTTTATCCATATCGGTTACTCGTCTGAAACGAGTATCCGGCTCATCCCTAGTAATTTTATTTATAAGGTGCATCTGACCTGTTCTATTTTTCTCTGAAATGAGATCAAATCTGTGCTATGGGTTGTCTCCTCTCTGCACTGGAAAATGTTACTTTATTATAATGTTCACTGTAATGCATCTTGATGTTCTTAACAAATAAATTAAATCAAAGAATTACCGGGCTCCCAGCGGCAGATAAGAGTTGGTCTCTCTCCGAGAATAATTATGAATTTAACAATGATTACTGCCTGATGACATTTTCCCAAATCTGCAAAGCTCACTGGAAGGACACAAACCGAAGATGATATTTTCCTGATATAGGGTTTATTACTCAAGTAAGGGTAAAAAAGTATCTGATTAGAAGGCTACTTGAGTACTGAGTATCATCTGATCTAATATTTTTAAAATGATGACATCAAACAGACAAAAAATACGAAGTTATGGGCAAATATTGGTATTTTAAAGACTAAAGGGGAAAAATGTAAACAAATAAACAACATGATTACAAAATAACACATTTTAGGCAAAATTTAGACACAAACTGAGGACAATATTTTCCTGATATACAGGGTTTATGTAGTTGTCTGAAAATGTAACACGTTTAAAAATATACGGCAATAATTCCGAAAACCGTGGTAATTTTGGTCACAATAACCGTGAGGTTAAATTTTCACACCGTGACAACCCTAGTCATTACTGTATTTTCTCAGAGTAGGGAGACGTGTCCCAATAAGAGGAAAGACCAATGACAGCCATAGTCCTTGTGATGCATTATGAATTAAATATGTCCAACTCACATGTCCTCTACAGTGATGTCTTTAAGGATCTGGCAGTAGTCCACATTCCACACGGCCTGGTCATCCCACACTTTTGAGGCCAACAGGATCGCTCCCAGGATGATACGCTTCCAGTTGGCCGGGCAAATATCCAACTCTGCGTAGGTCAGCAAACGTTCCAAGTACACCTGGAGAAAGAAAATGTCCAGATTTTAAAAGCTGTTTGTCAACAATAAGTCAACATTCATATGCAGTGTTGTGAACAAACATTTACCCATTGAAGGTTTCTTTATTTAACCTGATCAGTAAAGTCATCAGTAGTCCAGCATGGTCCAGGTCCTGAAGCAGCCCCAGACCATCACACTACCACCCCCATGTCTGACTGTTGCTATGATGATATTTTCTTAGTTTTACTCCAGATGGAGCCGAACACACACCTTCCACATGATCCAACTTATGTCTCATCAGTCCACAGAATATTTCCCAAAGGATTTTGGACTTTTGTGTTCTGATTTGGTCAGATGAGGCACAACGGCGTAATGACTCACTCCATAACAAACCTCTAACTCACTTTAATACAAGCTAAAACCAAAAGTCTTTTGAAGTGATCCTCACTTTTACACCTTAAAATGTGTCATTTGATGTGTTTGCAGGAGCTTACTGCCCTCTGTAGGCCAAATAATGTAACTACAACTGTGTCACAAGATGCCTGGTGAGACTCAAACTAATATTGTGCACATTTTCCAGGTTTAATATGAAATATTTCCTCTTAAAACCTCAAATCGAACAGAAAGAAATAAGTAAAAAACAAAATCTGACTATTGCACTTACAAGTGTGACGATAGCACATTCTGCTGTGAGCTGTGCAGCACTGAAGAGCGTTCTGACGAAGCGGTAAATCAGCTTGTGTTCTGGGTCGACATATGAGTAGTCATCTGGTACTGGCTCTCTCTGTGCGGGACGGACGGACGGACGGACGGACGGACGGACACACACACACACACACACACACGTGTGAGGGAGGAGACAGGATGTAAAGATAATTTTAGTCATTTATGAGGAGCAGATTTAGCTGTTAATAGCTCTTAGTGGTGATTCATCAACATTTATGCTCCATCTGAGCTAACACCAAGTCAGATCAGAGTAACACCATGGACACAGAGCTCTGGATGAGAGTTGGATTGGTGGATAAATACGAGCAGATGTACAAATGTCTTGTTGTCCATGTTAATACATTTGTTACATTTTCTACATTACAAAAAGGTCTCATTACATGTTAACACCAACAGTTGTATACTCACTGATAAAGGGTGCAACTTCTCATCAAAGATGTCCAGTGACCTGTCTGAGTCCCTAAGGGCAAACATCCATCAGCAGCAGTCATGCTTTTATTTAGTAAAATATTCTAACAGAAGACTAGTTTATAGACTTGGACCTACCTGTTTTTGATGTGGTAGTATATTGCTAAAGTGACACTGAGAAGAGAATATTAAAAATTAATGTTTAGGTAAATTACCATTTTTAATGGCTGCAAATGACACAAGAGCAGAAAACTGATTAAATGAGCATTAAACGTGAAAGCTGGTCATAAACTGACACAGTCCTGATCAAATGTTATAATCTGGTGCAGCTAAAACAATGTTGTAACAGATTATGCCCCAGAAACAAGGACCAATATCATTTGATCAGTATTACTGCTGGATTATCATGCTGTCACGTAACAAGATTTTCTCGTGTGTGTATGTGTGTGTGTGTGTGTCACCATTTGATTGTGCTTTTGAGGTTTGGCTGGCTGACAGTGCTGTCATCTATAAAGATGGTGGAACAGGAGCTGTATTTCTTGGACAGCGGACCAGGAGACACCTTTAGATGGTGAAAATCACATTTAGCATAAACTGATCTGAGAACAGGGATGTTGATAAAAGGTCATATGTTCTTTATTTCTGAAATGTTTAAGGGAGTTGTTCCGTAAGTGCAGGCTGTGAAAGACTACGCCCATTTCGCTACCAAAATGGTTACAAGATATGGTTACTATATATCTTAGCAAAGTTCTTTAAGGGAGGATTTTGTATGAAGACACAACGGCTGAGAGGACCAAGCCGTCGCATCCCAAACCCAATCACCTCTGACTGATCACGCTTTACGCCGGGGACACACCGGCCACCGAAGCGCCGCGAAATTGGGGTCGCCTTCATTCGGCGCCCTTGCTATCCTATTCTATAGACCACATGGGTCACCGAAGCGCTCCAGCCCGCACCGTGCAGCGATCGTTTCGGCGTCTGCTCTATTTTTTTCGCGAGCCGTGAGTGGACCGTGTCAATTCTGGCAGGAAGTCAAACCTAGACATAAGAGGCAGGCCGGTAAATTTAACAAAATAAAGCATTTCAAAATACAATTCCTCGATAGTCAAATGTGTTCGTAAACAGACACTGCATAACACACACACACACACACACACACACACACACACACACACACACACACACACACACACACACACACACACACACACACACACACACACCTTGTGTGCGACCACGGGAAGGGGGTGTGGTTTTGGGTGTTTTTCAACCAGAGCAAACAGGACAGAGAGGCAGAAAGTCGTAGGACAGCTATTAACTACTGGTTCACACCATAGGTTCACACACACACACACACACACGGACAGACACACATACAAACACACACAAGGACAGACACACACATACAAACACACACAAGGACAGACACACACATACAAACACACACACGGACAGACACACATACAAACACACACAAGGACAGACACACACATACAAACACACACAAGGACAGACACACACATACAAACACACACACGGACAGACACACACATACAAACACACACAAGGACAGACACACACATACAAACACACACACGGACAGACACACACATACAAACACACACAAGGACAGACACACACAAACAGCAAGGGGGGTGTAGAGGAAAAGAGCAGAGAGGAAATGGAGGACACCGAGTGGTTAAGATAAAAACTATGAGGCGCGCCTCGACCGGAGCGGAGAAACAAGCGTCTGGTCTGAACTGAGGAGCAGCGGCCAAATTTCGTGAGCGCTTCGCCTCCCGGCGCTTCGGCGGCTGGTGTGTCCCCGGCGTTAGTGTTCTTGCACAGAAAAATGAAGTAGCAGGTAGATTTGGAGACTTACATGAGTGATATGGTTTATGTGGTTGCTTCTCCTCTTGTCTCGAACTGAAACTATAAGAGACATGGTTAATAGAGTAAACAGGGAGCAGCTCTAATTGATTTCCTGATGCATGTTTGTGTGTGTAATTTAATGTCAGAAAAGACCTAAAGCCAATCTGCATCTTGAATCCACTCCACATATATAGAAAACGTGTTGAAACACTCTAATATGAGGAATCCACAGACAAATGACAAACACGTGAAAAATGATTTAAAAAAAAGGTGTCCATTTACACAGTCTACTGCTGCTGCCTTTAAACATTCAAACACAGAGGAAATGAGTGACTGAGGGGGGGCTTGCTGTGTGATTTGGGGACATCATCTTCCACCAGCTGGCTCTCACCTCAGTGGATGCAAAAGCAGCCAGAAACTAAACCCAGAACAGAAACATCTCCTGAAACCCACAACCTGCAGGAGGTCTTTTCAAATTCTTTGGTCAGAAAGCAGCGACTGGGTTTTGTCTGGTGATGAAGCAAATCCTTGGGTGTTAGTACAGGTAAAGCGGTCAGAAAACCAGATTTCTCTGTAAATGACATCCAAGCTTAGCCGAGCTATGATGAGCCCGGACACTCCCCCTTCTGGAAGTGACGACACAGCAGAAGAAGCCTTCTGATAATATCATCACCACATTATCACCTTCTCAGTGGCCTAGAGTGTCCGCCCTGGGACTGGGAGGTCAGGGTTCAAATCCCGGATGGTTCATACCAAAGACTTAAAAAACGGGACCCAAAGCCTCCCTGCTTGACACTCAGCTTGAAGGGGCTGGATTGGCAGGGTATCTGCAGGTTTAAGGGAGTCAAATTTAAGACTTTTTAAGACCTTTTTTAAGGCCACTTTGACCAAATGTAAGCTATTTTTAAAATTAAATTTAAGCTATAATTTCCAGCTATTGCCTGGAACCAGTGCTAACCACGTCGCAATCGTGGGATTAGCCATCCAGTTACCATTAAACTTGCACTTGCCCATGGCGCAAACTCCCACTAGCTTAACCAGCTAATGCGCACATCTAAAAATAGCCCCCTTTCACAACCAACTGAATGTGTACGGTTCCACTTATGCCAACATCGTACACAAAAAATACTGAACACTAACTAGAAATTCACGAACATTTTATAGAAATAAAAGAATCTTGTTTATTGTGTCTTTGGTAATTTAAGACCTTTGGAAACTGTATTTAAGGATTATTTGTCATTTTAAAGAATTTTTAAGGCCTTAAATTTGGAAAAGCAAATTTAAGACTTTTAAGGACCCGCGGATACCCTGGATTGGGGGGTTACACCACCAAAAAGTCCCTGAGCACAGCCAGAGCTGCAGCTCACCGCTCCACGTGGGGATGGGTCAAATGTGGAGATGAATTCCACCAGTGTGTGATGACTCATGGGACTTTAAGACGCCTTGTGAATTCAACACGTAACACTGTCAACCGCCAGCATTTGTTTACCATTTGTGTGTTGCTATAGGCTAACCAGAAAAATGCCAGCACAAAAAGGCACATGCAGCACCCTGCAGTCATGAGTGGAACACACCCAATCCAATCATTTGTTTTTTCTAACGGGCATGCAAACTAGGATAAAGGCCCAGTGTCTGGATTAGGTATTATGTTGATTATGACCATAGCTCAACTCAGATGCCCATGTAAATGCACTGACTGCTGGTCAGCAAGAAGGTTGCAAGTTTGAATCCCGACTGCAGCCTTTGTGTGTGGACTTAGCATGTTCTCCCCAAGCACAGGTGTATTTTCTCCTGGCATGCTAGGACCTGCTAGAACACCTACTCGGAATGGCTCGACTCGACTTATCCACCAGTAACCACATCCCAAACGTTAAACAATCATCAATTTTAATGATTTTACATCCTAGAAGTTAGGTTCAAATGTAATTAAGTCGGAGTCTTGCTGCAGAGAAAGCTGCTTGTTGTTGTACACTGGAAACATCGTCTGATCACTTTAATCATCATCTTTAGAATAAATAATTTTATGGGATGTAACAAACAGTATGACAGCTTGCATTTAACTTTGCATAAAACTTTTAGAGATAAATAATAAACATTTAATGACTGAATGCAACCATCCAGAGAAGTCATCTGATTCAAAATAGAATTAATTTACTACTAAATTATGGTTTATTTTTGCAGTGAAACTTGTTAGGATGGTTGTGAACCTCTGCTGTGTGTGTGTGTCATGTGAGAATCCCTCACCGTCTGTTTGAGACTTGCAAAGGAAGATGGTGCTTGCTCGGGCGTGGTCTGATGGGTTTGACTCCAAAGCCAGTTCTAAGAAAGCATAAAGTATACAAATGCTTAGAAACATGGCTGCTGGTGAGTTGTTTATTCTTGTTAGTGGAAAGAGACAACAAGTAGTAAGCACAACACCACAGTCAAGTTGCGTGATAATGAACTTTTCCTTCATGTCCAGTGATTTGCAAAGCCTGACAAACGCAAGTGCAACTGTCCCACTTATGTGTTTAACTGAAAATTTAAAACATATATGTAACATTCATTAAAAGCACACAGGGACGATGCAGCCACGAACTCCTCTGTAATAATAATAATAATAATAATAATAATGCATTTAATTTGTAGGCGCCTTTCAAAACCCAAGGTCACCTCACAAAACATGATAAAACTTACACGCAAATAAGAATAAGATAATTTAAACAATAAAATTACAAAAAGTATGCTATAAATTTCAGAGTAAAGAGTTTGTGGGCTAGAGAGTGTAAGCCAGGTTGAACAGGTGAGTTTTGAGTTTGGATTTGAATGAGAGGAGGGAGTCAGTGTTTCGGATGTCAGGAGGAAGTGAGTTCCAGAGCCGAGGAGCAGAGCGACTGAAAGCTGTTTCCAACGGTGGTAAGACGAGCAGGAGGAACCACAAGGTGAATGGCAGAGGAAGACCTGAGGGAGCGAGATGGGACAGCAACGTGGATGAGATCGGAGGGGTAAGGAGGGGCGAGACAGTGGATACATTTGTAGGTGAGAAGCAGGATTTTGAATAAGATTCTGTGTTCAGTAGGCAGCCAGTGGAGATGCTGAAGAACAGGGCTGATGTGATCTCTATAGGGGGTACGAGTGATGATCTGTGCAGCAGCATTTTGGAGGAGTTGGAGCCGATGGAGGGATTTATGGGGGAGACCAAAAAGGAGAGTTACAGTAGTCAGTCCTAGAAGTGACTAGGCTGTGTACGAGGATGGCTGTAGCATGAGGAGTGAGAGAGGGACGGAGTGGGTTGCGTAAATGAAAGTAGGCTGAGCGAATGATGTCTTTGATGTGGGCTTTGAATGATCAAGTGCTGTCAAGGATGACTCCAAGACTCTTTACATGGGGGGAAGGAAGGATGGAGGAATCGTCGATGTTAATTGATATGCTGGGGGATTTGTTCAGCGTGGAGGGTTTGCCTATGAGTAGAATTTTGGTTTTATTGCTGTTGAGTTTCAGGAAGTTTGAAGAGAACCATGATTTTATCTCAAGGAGACAGCTGGATAGGGAGACTGGAGGGAAGATAGCATCGGGTTGAGAGGAGATATAGATTTGAGTGTCATCTGTGTAGAAGTGGAAATTTATCTTGTTTTTGCGAAAGATATGGCCAAGTGGAAGAATGTACATGATAAATAAGAGAGGTCCAAGAACAGAGCCCTGGGGAACATCGGCAGAAGTTATTGGGATCAGAGCCAGGCTTTTTTAGAATAGGTGTGACAGAAGCAGTTTTGAATGCTGAGGGAACAGAACCAGTTGTGAGAGAAGAATAGATTATAGATGAGATTAAAGGGAGTAAGGAAGGGAGACAGGCTTTGACGAGAGAAGTGGGAAGAGGATCAAGTCTGCAGGAGGAGGGTTTGGACTTGTGAATCAGGTCAGAAATATCAGTGATGGAGGGAATCGAAAAAGCTGAAAGAGGATAAATGGGAGGCAGAGAGGAAAGATGAGTGGGAAAAGGAGACAGTACGGTGTTTTTCAGGAGCAGTTGAATTCAAAAGGTCAGAGAGGTAGTGGTTGTTATGGGAAACCAGGCCATCAGGAGACATGGAGTCATGCGGCTGAGGAAGGTCCCGGATAGTTGCGGAGAAAGAATCAGTGTTAATGTCCTTGATGTTCCTAAAGGTGATAGTCCTAGTAGTGGAGATTTTGTCCATGGGTAGGTTTACAGTGAAGGAGATGAGTTTATGGTCAGAGAGGGGGAATAACTTGTTTTCAAACCAGAGGGGGTCACCCCAGAGCAGCAGGCCAGGTCCAAAATGTGACCTTTACAGTGGGTGGGAAAGCTGATGTACTGTTGGAGACCAAAATTATCCAGGACGGAAAGGAAGTCTCTGGTCAGGGGGATATTTCCATTATCAATATGAATATTGAAATCTCCAAGAATTACGATATTGGGAGAGAGCAGGAATAGATGAGTGAGGAGGGCAGAAAAATCACCCATAAAGTCCTTGTTTGGTTTAGGAGGTCGGTAGATACTGCAGATGATGGTAGGGGTGGGGCCAGATAACTGGGAGCCGCTGTATTCAAATGACTGGAAGGATGGAGCAGACACTGGGAGGATCCTCAGCTGTTTGCGGTGAATCATCGCGAGACCCCCGCCCCTGTAGACATTATAGCTAAAACTGATGACAACCTAAAGTGGACACAGCGCTGCATTAACATGACTTAGAAGTTGTCTTTTTCCAAATCCCTGCAGAGGGCACATTGCACAAATGTCAGGGGATTAGGTGATGGATGCATTTGTGAAGCGTGGACAGCAAGGAATGCAGGAAGAACTGCTGGGTGGATTGTGACCCTCACCCAGCCAACAGCTGGTCTCAGACTGCCTTGGGGCTGCCCTAAGTGATGTGAAAGTATTAAATATGCTGAGTGTGTCTGGGAATTAGGGCTGGGCAATAAACTATTGTTATAAAAATGTCTGACTCTTATCGAGATAATTTTCCCATTTCAATAAATTTGATTTAAAAAATGAAAAGATCAATATTTTGCAGTGGAGAGTGAGACAACTAAGAGAATGCTCTCTTGTGGGGTGGCTCAACAGCTGCCGTAAGTGTTCATCTTACATGCATTTACAAACGTATGTACGTGTTTTCTACTTCACCTCTGCAAACTTCCTGACAAAGTTTCAAATGAACAAAACCCAGTGGAATCCACTGAGTGGATCTTGTTGACACGCACCTTCGGGAAGCTCCCTGTCGCTGATGTGCTGCAGGTAGGGTACGGTGTTGTCGTCGCTCACTTCGGTGCTGGTGCAGAACTCCTCCAGCCGCTCCGCGGGTTGCCTCAAAGGAAGTTTGGGGCTGGACTCGGGAGAGACGCAGCATGACACCGTATTCCCCATTCCAACGTGGGCCTAAGCTTTACACTATAACTGCTAAATCCAAGTAGTACATATATCTATAGCTAGCTAACTCCCAGTCATATAAACATTAGGAGACAACAGTCAGTCCCATCATCCCCTCTGTCCACCAACTTCCCAGCTCTGCATTCCTGCCCATTTGTGGATAACTGGATGAGGAAGAGCTTCCCGGGCAGAGTTTCGCTCTCAGACGCTCAACGCGCTCTTTTAGTAACAGTAAACACTTATTTAATACAGGTGATCAAGAGTTCATTCATTCATGCAGCAATTGACCGATTAGTAGCTAACTAGCAGTTAGCTTCTCCGGAATTCTTCTCTACCTCGCATCGTAAGTACTTTTTACAAGGATAATAAACATAAATTATTCTATAAATTGCACACGGTAATACTCAAAAACTAGAAACTTAATTACATACAGTTAAAGAGAGTTTTAACACAATCCTACAAACGTCTTCTTCCGCTCGGCTCCAAAAAGTTTACTAAATCGAGTCCGAGGCTTTCGCGGCCTCCAATAAAAATCCTAAATAAAACGTAAAAATACGTCAGTTCCTGAGAATTAATGTTTGGTAAGTTGGCTTGTTTCATATCCACCATCAGAAACCCAACTCAAGTAGCTTGTCAGGACTCCTCCATCACAGCCACCGCCCTGCCAGATTTAAGCCGCAAAGAAATGCTCCTATCGCCGCCATCTGTTGCCGGAGATCTCGATGATACCACTTTGGAACTGAAGAGTTTTAGCCCCGCCCAGCTTGGAATTCCATTCATTCTTATTGGCTACAACAAATCAAAACAAAATGTTTTGAGAGCCATTTATTGGTTGGAGAGCCTGTCTGGTAAAAGTGAATTAAATCGTGCATAATGCCACTATTTTAGTATGGTCACCCATCCACACCCTTTTCTGACAGGGGATAGCTGACGCCCCTTAAAAATCATTAGTCATTATTCTGTCTTGTCATCTAAGTGATAAAACAACTGAAACCAAATTACAGCTTTGTCCATACAATTAAATAAAAAATTATCTCAAAACATTACCCAACATGAATGAATGAATGAATGAATGAACGAAAAAAGCTAGAAAAAGGTTACTTTTTGCAATGCAGATTTTTTTTTTCACATTAATAAGTAGATAATAGTGAAGTAGTCATACATTTACATTTTACAGCCTGATACATGCAAGTTACTTACCGGGACACATACAGGGCACAAGCCGCCACTAGCTGATTAGATGAACGCCAGTCAGAAGCTCCCAAGAAGTGAGTGACACAACTTCAGCCAGCCAATTAAAGGTGGGTGTGTATTAGAGCCCTGTACTGAAGCCCTAGGCCCTCGGGTCGGCCCGGCCCTAGGCCCTCGGGCCGGGCTTCGGGCCAACGACTGTGTAATTACCTTGGACACGGGCCGGGCCGGGCGCCTTTATTTTTAATCGAATTCATTTAAAAAAATTGAAACACAAACGCAGCAGTAGAGCCCTGCGCGGGACTGTTTTCTTCATCCCGCTCCCGCTGAATTTCTGACAATTACCTCCTGCAACTGCAACGTGTGTGTTACACTCCCCGCAACCGCAAAACTCGGAGAAATTATTACCTCACAATAAAAGAGATATTGAGTTTGCGTCCTCTCTGGTCCTGGAGAAAACATGTCACAACCCGCGGCTCTTCCATCCATCTGATGCGGCTCTCTGTGCTTGTAAATTAATGAATGGATATTTAAATAAAATGCTTTATATTTTACTGAATTAATTTTATATCTGTAAGTCAATTCTATGTAAAGATTGTCTGAGTAAACCTGAACAGGTCCAACCCAGTCTTACTGTGAGACCGGGTTGGGTCACGCTTGTGCGTAATATAAGCTGTCTGAGCTGAAGAGATTCTGGGATTCTCCTCCTGGATGTGTCGCCACATTGGAGACAGGAACAAGCACTATTCAGCCAAAGTTTCATAATCAGGGAACATTTTCTAAGTGACAAGTCACTCTGAGAGACAGGGTTTGGAAAACACTCGCTTCAGTGGGAGGAACCTTCCCGCATGCGCTCTGGTTCTGCGATGCGCTCCAAGCCCCTCTCCACAACGTCAGCTCGCTGTGCACATATGCGCTGACAGTGAGCTGTGCTGAGCAGCTCAGATTTTCAGATGGGAATCTTTTCTTGGGTGATTTAGCTACATCTGCGATGTGTGTAACGAATAAAATGTGATGGTAAACAAGGGAAAAACAAATTGATCGGATCCTGCACATCTTTTAACACATTGGTCAGGACTGACGCACTTTGTTTTCATTTAGTTGGTTTAAAAAAAAAGTCAGTCTCGGACCGGGCCAGAGAATCCTGAAAACATTTTCGGGCCGGGTCGGGCTGGGGCTCCACCCCTTCGGGCCGGGCCGGACACGGGCTCAGATTTTAGGCCCGTGCAGGGCTCTAGTGTGTATCGTCAGCTTGAACTGCAGGGAAGCAGGGCCCCCCAAAAAAGCTGTCAGCTCAATGCAAATAATGCACAAACAGTACCTATGTAAATGCAATGATTCTACCAGGGACAAATTGAGTTGAAAATATTTAATTAATTTCCCTCTGGGATTAATGAAGTATTTTTAATTGAATTGAATTGTTAATGTGCCATTATAGGACATAAAGGGACCTGGTTTGATTATGGAGAACTGTGTACTGGGACTTTTGGGGCTTTGTTGAGAATCCTTAGGGGGTTTTGCACAGAGCAAGGACAGGGTATTGACCCTTTGCACCTATGTCATCTGATCACGTGTCATCGCCATGACGGGAGGGGGCCATAGCTAGTTCATGCAGCGCAAACTCTTTTGAGAAAGAAGATGGCGAAAAGAAAAAAAGATGAGTACCGGAATTTTCAGGCAGAATGGACAGAGGAATTCGCCTTTGTGGAGAGAGCAGGTTCTGCAGCGTGTCTAATATGCAATGATAACATTTTGTCGATGAAACTGTCAAATATAAAGAGGCACTTCGACACACACCATGCTACATTTGCAGCAAAATATCCATCGGGGGACAGCAGGAAGAAAGCCTGCCAAAAACTACTGTGCAGAGAGCAAGCTAGTCAGCAGCAACTCCGCCTCTGGACCCGACAAGGTGACTTCAATTCCGCTTGCTTTGCTGGTTCTTAAGCGATAGCGAGAAACGGAAAGCCATTCAAAGATGGTGAACTTTTTAGCGACTTTTCGGATAAAGACAAGATCAAACGAATAAAGGACATGCCTCTGTCAGCAAGAACTGTTCACGACTGTACCATCATGATGGCAAATCAAGTGGAGGAAACACAAGTGAAGTGAGTTGAGCCGGAGGTGAGGATCCACATGCAGGGGAAGAAGCAGGCAGGCAGGCAAACTGGAATATTTAAAGTGTCTTTAATCACACAGAGCACGCAGGACATAGAAACAATGAACCGACAAGACACACAGAACTGAGAGGGTTTAAATACATGAGGGCTGGGAGCTTGGGTGATTGGAAAACAAGAGGCAGGTGGGCGTAATCAGGAGACACAGGACTGCACAGAATGGGGAGACAGGACAGGGTGTGACATGAAGGACATACAGCACCATTCTTTTTCCTTGCTTTGGATGAGTCAACAGACATGAGCCATTTATCCCAACTCAGCATGATTGCAAGGTATGTTGCCGGGGATGTTCTGCGTGAGAAAACCTTGTTGTTTTGCCAATTAAAGGGACAACATGAGGGGAGGATTTATTCAAGGCTTTCATGGAGTTTGCTAAAGAAAAAAAATCTGCTGATGGATAAACTCGTTTCAGTGTGTACGGATGGTGCACCTTGCATGGTGGGAAAAAACAAAGGATTTTTAGCGGTTTTCCATGAACATGAAAATGGACCCATCCTAAGTTTTCATATAGCATTCTACATCAGGAGGCACTTTGTGCTCAAATGAGTGGTGAGCAGCTTGGTGAGGTGATGTCGCTGGTCATTGGAGTGGTCAACTTTATTGTTGCCCGAGCTTTAAATGATCACCAATTTAAAACCCTGTTGGATGAAGTCGGGAGTAAGTATCCCGGTCTGCTGTTGCACAGCAATGTGCGTTGGTTGTCAAGAGGGAAGGTGCTCAGCCGCTTTGCGGCTTGCCTGAGCGAAATCTGGACTTTTAAAAAAAATGAAAGGCGTCAAGCATCCTGAGCTAGTGGACACTGAGTGGCTCCTGAAGTTTTACTATCTCGTGGATATGACTGAACACCTGAACCAGCTCAATGTGAAAATGCTGGGCATCGGAAATACAGTCTTATCCCTTCAGCAAGCAGTGTTTGAATTTGAAAACAAGCTGGAACTCTTCTTCGCAGATATTCAAACAGGTCGTTTACTGCACTTTGAAAAACTGAGAGAATTTAAAGATGCATGCACAGTAAGTGACCCTGCTCAGCGTTTTGAACTCCAGCAGCTAGCTGGCTTCACATCTCATCTCCTGCAGTCATTCAAAGCATGCTTTGGAGATTTTCGTGAGCGCACTCGTCTTTTTAAGTTCATCACCCATCCACACGAGTGCACAGTGGACAAAGCCGACCTGAGTTGCATCCCTGGTGTCTCCATCAGAGATTTTGAACTTGAAGTGGTTTACCTGAAGGCCTCAGCCATGTGGGTGAATAAGTTCAAATCACTGAATGATGATTTGGAAAGACTCGCACAACCGAAAGCAGAGCTGACCAGCAGCCACAAGTGGTCGGAAATGAAAAAACTTCCACCCGAAGACCAGCTGATTGTCAAAACTTGGAAAGCGCTCCCCATCCCATACCACACACTGCAGCATGTGAGTACTGCCGTATTGACCATGTTTAGGTCTATGTATGCATGTGAGCAGTCATTCTCACATCTGAAAAACATCAAGACCAACCTACGATCACGTTTGACGGATGGAAGCCTCAACGCCTGCATGAAGCTTAACCCCACCACAGATCAACCCAACTAAAAAACCATCAGCAAAACCATGCAGCACCAGAAGTCACATTAATAGTAAGCAGTATTTTATTTATTATTGGTTTGTTTCAGAATTAGTGATGTGTCGGTCGCTCAAAGAGCCGGCTCTATGAAGTGAACAACGGAAGCCGGCTCATGAACAACGAGCCGTTCTGGATGGTGAGCCCACAGTCAGCAAGGATCAAGTCTCTGGGTAACAAGTTGTCCAAAAAGCCACTGTTTGCTGACATGTGAGCATCTGTTGTTCATCCACCCCAGCCCTTTGAGATGAAGGAGATGACCTCTTGTGGAGAAATACCTATTAAGTATTTCATTGTATTTTTGGATTTGTACTGAGTTTGTCCGTGCCCTTGCTTTCAAATCTTTGGGTTTTCCCATGGCTATCTCAAAACAGTCTATTACTGACATGCAAGCTCTGGAAGGACTTTCTGAAACACAATGGCAGAGATGTTTGGACGTGCTGTCTCTGGGGCCAGAAAACACACACAGGCACTAAAATCTCATTCAGGACATTGATTACATTTGTAAAAACTTTGGAAATGGTAGAGCTGTGAACACCAAACGGGTAAGATAGAAATGATATTGGTAAGTTCAGTCTCAGTCTCATTAATGTTAGGAGTAGCTGTTGAAAACATGTGAGGTTTGCAGTGTCTTTAAGGGCTGGCTTTACTAAGTCAAGCACTGCAGTTAACACCTGATAACTGTGTAGTCCTGTAAACGCTTTAAGCTTGCCTGATCAAGAATGTCTGAGTTGAGCTTCTCTTGTAGAGCAAAAGTCTCATCCCGGAGTTGCTGACACTCAAACTGAAGGGATCTGATGTTCTCTAAAGTTAGTGCTGTTTGGCACATTGCATCACATTTTGAGTTGTCAACTATATCATTATTAGCAGGCTCCTTTTCGGTCTCCTCTCCGTCTGCAACGAACACTGACTCAGAGACCTCAGCTGAGAGATTGAGAAGGCATCTGGCAGCTTCATGTCTGGAAGACTCCTCCCTCTTCTTTTTCTTCATGGCCTGTCTCACTTCATACTTCTTTAGACTTCCCAGAGCTCGCCTTTTAGCAGGGGATTTATTATGTGCAAATACAGATGGCACATAATTGGGTGACAAGGGGTTATCACTCTTCTGCCCAGATAAAAGATATCAGAAATCAGCAACTTTGTCAACCAAAACACAACTGAGATGAGGTAGTCACCACATACCATCATATATATATATATATATATGTATGTATATATATATATATGTATATATATATATATATATATATATATATATATATATATATATATATATACACACACACACACACACACACACACACACACACACACACACACAGTATCTATTGTAACGGAATGAAATGACTGTTTTCCACCTAAAAGTCATTTTCCCCCTCTCCTCAGCAAGAACTAAATTAATAAAGCTAATCAAACAAAGTGTTAGTCAATAATAAGATGTTGACCAATCTGTGAAATGACAATGTTATGATTAGTATGCTTTAATAAGTAATATGACTTTAATCCAGCTGCACTAGACATCTTGATACACGTAATGTAAACGCATGACACATTGCTTTTACTCATCCAATCGGAACCTTCCTTTCTGAAGTGTGGCATAGTCTCTGTGGTGTTTATATATCTGCCAACTTTGATTCAACCGTAAATCAAAACATCCAGATTAATAAAACCAGTCCCCAAGCCATCGTAAATTAGTTCACCGCATGCTAAGAGAAGTATCGGACCGGCCACCCGGACTTCCTTTTCAAGCAAAGAACCAACAAGCTGGATAAAATCTGTTGCACTTTACCAACCAAGCAACGGTTCCTTTCAGAATAAAAGCTGAACTCACTGACCCTCCAGGTCCATCTGATGCTGTCAACCAACTGTCGCTTTTTACCTGGAGTCAATCCAAAGACTAGTCTGTCGTACTGCTGACGCTGTTTCATCGGCTCCGGTACCGAAAGAGGGGTTCGAGGACCTGGCATTCTGGATCTGTACGGAGGTCTCATCCTGAAGGGTATGTGTAGAGCGACAAGATGGCATCTTATGTGTTTATGAAACTCTGATCATAGCTTAAGAGCAAAACATCACTTCATCACTCAGACTTGCTTCACTGGATACAAGAGTTCTGATTACATCACTCACACATACACAATTCATTACTTAGAGTTAGTCTTGTTTAAAGTTGTTTAGAAATAAATTTTCTTAAGCGTTTTAAAGGTGACTCTCTTTTCTTGTCTCTCAGTTAATACGAAGTGTTACATAATCCCTGCAATAAAAAGTTCCAATCTTCTGGTGAAAAGTACCCAAAGATCCATAAGATTGATTTCATATTCACTATGGAATCTCATGTCTTATGGTTCATTAAATAGATGTAAATTAAACCCTTACACTATCTATCTATCTATCTATCTATCTATCTATCTATCTATCTATCTATCTATCTATCTATCTATCTATCTATCTATCTATCTATCTATCTATCTATCTATCTATCTATCTATCTATCTATCTATCTATCTATCTATCTATCTATCTATCTATCTATCTATCTATCTATCTATCTATCTATCTATGCATATTATTAGCTAGCTACTGATCCAGAAAGGGAGAATTAGAAGATATTTTAATGTATTTTTGCTGTATACCAGACGATTGTGTCACATACACACCAAAAGTTTGAGGGATTAGCATTGTGTGGTGGTAGTAGATGGTGACTAAACCTCATCAAACCTCAAGCATGCTATGAAAGACGAAAGATATTTTAAAAGATCTTACCTTGCAAAAAATGTTCACAGCAAATCCGTGTGTAGGGCTGCACTCCTTCAAAAGTATGAGCATGCACAGCACTCAGTATTTACTTGGGGCTCATTTGGTCTGGATAACTGGAGCAATGCGGCATGGCATGGAGTCCATCAGTCTGTGGCACAGCTCAGGTGTTGTAAGAGCCCATGTTGCTCTGATAGTGGCCTTCAGCTCTTCTGAACTGTTGGGTCTGGCGTGCTGCATCTTCCTCTTCACAATAGCACCTAGATCCTTCTGTGGAGTTATGGTCAGGAGAGTTTGCTGGCCAATCACGAACAGGGATACCATGGTCCTTAAACCAAGTACTGGTAGCTTTGGCTCTGTGTGCAGGTGCCAAGTCTTGTTAGAGAATGAAATGTGCATCTCCATAAAGTTGGTCAGCAGCAGGAAGTGCTCTAGAACTTCCTGGTAGATAGCTGCGTTGACCTTGGACCTCAGAAAACACAATGGACCAAACACCAGCAGATGATATGGCACCCCAAACCATCACTGACTGTGGAAACTTTACGACCTCAAGCAACGTGGATCTGTGCTTCTCCTCTTTTCCTCCAGACACTGGGACCTGATTTCCAAAGGAAATGCAACATTTACTTTCATCAGATAACTTTGGACCATCATCAGCAGTTCAGTCCTGTTTGTCTTTAGCCCAGGTGAGACACTTGTGATGCTGTCTCTTGTTCAAGAGTGGCCTGACACAAGGAATACAACAGCTGAAACCAGGTCTTTATTTGGTGGTTCTTGAAGCAGACTCCAGCTGCAGTCCACTCTCTGTGAATCTCCCCCACATTGTGTTTCACAATCCTCCCCAGGGAACGGTTATCCCTATTATTTATACACTAATCTTGTCCTTCCCTTTGCCTCTATATTAATATGCTTGGACACAGAGCTCTGTGAATAGCTAGCCTCTTTAGCAATGACCTTTGTGTCTTGCCCTCTTTGTGCAAGGTGTCAAAGGTCATCTTTTGGACAACTATCAGGTCAGCAGTCTTCCCTATTGTTGTGTAGCCTACAGAACTAGACAGAGCCCACTTAGAGGTCTGTCTGTATGTAATGAATGAGTCTAATATACAAGTTTCACTTCTAGATTTATGAGCAGCACCTGTATATGGGATACTTATGCTTATACTTATTATGGCATGATCTCCCAGTGTGGGAACTTAGGGGAAATGTACTAATTACTTAAGGAGATACGTACAGGCTCACTTAGGATATTAGATACATACCAGACCAGATACTGATGAAGGTACGGTAATCCATACATAACAACATACATTTGACATTATTTGAAGACTGTACTTGTAAGAGAGTATTGTTACAATTATTTTAGTGTTGCTCTCAAAGAATGAGTTACAACAACTCCAAATTACAGTATTTTGAATTTGAGTTCAACTGAAAATCAAAAAAGTAGAAATCTGTAACGGGGAGTTTCATCTTACATTCCTGTTTGTTGTTTCATTGTCAAAACCTTTTCTGTGATGTTATCCAGTAACGCCTCCTAGATGTTACCTCATACCTCTCCACAAGAAAGCCAAAACAGAGGTTGGGTAACTTGTATGGCTTTGTATGAAAGCTTATGCAAAATGAATAAACATGAGAAAGCAGTTTATGTAAACAATGGCTTAAAATCACTTGCAAATGAAAACTATTTTGTTAAAACAAATCGATCCAGTGTTTCATCATTGTACATAATGGACTAAATGGTTAGTAACTAAAACACAACAATATTAAAGAGCAGTTTATTGACACATTTGAATTGTTTACAAAAGACTGAAGTTTCAGAGTATCAATACTTTGAAATCAGGTGTAGGTATGATGTTAAAACTGAACAGTGGTAAAACAGAGACCTTAGAGAATATAATTAATGGCAACTGTGTTCATACTTGTAAAGAAAAAAAAAGTTCAGCAAAAAACTGATTACAATGGGTCTGTGGGTAGGAACTATTCTAGTACTGAAACCAAAACACTGTATGGTTAACACGTTATTAAACAAATGTACCAAACTACTCCCAGATCAACTGATTATAGCTTGATTTTTATAAGCACCAGCACTGTTTGTGGGGTAGAAACTGTTTTACTCTCTACCAGGAACTTGGTCAAATTGATTGATGGAGTTGATCCTAAAAGTCTGATTCTCATATACCAAACCGGAGACCATTTGTTTAAGCACCTTTATGTGCTCCCACAAATATACACATTAAAACTAAGTAAGTTTAAATCAGGAACAAATGGAGCTTTTAGGGGAAAATAATACATAAAAAGGTTGTTAATGAGATATTTTGGTTCTTAAGAACCTTGAGAAACCCAGGTTTGTTTCAACATATTTTTAATAGAAATAGCATGACAAGTAAAAATACATTAAATTATTTTACACAAACATCATCACGACTGACGTTCCATATTTCGTTATGTTTGTGTGTCGACTAGTTTAACAGATGCAACAAACAGATGGAATTAAAAATTGTCCAAACTAGAACTATATTTCCAAAGTTAACAAGTCATCACTGGGTTTAACTGCTGAATTTGAAAAATTTCCACACCAATCATTTGTTTTTCCCGTGGGAAGCCAAACATTTGTGAATAGTTGAATTATAGACGTGGAGAGGGTGAGCCAGACTTGTACGAAACCACTGGAACTCATGTCAATAGTAAAAATATCATGTAGGGTTACAAAGTAAATGTAATTAAAGTACATGTTTAATTTATATGCTATAATGAAAAAAAAAACAGCAACATTGTGCTTTCATCTGTTGACTTGAATGATAGAAAAACATTTGGCATGGGAGCAATTTGAACTTGAAAGATGAAAATAGAAAGTTCAGAACAGAAACAAAATATTTACCTGATAACAAAACTATTCAACTGGTTTAAGTTGAGGGCTTTTCACCATCTGTTCTACAAACAAATACCTCAGATCGTAAACAGATTACATACTCTGACACAGGCCTTTCTCATTTGCTAGCTGCCATGACGCTGGTAGGCCCGCATGTTGACACGAATAAACACATACATCGTTTTCAAATATACATAACAGTACATTACAAATATGCAAAGTCCATAAGAACCTTTTTCCATATCAAATAAATTGTAATATGTGAGTTCTACACATGCTGTAGAGTTTATTTACAGTAATATAAAATATAAACAGACACATACACATTTTTTCTCCACTCAGTCCCATTAAACTCATCTCTTTTCAACACGATGTAATGTACAACTTGTGTTACTCAAGTCATTTAGCCTGAAACAAGTTCAACCTACTACAGATTAAAAAATAACACTCTGTTTACTGCCATTGAGTCACCAGCTTTGTACAATTAGAATTAATACTGAAAACAACAAAAAGTTAAAATGAGTGAAATGTAAACCATCATTTAGACGGATCAACGTTTTTGGGGGTGAATAACCAATGACTTTAGGTTGGATCTCACTTCTAAAATCAAATCTTTGAACTCTATTCTACACTTTATCATTTATTTTATGTAATGAGTAAAACAAGTAGCACAAAAAAAAGTTGCAAATTGCAATTAAATCATCAAGACGCTTAAAAACCCTCAGAAAAACTGCTTCTGTACAGAATATTCTATTATATAATGTAAAATTTGTATCGTTAATGTTTAACCTGGTTTCCAAATAAAACAACTTTAGAGTTGATGCCAAGGAGCAAAATGTTTATGTGACTAGCAAAAGTTCGGGGTGGGCAGTAAGACAACATTAGGCCCTGATTTGAACTTGAGATTGTAGAAATGTCTGTAGGAAAATCCTGTCAGGAACACTGAGAAGAGATGCTTTATGTCCGTTTCTGCTCGGACCATTTTAGATGTGATGCAGTCAAAGCCTGATCACTTCCCGCATGATGATGGCGTGTTTATTAGAAGTGATCATGAAGATGTGTTTACTGGGTGATTATGTCTAATTTAGTTTTATTAGCGTGACTATACAGGTGTTTTACACCCCATTTATACTAGCTAATGTTTGTGGTTATGCATTAGCTTTAGCACCTATTAGCATAAGGCAGCTATTGTTTTATCTGGTTAATTGCTATTTAGTGTTGATAGAAACAGAACCACAACACTTTATTTTATGTAATGTTGCTACATTGCAGCTTAAAAATTATTTAGCCTGAATGCTGATTTGTTTTTTTAATAAAGAAAATTTTTCTTGTGTCTACTGGGTGAAGTTTGCATTTAGCAGTACATTCCAAAAAAAAGTTAAAAGTGAAGCTGTAGTTAAACATTTTATGATTAAAATTAAGATTTGAGTTAAAAACCCTAAAATGATATAGCCCACCTTTGGTAGTACTAGATACTACAGCTTAGTCTCTATCAGCTTTGATAAGAATCTGCTGGAGTAGCAGAAAAAATCTCCCAAAAAACTAATGAATAGAAAAGTGGGACGTCACTCCAATGATTTCCTTCATTTAACAAAACATCTACTGACACTCACACGCAGTTCGTCCTAAATGATTGGCAGTTGGCAGCATTTTTACAAACACTTATAAAAGTAACAAGTTATTCCCAATTAGTTCTTGATTTGACTGTACAGACTGGATCGCATCAGGATGGGACCAAGTAGATTCACGATTCATCCAAAGGCATTAACTGCATCAGTGACTCAGCAGTAATTCAAATTATTACGTGACAAAGAATTTAGTGAGAGTTCTCTCATACGTACCGAACATTTATCAGGCAAACATTTACACAGGAAATCAAAATGACGCAATATTTGTCAGGGATGCATGATATGTCGGTTTCAATATCGATATAAATATTAGACGATGTAGGTAATTTAAACATTTTTATGACATGGGTCCAGTACGTAAAACTGGGCCGATAAGAACAACCAAGGGCCATTTCCATTTTGTTTCCACGTTTCAGGAGAAAGCGTAGGGAAATATTTATAATATAAGTAACATTAGTACATATCAGTAGTCAGCCATAATAATAGTATTAATATCAGATTGGTCCAAGTTTTCATATCCATGCATCCCTAATATTTATATCAAAGGATGTGAAGGATTCTCACAAGGACTTCCTTGAAAGTTGATACTGAGTTGAAAAACTGTTGCAAATCAGAGCATAAGGTAACATAAACCGCAAAAGCAACATCTTCTGTTATTGTTCGACAATAAACAGAAACCCAGGAGTCTGATGAGGATATAAAATGAGTTTAAAACCATTTTACAAGTAAACCTTAATGAAACTCAAAGTGCTTCAGGTCTGAGAGCAAAAGTACACAAACAGAAGAATAAAACCAGCTGATCTGGAATCCAAGCCTGAGCTACAAAGAAAAACATTAAAAAAACAAACATGCCTGATGGTTGAAAGTAGGGTTGGGCGATTTGGATAATTTTTCCCACCGCCAATCGTCAGTCCAAAAAAAGACGATGGAAGATTTATTCGAGCATGTGACGTCATGACGCACGCACTGATTTGCGAACACAGAAAAACAGATTTTTTTAAATACAAGCGCAGCACATGTTTTCTGGAAGATAACTTTATATTTTTCTTTTTGTTTAATTTTGTATTTGTAGTTTGGTAGAGTGACGTATAAACGGCCCCTATTAAACACGGTTAAAATGTTTAAAAGAAGCCTTGCCTTTGTTTCCCTCTGGTGCCCACTGTTGTGGTATTTTATTTAAGCAAAATGTTTCTTTCTGAACAAAAACTTCTGGGGTTCTTTCTCTTATAAGTAGGGGATGGAACGAATTGCTGCTGCGTTGGGACACACTCTGAGGAGGCAGCTCGCTGCCAGAGGTCACATGATCCATTTATCTCCGTCACTTTCACTTTTAAAATAACGAATAATCATTTGTTAAATTTCCATTCATTTTAATTCATATTTAGTCCAACCAAGCTGATCAGAATGATCCAGTAACATGAAATATTCAATTGATCGATTTCACTTAAATTAGGAACATTTCACCTGCTGCAGCTCGAACGCACATCCCTCCTGCGCCGCGTAAACCTGAACTGGTCACCTGCAGCTTGTGTGTAATCAAATGTCTCTAGCTTGCTGAAGAGGTTATGAGCTTCTAGACTTTTGCCTCAGACACTCATGGCTGTTTAAATAATGTTCTGGATGGATCCGTGCTCTGCTGATACACTCAAAGCAGGTGCAAAGCAAAGTTTCACTACTTCACTACTGTGTTTACATTATTTTAATGTATTTCACAGACTTTTTAACACTGATCTGTCCCCCCCCCCCCACCTCTTCATGCGATCGGCACCTCTAAACCCACATTTCTTGCCTTTTCCATCCACGAATAAAACACTTGCCGTTGACAAATTTACAGGAAGAGTCCTGACCAATCACAAGCTTGCGTTCTCCATCTCTTTTGATGGATAGTTAAATATTGGAACATGTCTCTGTCTTCCTCTGCGAGCACGTCGGAGGGCTCTTGTGTCGACGCGTAATGGCGTTGCGCGCCTCCGTCCTGACGCAGATGTATAAATAAGGTTTTACTGGAACACAAAAATACCGCTTGCTTGCAATGATTTAGGTATGTACTGCCCCCTATCGCCAGGGAGAATACACACTGTCACTTTAAAGGAATGAGATGTGAAATGTTTTAAAAAATAAAGGAAATGAAGCCTACCACTATTCAAACACCAGCTGACCAATTCCCAGATAATTGAGAATCAAATATTTCCGTTGGCATCATTTGACCCGGCCACCTTTTCCAAAGAAAAACTGCGACAGTGACTAAGGATATAATGGTTTACAAACCATGTGTGCATTCTGTTTCATTTGAAACTTTTGATTTAAATCATCACCTTTTACTTGGTATTTTTACCAAAGATAACACAATGATGAATGATAGCACAGTGCCGCATCTTCTTTAGTTATTGTACTGACAGCCTGGAGAACGAGAAGAGCTAGATTAGAGTGACTTTCACACACACAAAAAAAAAACCATCTAAAAGTAAACGGGAAGGCCAGGAGGGCTGGGTCAAACAGTCAAAGTTTTTGAAGGACACTGGAACACTACTTGGCCCATCGGAGTTTGAGGGAAGATCTACTCAGATTTATGGCAGTAAAGGTCTTTAAGGGCTTTCAGTTCTTCAATTAGTGTCTTGTTTTGGTTCTCAAGGACAGCCACTCTGTTCTCTAGGCATTTAACATATTCCTTCTTCTTCCTGCGACACTCACGAGCTGCCTCTCTGTAGGAAGGACAAGAAAATGTTGTTTCTTTCTTATGGCTGGTGCGGAGAGGTCTAGGGAGTGACATATTATCTACTACTGGGCATCTCAGCAGGATTCATTTGAAGAATAATTCATTTTTAATATCCAATAAAATTCAATGTAAGCCCTTTTGAATTATCCAGGAACACTCCATCATATTTAGAATGCTTTACTAAAATATGCTGCCAGACGTCCAGATATCAGCAGCAGCTTTGAATCCTATGTTTTATCTTTTGGAAACACAAACAGGAAATTACCACACAAGGAGGACCGCCTGTTCTCTGTCCTTACCTGTTCTTCATCAGGCGAACCTCCCTTTTCCTGGTGACCTCCTCTGTAGCGCCCTGAGTAGGAAGGGCCGGTGAGGATGCCATGACCACTCCAGGAGTGATGGTGCTAGCGGGAGCTGCTCGAATCTGATAGGCCTGGACGTCACCGGAGGTAGCTACGTGTCAAAAATTATATTTTAGATCCTGATAAAGCCAATTAATGCCTTGTTAGCTTGCTAATCAGGTTTAGCTACACAACAAACTAGGGCTGGGCGATACAGCCTAAAATCAATATCACGATATATTGAGGATTTCCTGCGATGGACTGGCACTCTGTCCAGGGTTGCCCATTGACCGCTGGGGAAAGGCAACCAGCCCCCCCCAACCCCCCCCCCCCCCCCCCCCCGCGCGACCCTACATGGACAAGCGGGTTCAGACAATGAATGGATGGATGGATGGATGGATGGATGGATGGATGGATGGATTTCACCTCGATAATGATAAGTGGACGATAACTACAGGTAAGCGCAGAAACAAAACTTGTCCACTAGATGGGGCTGTCACCTGTATTGTTGAGTCACATTTTTGCGTGACTCAAGGTGGTACAGCTTGGTGGGACATGAATGTTGCCAACTTACATCTTTTCATTTTTTTAGTATCAAATTTATTGACATGGGAAAAATTATCACAACAAGAGTCAGAAATTTCAATAATGATAAATTTTCGATTTATCGCCCAGCCCTACAACAAACTCATTCTGACTATGGAGAAATTTTGGTCTGTGGGCTGTACAGACCTTGCACCACCACCTGGTTACTGGGAACCAGTATCTGCTGGCCATCGCTGGTCTGTGCGTACTGCAGGATGGTGGTTCCTGGTTGGGCAGCAGCTGCAGCGTTGGTCATAGTCAGAGTCTGAAGGCCCTGGACTCCATCTGTACCGTTATTGGCCAGCTGAATGGCACCGCCCTGTGTGATGGCAACTATGATTCAAGAAACATAAAAGAGCAAATGTTGTGATTTAATCAATCAATCAATGTTTATTAATATAGCTCTTTATATAACCCAGGGTGACTAAAGGGCTTAACGTTTAATAGAGAAAGAAAGAAATGGTAAAAATGACAATAAAATAATTAAGAACCACTGTAAAAAGTAAAAATCAGAACCAGTTTAAAACAATTTAGAACTACTATAAAAGTAATAAAAATCAGAGCCATTTAAAATCATGAAGAGCCACTATAAAAGTAATACAATGTAATGCCATTTTAAGATAGCAAAAAAAGGTCAAAATGCAAAATTCAAGAGCACAAGATTAAACAGAGTACAACACTCCAGGATTTTCAAAAGTCATGCAAAAGAGGTGTGTTTAATCCAGACGTAATTAAAATGACATCAGTAGTAGCGCAGGTCAAGTGGAAGTTTGTCCTCATTGTCCATATTTAGCTCTCAGAACAAGTAGATAAAATTTCCCAGAGGACCTTGTTCCTCTGCTTTGCTTTTTTAATGAGAGACTGTCACTGATGTAGGGTGGTGCGAGCCCATGAATGCCTTTAAATGTAAACATTATAACCTTGGATTTAATTTGGAATCTAACAGGGAGCCAATGAAGGCTTGGCAGAACTGGAGCTGCCTAGATATGTTGGTGAGCAGACGTGCAGCTGTGTTTTAGACTAGTTGAAACCTGTGTAACGTGATGAAGGAACCATTTCTCCCCTCTAACAGCTGTCCTTGTGACACATTGCCAGTGTGCATGAACAGCCAAGGTCATGCATTCACTTCTAATGTTTACATTCCAGCAGAGAAGACAGAAGAACGAAGAATGAACACTTTTCTTTAATTAATCAAAGAACTCTATTTTAATAAAGCTAATCAAAACAACTGTTAGTCAATAATAACCATGTGACCGATCTGTGAAATCACAATGTTATGATTAACATGTTTAATGAGTAATATGACTTTGGTCTAGCTGCAATAGACATCCTGATTCACGTAATGTCAACGCATGACACGTTGTTTACTCATCCAATCAGAACCTTCATTCTGAAGCGTGACAGAGTCTCTGTGGTGTTTATTTAATCTGTCTACTGCGATTCGTCCAGAATCGTAAACAACCAAGATTAATAAAACAGAACAATGCCATTTTGAGTCAGTATTCAGCCAGCTCTCAAGATCATCTGATGTCCATCGTTGCTAAGTGAAGTACGGACTGGCCATCTGTACGTTTTACTTTTAAGCTGAGAACTGTCAAGCTGGAAAATCCTGTCGTTGTTACCAACAAAACAACGGTTCCTTCAGAATAAAAGCTGAACTCGCTGACCCAAAGGGGGGTCCCTTTGACGCTGTGAAACACCTGCCCTTTTTACCTGGAGACTATCCATAGACTGGTTTGTCGTGCTGTCGACGCTGTTTCATCGGCTCCAGTACCAGAGGAGGGTCCGAGGACCTGGCTGCCTGATCTAACACGGGAGTCCCTGACGGGTAATGTAGAACGGCACAGATATAGCGTCTCATGTCTTTTCTGACTAAGGTTCAAACGTCGATCAGTTAGGAGCAAAACAACATCTCCCACTCAGACTCGCTTCTCCAGAACAGAGGTTCTGAACTGACATCGCACCATCACACTTCACCTCACATTTCATTCCATGAACATCCATCAGTAGAGAGTTAGTCCTGTTAATTGTTTAAAATAATTTAGATAATACATTTTTCTTAAACGTTCCGAGGTCTCTCTCTCTTCTCTTGTCTCTCAGTTCATACAAAGTGTTTAATTTAAATTTCCCTGTAATAAAAAGGATCACTTCTGATTTTAAAAGCCCAGGTCCAGAGATGGGGTCCATGCCAGGTATGGATCATTAATATCTCTGGTCATTAATTAAATTGTAATACCCTTCATTTCCATTACACCTGGCAAGATTTTTTTGTGCTACACCTGTATACTGAGCATTGCAGTAGTCCAAACGGGAGCTGATAAAAGCATGTAAGGCTCTTTCTAGGTCACAGACTTAAAAATGGTTTTACTTTAGCTAAAAGATGGAGCTGAAAGAAATTAGTCTTGATGACCCAGTCAATCTTCTTATCACATTTCATGCCGCTATCAAATATGACACCAAAATTTTTGACCTGATGTTTAAAACTCGGGGCTAAAGAGCCTAAATCTGACAGTGTGACGTTTTGCGTGCTTGGTGAGGGAAAAAAAGAATATGCTCAGTTTTGTCGTTGAGATGCAAGAAGTTTTCTGCCAACCATAACTCTATACCATGCATGCAGTGTAAACGAGAAGATATTGCAGCAGCATTTCTGGACTTTACTGGCAGATAAACTAGGACGTCATCAGGATAAATGATAAATGATAAATGACCCGCATTTGTATAGCGCCTCTCAGAGTAAGGACTACAGTGTATCATTCATCCATTCACACACACATTCATACACTGGTGGGGATGAGCTACGATGTAGCCACAGCTGCCCTGGGGCGCACTGACAGAGGCGAGGCTGCCGAGCACAGGCGCCACCAGACCCTCCAACCACCACCAGCAGGCAAGGTGGTCTTGCCCAAGGACACAACAGCAGAATTCTCTGTCCTGAGCCGGGATCGAACCTGCAACCTTCCGATTACTGATGATAACAATGGAAAGACAAATTATGTCTTTTAATGACATTTCCAAGCATCAAGATGTAAGGTGAGAAAAGTGTACTGCCTAGAATAGGTCCTTGGGGTACACCAAATGGGAGGCTCGCCCTGAATGAATAGTTGTTACCAATCCTGACAAAAAAACTTCTGTTATTTAAAGGGGACAAATTACAAAAGGGTTCACCTTTTAAAAGGCAGTGGGAGTGATCAGCCCCTTTAATACATAACCCCCTGTCCCCTGTGCTTGGACAAATTTAATTAAAAAAGAGTTCCATACTGCTGCATCCAGTCTTTTCTAACAGAAGTTTCTCACTGAAGCAATTGTCAGGAAGAACTTGTGCAAAACTGTGATTTTCAACTTTGATTTTTGTGTTAAAATGCTGAAATAAGCCGTGACTTATTGGGAGCATTGGGAGGTGAGGAACTGTTACTCCTGCAGGCATCAATGTCTCATTCTGGTTATATGAAAAAACTTTTGATATTAGATGATGTAACTGAAACGTGACTGACTGTACTGGCCACTGCTGGTCTGGTAGATGGGCGTGGGGACGGTAACCGTGGTGATGGCAGGTGTGGCTGCAGCTACAGACGAGTCCTCCTCAGCCTTCTCCTCCTCGATGCGAGGGACCGCCGGTGCGTCAGAAGAAAGGTCATTCAGGATTTTTCTGTTGGGCCAAACAAAAGTGAGATTAAATGGTTAGATAAAAGTCCAGCAACATGTTAATATTATGAATACATATAAAAATTGCGTTATTGCACATATTTAAGATAGTTTACATCCTCAGTTTGCAGCTGTATTGAGTGCTGCGTGTTCCTGCGATGGAGCAGGAATGTGGCGTCGTGGCCGGCAGGCTAACTTTTATCTGCACAACACCTGTAGCTATCGAGGGAAGCTCACGTACTGCAGGAGACTGAGAAACCCTGAGGTTTTAATTTAATTAAGCGTATGTTTCACAGCCGGCTGACTTCGCATTTTTGTCCCAGTTTTCCACAGTGAACTGGGAGCATTAGTGGCAAACTGGGACTTACAGGTGATTTGCTTCGGCAATGCCTGGAGGGGTAATCTTAAAGAGGAGGTAATTTGTTTTGAAGGCTGCACATGCAGCTCTACCTTTTCCACCATGTTGAATGCCCAGTGTACACACGTTACTGTTGCTCGCCTTCACTGTTCGGTTTAAAATACCACCAAGAAGCAGACATTTCCTCTCCTGAGGAGGCGCGTTGTCGCTGCATTAGCCTGCTAGCTAACAGCTACATGTTATGGTGTCTGAATTCCACTTTATGTTGTTCTTTTCATCCAAGAAACTAAGACTACTGATGTAGAGGAACTTATTGAAATCAAAACTGAGCCATAGTTATTCTTTCCGAGAAATTCTGTCAGGATGAATTTAAACGTCACATTTTATAAAGTTAAATCTGATCTTTTCAACCCGATTCTGATCCTTTGAAAATCACACGATCGAGTCCAATTTCTTATGAAGTGATTGAATTGGAGCGTCCCTACTTCCAAGGTTTAATAAAGTAATCTTTCATTAGTGACAAGTTGCTTCTGGCTTTAGAGAATTCTACAACATTTTTGACTATTCTACAAGAATCTGATGAACTAATAACTATGGCCAGTTTCTTGCCTGTATGAGGGACGTCGAGACAGAATCTCTCTGCGCTTCTGGGAGTCGGTCACACTGTCAACAGATTCCTGTGAATCTTCACTTTCAGCTATGGTGGAGATCTGAACAAATGAACAGAAAGCGATGTTCTTTTTGGTTTGCACACATAATAAATAACCCTAGTGTGTGTGTGTGTTTGTGTGTGTTTACCTGCACAGCCTGCACCTGTGGGGACTGGATAACAGAGGGCTGTGCAGCCTGGATGACACCGTGGACCTGAACCGTCTGACCGTTGGGAAGCTGTACCAGCGTTACGGTGGGACCTGTTGCTGAGGCATGTCCTGTTGCCATGGACACCTAAAAAGCAGCAGCACATGTCATCACTTGTAATGTTTTAACGTTTTTGATTGATTTGTTTTAGATGATAAATAATGATAGGTGTTCAGGGTTCGAGCAGAACACCTACACCTTACCTGTGCCAAAGTGGCGATCTGCGCTGGAGAGATCTGCTGGCTCTCGGTCTCAGTCACAGCAGTCTCTGCTGCCTGCTGAGCCTCGGCTGCTGACTCCATCTTCATTGGCAAAGCTGATGGAGATCAGAAATTAAAATCTGGGGCCTCATTTTTCAACCGTACTTACGCACAGATCTGTGTGTATTTCATGCGTAGGAACTAATTTACGCATTGTGTGGTATTTGTTATTTTGTGTGAAAATGTTCCGACATATAAGAAAACCTCAGACCATGCGTACAAACAGCATCTGGTGGTACAATGGAGGAACTGCAGGTCTAAGTCATCCACAAATTATTTTAACTAATAAATAATTATTTTTGGTGGAAAAGCAGCTGTGTCACATAATTGGTGCTAAAATCTATAAAAGACACCTGTGACTGACGGGAATCTGACATTGCAGAGTAGCTGATCTCGTGATGTTGAAGGATGTGGCAGAGTGTGCACTCTGAAGGAAACATCCTCCGTGAGCACACTTATATGCTTCCTGAAGGAGATCCTTCTGGAGCTATGCTGTGATGTGGGACCCTTTGTGGAGCGACAGATAAACCACACAAATCAAATTCCAGTCTATATTCTATTTTAAAACTACGAGAATCCCCCAGAACCTCTACCGCTCCCAGACTATACATGTGTTGCCAAGGTAACCAGACTGGATGACAGCTCAGAAGAGGCTGCACTCAAAACGGAATGACTCCTTAAGGATAAAATGTAAAAGATAACCCATTACTCTACGATTTATTATGTTACATTTTATGTGGAACCATTTTGATTTATTTCTGAGATGGACCTCTCCTCTGTCCCGACCGCCTTTATAACCTCCGCAACTTGTTTGTTTCTCTGGCTATTCGGCAGCCAGTGCCTCGATCTCGCTGTCCATAAAGTTTGTTTTTTCCCCCGGGTAGAACGCAGGAATTCCCATAATGAGTTGAGGACGTGGTATGACCAAATATGGTTAATTGATGGCATTCCTGTATGCAAATGAATGAGAATGAGAAAGAAGAAAGAAAGAAATGATCTTTTATATAGCGCCTCTCACGATAAAAATCACGGGGCGCTTCACATAAACAACAACAACAAAAAAACTAACAAAAAAACAATTAGGCATAAAAAGACTTCAAAAAATGATTAAAAATATGTTTAAAATGGAAAAAATTGTGATGAAAAATAATTTAAGGGAAAATTAATAGGAAAGAAGAAAATCACTGAATCACGGAGACGGTGAAATAAGTAGAAAGAGCAGAATAAGGACAGGGTGGTGATGAAGGTGATGTAAGCCAGCTTGAACTGGTTTTCAGCTGCTTGTTAAAGGAGACCACCGAGTCCACTGATCTCAGGCTCAGGGAGAGAGAGGTCCAGAGTCTGGGGGCCACAGCAGCAAATGATCTGTCACCTTTGGTCTTTAGCCTGGTGCTGCACAGCCAGTAGGCACCTGGGTACACACAGTTGGGATTTAACATCAGACAATTGCAGAAAAACGTGCGTACGAGCGGCCATCGCATGTTTCGTAAATCTGGATTCTGACCGTTCGTACGGATGTTCTACATTTCGTTCATAGGAACCAATATAGGAATATTTTTATGAACGTTTGATGAATGAGGCCCCTGGATTTTTCTGACGATGAAACTTTGGAATAAGAATATTCACTAAATTCTTACTAGTAAGCAACAATTGTATGCACTTCCTTCTGGTCTGGAGGCTAAACTCTCAAGTGCTGTGCTGTTTTAAAAAGTGCAGAAATGAGAACGCAGGATAAAAAGTGAGCTAAAGGCCCAGGGTCTGCAATCTTCGGTCAATCTGCAGCAACTCTGTAGCTTTGAGCACAAATAACAAATACTTTATTTTCTTGTCCACTTTTATATCGACCTGTTAGCAAAAGCTCTGTGGTATAGTTATTACGGTAATAGTAATATACAAGGGGACACTTTGCCATGTTAATAATGCAACTTCCAGCCACACAGTTGAACCTTTTAAATAAAATTCACCTCAGAATAAAACATTTTAAACACATGCAGGGGAATTAAAGTGCAGGTTTGCACACATATGACACATTAATGAGGCATTGAAAAAAAGGCACTCTATTAAAATAAAGATTTTCTACAAACTATTACAATAGAAGTATAAAATAAACAATGGCTTCAGTTATTTGTAATTTTTAGTGAGTAAATAAATATAAAAAGGCCAAATATTTATGTTTGTTCAGATCAGTTATAACATTTAAGTGTGTTTGTTATTTCAAAGTGAGAAATGTACTTTGCACAACTACAAGACTGAGTCAGATAAACAGTTGAAGTTTTTATGAGGAAAACGTTTTAATAAATGTTTATAGAATGAATTTACAACGCTAGAATTTTCCATATTTGCTGGTGAAGGTTGTTATTCCCATTTCTTCTGTAGGATACTGGAGTGTCGTTTTAGAATAGAAGAGAAGAATATCAACTTTTGCAGTCATCATCATTATTCAGCCTATAATGAAATTACAGACGTGTTTCCTGTTTACACATCATCAATAAATGTTTTAAAACCATCCTTTTGAATCAACAAACTGAAATAACAAATACAGTGAAGGATCACATTAGCAAGTAATACAGTGATGTCATAGATTTAGCTGTAAACTGAAAGCCTCTATATGGTGACAATAACATTTTGGTTACAGCTATAATAAATATTATTAAATATGCAGCTTTATAAACATTTTATGACAGACCTTTAAAAAGTATAAATTTATGACGCATAATGATAATTTGGCCTTTGAAGATAATTGATAATCCGCCTGAGTGTCTTTTAGTTTTATTATAATCTAAAATAATGAACCTTCCAAAGACACACACACCTGTAAGGACTCGTTATAAACACTACTCCTGCCCCGAGCCGGGTTTGGGGTGATCAGCGCGTCTGAAGTGAGGAGAGTGGGTCCGGAACGCGCTGTTCCCGCAGCTCGGTGATCTCACACTGTGCGTAGCTTCTCCCGCTGCATGATTGGCTTTGCACATTTCTCCCTCTGCTTTTCAAAAATCACTCGGATGCGCTGCGTGTGACAGCTGAAGCCACATGGCCGGGCGACGCCCCCTCACACACACCGCTCATGTCCCCGGGATGTTTTAAACTACGACCTGACCTTAAAACCCCGGTTTTGGCGTTTGGTCCCGACGTTTGGTTCACGTTTTCGGTGTGCGGGAAGACACTGATAGTAGATTTAACTACAGAAAACACACCCAGACATTTGTCAGGCCAAGCAGTGGAGAAAAGAGATGTGATAAATCTGAGAAAGTTACAGAAATGTATTAAATGTGACGCTTTTTAGGGGCGCCTTCATGGAAAACGGCGCAGATATTTTCACATAAACAGAGCTGCTGTGCAAGTCAGCAGCTGCGCATTAATAACGCTGCAGCTCAGTTATAATGTGTAATGTGTAAAACCCATGCGGCCACTCTTTTACTATAGCCACACTCGTTCCCCCAAAAAGCCGCAGCCTCCCCTCCCTCCATCCTGCTACAAACACCGCGGCGCCATGATTTCTTTGTTTCCTTCGGGCCGAACCCGACCAGACCGACACTTTCTATGGCCACCTTCGGTCCTTCTGGACCGCGGACATCTTTTCTTCCTTACCGATACAGCCTCCCTTCGTCACTCCCGGGCCTCCGGAGCTCCACTTTTATTCTGGCCGACACGTAAGAGCCCGCGTCAGGCTACACCTCCGCCGCGTCACCGGGAACAACAACACGGAGATTGGAGAAGGACGAGAAAGCAGACGGCGACGCTGGCCGGAAATGAACGAAGTTGGGACGGGTACAAACGACCAATACCGAAAGGAAGCGGACAATAACGAAAAACTCTTCCCGTCTGCACAGCTGCAGCAAACGGACAAATATGTTAGTTTATGCAAAATGGACATTGTCTAAGTGGGTTTTGTCTCATAAAAAAAAGAAAAAAAAAGATTTGTGTTTGTAAACAAAAAAAATTAAGATTTATTTTATTTTCGATCATAACGAAAATAAATGTGTCTTTTATTTATTGAGGAGGAAAAATATTTTCACTGGCAAACAGAAACATAATGACATGTTTTCTGTTTTATTTCTATTTTTTACCACCAGAAAGAAAATATGAAACAAACAGTAAACAGTCTTGTACTCTATAATCTTTGGCTCCTGCTTGTGATGGACAGCTGTCGTCCTCTTGCGGCTATGTGGTGTAACTACAATCAGCAATTGTAAGCAAAAATCACTTTTCTGGTTTGTATTCTACGGTGCCTGTCTGGTGACATTGAGAAAAGAAAAAGTAACTCGTGGCCACGAGATACACAAGTCCCTTTCTGCTGGTATCATCTGACCATCCACTTCACCTCTGGGAGCCTGATTCTTCTTCGTCTCAAAGGACGGATCATGCACACTTGCATCAATTGCCGTGAGCTAAACTACATCACTGTGTGGCAAGGTGGATAAACGAGGGCCCGGGCGGGATTCGATCCCCAGACTCCCAGGTGAGAGTCATACGCTCTAACCAGTCAGCCAAAGGGACATCCCCTTGGCCAAGTAGCCAGGCCGCATGATCAATCGGGACATTGTGACAGGACACTCACACTGTCACAACTGTCAAAAACAAGAACCCACTCCCCCTGCTCTCATCCACCTTCAACCCGGTTAGTGATGCCTCCGTTTTCACAAAGTTTGATCTCCATAACGCTTACCATTTAGTCAGGATCCGAGAGGGAGACAAATGCATTTAAGACTCTTCTCAGACACTTCGAGTATCTGGTCATGTCATTCGGACTCACTAATGCTTCAGCGGCTCCATGGTGAATCACCTGTACATCAAAGCTGAGAAGTGTGAGTTTCACGCCAATTAAGTAAAGTTTCTTGGTTTTGTTCTAGAGACGGGCGGTTGAAGGCAGACCTGGACAAAGTCAACACGGTTAAGGAATGGCCAACTCCGACTACACGAAAAACAGTTACAACGGTTCTTGGGTTTCGCCACCTTGTACTGCTGGTTCATCAAAAACTACAGTACTATCGCCACCCCTCTCACACAGCTTCACCTCCATTAAAATTCCTGTCTCCTGGACCCCAGAAGCCGACATGTCCTTCAGGACACTGAAAAACAGTTTCACCCAGGCACCCATTCTCACCCGACCTGTTTCCAGTTCGCGCTGGAGGTGGATGCTTCCGACACCGGTGTGGGTGCAGTATTGTCTCAGTTCTCCTCCTCTGAGAAGACTCTGCACCCGTGTGCATTTTTCTCCCGTCGTCTAACTTCGGCCGAACAAAACTACGACGTGGGGGACCGGGAGTTGCTGGCCATTAAGATGGCCTTGGAAGAATGGCTCATTGGCTAGAGTGTGCAGAAAACCCATTCTCATATGGACGGACCATGAAACCTGGTGTATTTAAAGGAGGCCAAGAGGCTTAATCCCCGTCAGTCCCACTGGTCCCTGTTTTTCTCCCACTTTAACTTTGTTATTTCTTTCAGACCCAGAGCAAAGAACATTAAGCCAGATGCCCTTTCCCGCCAATATGCCTCAGACAAGGAGATCGAACCCACTACTATTCTTCTACCCTCCTGCATTGTTGGTTTCCATTACTTGGGACATCACCACCAAGGTTCTGGAAGACCGGCAGATGGACTCCGACCCAGGTACTGGTCTCCCTAACAGAACCTATGTCCCTTCCTCTGTTCGCAGTTCCCTGATTAAATGGGCTCACACCTCCAAGTTCTACATCCACCCAGGGTTGGCACGACACTCGCCCTCATCCGAAGAACGTTCTGGTGGCCGTCCCTCAAGGATGTTAAGGAGTACATCAGTGCCTGTCATATTTGTGCTAAGAGTAAAGCAAACAATACGCCACCTCAAGGTCTCTGCCCCCTGCCGGTGCCTTCACGCCCCTGGTCCCACATCGCTTTAGATTTTGTCACAGGTTTACCCGTCTCCAAGGGCTTCAACACCATCCTCACCATAGTCGACCGATTCTCCAAGTCCAGCCATCTGGTTCCCCTGAAACACCTACCCACCTCTGCTGAAACCAACCACCTCCTAATCAAACATGTGTTCCGCTTGCATGGCATTCCCACAGAGATCCTCTTGAACCGTGGCCCCCCAGTTCCTGTCTCAGGTATGGAAGGAGTTTGCCACTCATCTGGGAACCCGGTTCACCCTTAGTTCTGGTTTTCATCCACAGACCAATGGCCAGTGTGAGCGGATGAACCAGGAGCTGGAGGCCATGCTAAGATGCGTCTGCTCCTCGAATCCCTCTGGATGGAGCGACCAATTGGCATGGATCGAGTACACCCACAAGTCATGTTTCATCTACTATAGGTCAGTCCTCTTTCGAAATCTCTTTAGGCCATCAGCCACCTCTTTTCCCCTTTGACTCCGACCCTCCAGCTACAGCACCCCAGTTCATCCGCCGCGCTAGACGCACCTGGACCCAGACCTGGGCCTTCAGCGTACTGCTAACCGTAACCGCAGACTGCCTGATCGACGCAGATGTCCCACTCCTGCCTATGCTCCAGGCCAACAGGTCTGGCTGTCCACCCGTGACATCAAACTCAGGGATTCCAACAGGAAATTTTCTCCCCGGTACATTGGCCCCTACACCATCTCGGAAGTCCTCAGTCCAGTCTCTGTCCCTGCCTCCGTCCATGAGGATTCATCCCGTGTTTCACGTGTCCCTGATCAAGCCCCTTGTGTCAAGCCCATTGTGTCCTCCTGCTGATCCTCCACATACGGTTCGGCTCTCGGATGGCGGCCTCTGTTACCGGGTCTGGCGCATCCTGGATGTTCGCCCCCGGGGTTGTGGTTGCCAATAACTACTGGACTAGGAGGGATACGGTCCTGAGCATCGTCAATGGATCCCAGGCTCATGGATCGATCTCTACCTCATCCAGGATTTGGAGGCCTCCTCCTCCTCGGCTGGGCCGTCGGGTGGCGTCCCTTGAGGGGGGAGTACTGTCATGGTTCTGCTATCTCCTCACTCTGTTTTGCTCCTAAGTCCTAAGAGAGCCTATCTTCAGAACATACTCATCGGCTGATTCAAAGGTGGCAACCCCTGGCTGAATTCCCTACAGTGAACATGAGCAGGTGTGAGTTAAGAGACGGGAAGCAGAATTCTGAATTCTGGATGTGTTGATGTTTGGTGAGGGTTTTGGATGAGATACCAGATACGATTCTGTTGTACTTGTGGATTTGTGACATGATGAATGCATGAAAAAGGGTTTCAGTGACAGAAAAAGAAAGGGAAAGATGACGACTGACAAAAATCCAACCGACAAAACAGTTATCCAGATAGCCTTCTCCACAAATGCACAGCTATTTCCCACCATGGGGGGTGGGGGGTGGGGGGGCTACTGAGCCTCTCTGCCCCTGGGCCTATCAGCTGGTTAAGGTGGCCCTGCCCACAACCTGTCAGAAATCACTCTACAGGTAAAAAAAATACAGGTAAAAATAAATCCTAAAGTTACCAGATTGCCCACAAGAGGACACTGTCCCCTCACCAAAGTAAATAATGTCTACAGAGCTGACTCCAAACAGCAGCAGACCAGATCCGGTCAGAAAAAGACCCCAAAGACTGGACTTAAGTAAGTAAAGTCAGTCATAGCTGTCATGCAGCAGTACATGTTCAATTGAGTTAGCATATTCTCGAAGAAATGGGGTGTGATATATATATATATATATATATATATATATATATATATATAATGTTTTACTGTGAAAAGGGGGAAGCAGGAGCAGGAGGAGCTAAACAGTCAGAATGAGTTGTTGCTTGAATAATGTTGCTAACAGGTAAATAAACTAAAATCTTAACAACCTATAATTATTTTACTTTTCTGGTCTGATCTGAAAACAATGTAAAAGCTACATAACTTTCATAACCAAAGTTCAACAAACTCCAGTCAGAGGTGCAGCAGCATATAAACTGGTTTCTACATCACTTTCCGGAAGTGAAACTGAAACTGATCCAGAGCTGCAGTCGAGACCAACTTGTGTGTTTCTGTCTGAAGGAGAATTAAACAGAGTTGATCTTTTCTTCTCCAACAACTGACTCAGATATCGGTGAGTAAAACTGATCATATACTGTGTTTCAACAATCAACAGGAAAACTAAACTCAGATTCAATCAAACAAACAGGAAGTTTGAGTCTTTTCTCTTCCTGCTGAAACTCCTCAGATAAACTCATCTGAAGTGAAATGAAACCAAAACATTTTAATAACAGTAATATTAAATTGTACTCAGTGGCGGCTGGTGAAAAATATTTTTGGTGGGGCTGTGCTATTTTCTATTTTTAAACAAACTTGTGCTTTCTGAGCTTTGTGCACAATTCCACTATTTCCTGAATTAAGCACAGCTCTTTTATTTCCTGTCTTACATCATTGGACAAACTGATTAATCCAGGTGTGTCTGACTATTGGCACGCTGCCTTGCGGACCAAGGTTGAAACATACTGCATTAAATTGCACATAAAATAACATGACCATAAATGGTAAATAGGCAATGCAAGAGGCAAGTAACAAAAACATTTTTGTTTAATTTCAACATTTGAGTGAACACGAAAAATTATGAGCAGGCCCTATCGCCCTCTAGTGGCCAGCCGCCACTGACTGTACTGATTCCATCTGCTTTAATCTGTAGTTGTTCCTCTCTGACTCTTGTTCTCAGAGTTCAGACATGTCTGCTGGCAGCAGCCGGAGATCTGAGGATCAGTTTCTGTGCTCCATCTGTCTGGATGTGTTCACTGATCCAGTCAGCACACCATGTGGACACAACTTCTGTAAGACCTGCATCACCACACACTGGGATGGAGGAAGTTTCTACAAGTGTCCCCTGTGCAAAGAGATTTTTATCACGAGACCTCAGCTCAGAGTCAACACCTTCATCAGAGAGATGGTTGATCAGTTCAGACACGAAGCTGAACAGAAAACCAGCAGCAGCTCAGAGCAACAAGCTTCCAAACCAGGAGAAGTTCCCTGTGACGTCTGCACTGGAACCAGACTGAAGGCCCTGAAGTCCTGCCTGGTGTGTCTGCTCTCCTACTGTGAGACTCACCTGGAGCCTCACCTGACAGCTTCACGTCTGAAAAGACATCAGCTGGTGGATCCTGTGGAGAACCTGGAGGACAGGATGTGTCAGAAGCACGATAAACCTCTGGAGCTGTTCTGTAGAACCGACCAGACATGTGTCTGCTTGGTCTGTTCTGTTTTAGACCACCAGACTCATGAGTTTGTTCCTCTGAGAGAAGAATGTGAAGGAAAGAAGGCAGAGCTGGAGAAGACAGAGGCTGAAGTTCAGCAGATGATCCAGAACAGACGACTGAAGATTCAGGAGATCAAAGAGTCGCTGAAGATCAGTAAAGATGCTGCAGACAGACAGAAAGCAGAAGGTGTTCAGGTCTTCACTGATCTGAAGGAGTCTGTTGAGAGAAGCCTGAAGGAGCTCATGAAGGAGATAGAAGAAAATCAGGAAACTACAGAGAAACAGGCTGAAGGCTTCATCAAAGATCTGGAACAGGAGATCTCTGAGCTGATGAAGAGGAGCTCTGAGGTGAAGCAGCTCTCATGCTCTGAAGACCACCTCCACCTCCTCCAGAGCTTCAGCTCCCTGAAAGCTGCTCCACCCACCAAGGACTGGACAGAGGTCAGAGTTCATCCTCCATCATATGAGGGGACCGTGGTGAGTGCTGTGGAGCAGCTGGAGGAGAAACTCAGGAAGATGAAGAACCTGATGGAGGCTGAGCTGAAGAGGATCCAGAAGTCTGCAGTAGATGTGACTCTTGATCTTGACACGGCACATCCTGACCTCATCCTGTCTGCTGATGGAAAACAAGTTCACTGTGGTGATGTGAGGATGTATCTTCCAGACAACCCAGAGAGATTTTCTACATGTGTGTGTGTTTTAGGGAAACAGAGTTTCTCTTCAGGCAGATTTTACTTTGAGGTTCAGGTTAAAGGAAAAAGTGACTGGACTTTAGGAGTGGTCAGAAGGTCCATCAACAGGAAGGGAAACATCACACTGCATCCTAAAAATGGTTTCTGGACTGTTTGGTTGAGAAATGGAAATCAGTACGGAGCTCGTGCTGATCCTCCAGTAGATCTCCATGTTGATTCTGGTCCTGAGAAGGTGGGGGTGTTTGTGGATTATGAGGAGGGTCTGGTCTCCTTTTATGATGTAGGAGCTGCAGCTCTGATCTACTCCTTTACTGGCTGCTGCTTCTCTGATGAACTCCACCCATACTTCGGTCCTTGTTTTAATGCTGGAGGTAAAAACTCAGCTCCTCTGATCATCTGTCCTGTTGATCCATCAGTCTGATCTTTTCTCTCCTGAAGCTCCGTGAACAAAGAGTCTGTTTGTTGAAAGTTCTGATCTGAGTGACTGTAGGTGAAGTCCTGCTGGTGGAGAGGTGAACTTGGAGACGTCCTCTGAAACAAGTTCACATTTTTCTGTTTGAGACAGAATAGAATCATGACTTTATGATGTTTTTAGTCCTTCTTCTACATGTTTTCATCTTTAAATAATTATTTTCATCTATAGACTCCCAGTAATAATTGATTTATCTCTTTACTCTGTGAAATTATTATTAACCAGTTTTGCACATTTGGCTGAGAAATGACAAAAACATTTGTGAATAAAGGTTTAATTTTAATTAGAAGATTTCATGTTGCCATTTTTGTATATTCATATTGTATTATGCCTAAAAATGATAAGCCAACCACATGGTGGCGCTGTAAAGCTGCACAAACCTTCCTCACCCTGCTTCCCTCCTCCTCATCCTCCTCCATGAAGACAGGAACTGCTGGTGCACCATCACGCAGATATGTGGAGTTTATCAAGGCAATTCCTTTTATAATCCTCCTGATGCTCGTTGTAGGTGTTTTATCTGTTTAATAGCATTTTACTGCTACACGCCATAAAAACCACCCCTTTATAGTGGCACCAAACACATTGTTTGGGGAATTGACCCTGCCTCTGTAATGACCGGCTGTAAATTTGTAGTACGTTGAAAAAAAGGGCGGGTGGGGGGTGCTGCTGAAGGAGGAGGTTGATTTCAACCCAAAAGAGGAGAGGAGGAATATTTTATAAAAGGGAGGAAGAGAGTCCAGTGATTAGTTTATACTCTGCTGATTTTTAATTATGTTGGCTGCAGTTGTGTGGGAGTCAGAATCCAATTAATTATTTATAAATATATATGATAAAAAGCTGCACTTGATGGTTTGTGTCTGGACAGAGCTGAGCTGCAGTGACTGGATGATGCAGTAACTCATTGGAGGATAAACATGAGGTCATATCAAAGGGAAACTCCGGGGTCAACAGCTTCAGTCTCAAGAAATGGCGTTTTCCTCCCACAGGACTGACATGCTAACGGCTAGTCCAAATGCTGCAACCTCTAAAACATGATTTCATACGGAACTGCGCTGCTCTGGGCGGCTGCATGTTGGAGTAGCTCTGTTGACTATATGTAAGTTTTGCCTTTTCTTGGGCATTTTTTCTTCTAGTTTCCCAAGAAAAACTATTTTTTGGGCACTTTACTTTTCTGTTTTTTTTTTCATTTTTCATTTATTGACATTAAAATAAAAACAGAAAAAAAATACTACAAGCCAAAATGAAAAAGGGGACAGAAAGAAGAAACACTTATGTTATCTGCCCCTTTTAACTAAAATAACATTAATAATAAAAAAAAATTGAACAATATAGTTCCTGGACTGGTTGGCCCACACAATCTCAACCCATGAATCGAAGAAAAAAAAGAAGCGAAAACGAGTTACACAGAGAGAAGCATAAAGTTGTAGACCTCTATACATACATATATACATAAATGAATACATAGACTTGTTTCCTTTTTTTTCTTTTTTTCTTTCATCCCCCCCAACCCCCCTTCCCTCTCTCATTTAGGTAATGGATCTATATAGGTTAATCATTTCATTTTTTATCTCCTTTTTGAAAGTCAATATTGTTTTTGCATTCTTGATTTCAGTATTTAAAGAGGAAGTAACGTCTAAATTAACTTTTTTTTTGCTGATGAACTGTATAAATGAGTGTCTAATAGTGTTTTAAATGTGTGTATTCATTATTTTAGCATTTTGGTGCATTTTCTCTAAAAATTAAAAATTCTGCCTAAATACCACAGTATTGCGCCACCTTCAGCTTAAAACATAGAATGTGAGTCATTTTGAATAAATTTTAGCCAATGGCTAAAGAGTAAGATATCTACGTAAACCAGTAGAGTACTACGTAGCAGCTCTGTGTCAAAGTTATAAAAGCATCGAGCGTCTCGGCCACGCCTTGTGGCGAGTTGGGAGTTGGATTTGCAAGCGAGTGTAGGAGGTTAGCCGTAGTTCAGCATTAGCATATAGCATTAGCATATCCTAGTCTTTAGCGTAGCTTTTAGTGTTATACATATTTAGTGTTAGTTTGGCTGTTGGATATTGTAGTTTAGTTGGTGTTTGGCTGTTAGTGTAATTAGGAAAGTAGTTCAGGTTTAGTGCTCCATATTGTGTTAGTATGGTGAGAAGGTGCAGTGTAGTGTGGTTGCAGTGGCTCTGTGGGGTTGCACTCCTTTCCACTGGTCTTAGAAATTAGGCGCCAGTGGTTGCGCGCAATCGGTGTCTGGAAAACATTCAGCTCCCGCCTGGTGCTGTAGTTTGCAACCAGCATTTTACCCGCGATTCTGCATGTCTCCGTTTGAAGAGGGAGGCCGTGCCCACCGTGGCTCTTCCGCGATTTAGATGCAGCCCATTGTCTCTGCTCCCCCACCATGGCGGGCTCCAGTCTGAGGTGAGTAAGCTAAATAAAAGTTTTAACATCTTCTAAAGACAATTCCCTACCTAAATGCAAAGTTTGAGAGACGTGGTTCACTCCATTTAGCTAATATCAGCCTGCGCTGCCTTTGGGCAGATTTGTCAAGTTCACAAAATGTGGAACGGGATGTAAGGTTAGAATCAGCGGCGAATCGGAACATATCTCGAAGCCCTGGCCGACAAAACGGTCCACATGACTGTTACTGTCAGGCTCAGAGAAAATTCGGGTTGCTTTTGTGTCAGTCGGTAATTCTGCAACAGTGGCTCTAACTAACAGCACTAGTTGACAGACAGCATTACAGCGTGAAATCCAGCTTGTGACCTGGTTCCGTGAGGAATTCTGTTCAGGAGGTCGCATTTCATGCTCTCCACATGTGACTGAATTTTACGTTATAATAACATCACACACTAGGAATGTTATAAAGCGCCTATATAGGACAGTTTCTTTTGTATTTTATCTGACTTTATAAACTCCAACAATAAAGTGCTTCTATTTTTTTTCAGGCTAAATCAACCCAAGACACTGACTGTCAGAATGCACTTGTCCAGGCTGACGTGAAGCCTTACCCGTAGCAAAGGTGAATTATTTTAATAATCTTCTATGTAAACATTTTATTATCACCTTCTAGTTTTAATTTGTTTTACAGATTATTGTTACACGTGATTTTATGTTCTTTTAAACATTTATAAATGTGCTGTTTCTTTGTTTTTTACATAGCCAGCCAGAATAGAGCTCACAGCCGCAGTGTGTCTTGTAACACGGGGATCATGACGGAAATTAATCTTCCAGAAAGTCCCAGAGCAGCGTCCATACCCCTGAAAAGACCAAGATGTGAGGTGTCTGCTGTTGATTCCAGCTTCCACCTCAGTGACAGTGCAAGCTCAGTGAACTGTTCAAGGTAAAAAAAAAAAATTAAAACATTTCAGAATTTTTAAGATATTAACAATTAAATAAGTATGTGATTACATCATGACATCATGAAGGAGGCTACTGATTCTGGCCCTGTGACACTTGGTGGTGACGTGTGAGCTGATTCACCTGGTAAATAACTTTTACATTAAATATTTTGTTTTTGCTATCAAAAGTCAATTAACTAATAACCTGCATTATTGCAGGACACTCAGCAAAATATGGACTCTACACCATGAGGCAGGCACACGTTAATACTCTATAAGAGCACATAAGGTGAGCAACACCACATATTATTGTTATTACTGTACACTGTCCTGGATTTGTTTTCTTTCTGCATGATTTGTTTTCTTTCTGCATCTCATCATTGGCTTGGCTGATCACCTGATAACTCCTGTCATCTGGTTGTGACAGCATGAGGATGTCCTCACACACCTGTAACCTATCAGCTCATCTGGCAGAATAGAGAAGAGACAACACCACATCTCCTGTTCCTGGAAAGCCTTCAGCCATCCTTCGATGACTGAGAACCTCCATCAGCTCTGTCTCCTGTCTGCCTACAATTATTATAATAAATATTGGTTTTGACAAGTTTTTTGTGCTGCCAAATATCTCATTTTGATTCCAGTTTTGATATTTTAATGGGTATTTATAAATTACATTAATTGAATTATCACATTGTTGCATGTTTAACTAGCTCTATTGTGATGAATTAAACTAGCACCTCACTGTTAAAAGCTCATTTTAATTTCAAGCATGTTTAAGTATTTATGGACATGAACAAAAGCAGGAAATATATAAATTGAGATTTATTTAATTAATATGACAAATAAGGGGGAAAGAGTCATTGAAAGGCACATTCTTCTGGAAGCTCCTGATCCTGACGACACCAGCAGAGACCACCTGCAGACACCAGAGGATCACCTACAACCAAGAGAGCAGTTAGTATCAGTAAATAAATAATGAAATCAGGGAAGTTTTAGTGGGCTGAACACATTACAGAATAATTTTCTCATGGGGTATTTTCATAACTTTCTATGCAGCAGACTGTAACTTGAGCCCAGGGCTCCTGGAGAGCTGCTATCCAGCACGTTTCAGTGGTTTTCCTGCTTTAATGGGTTAGATTAGCTGTTAAGCAGCTCAGCTATTTGTTGCTGATTAAAACCAGGTGTGTTGAAGCAGATAAATCTCTAAAACATGCTGAATACTAGCTCTCTAGGGCCGTGGAGCCAAACCCTGCAGCTAATCTGATGCTATGGCTAACGGCTACTTACCATTCAGAGCTGGTTCTGTTGGGTCGGTTCCGGTAATTTCAGGCAACTCACAAGCTCAAAACAATAAGGCTCAGGTCCGCTTGTCTCCTCCAAATAGACTTGGTCCCTTTCTTCTCGAGTGTCTGGGTACGGAGGGGGAGAAACGTCCTCCACTTCTAATAACTGCTCAGAGTGAAGGGAGCTAGCATCGTCTAGTTAGCCATCGTCTTCGTCACTGCCGCGGCTCCGCCCTCTCGGTCCTCCAGGCAACGCCTACTAATCTTGCAGTTTTTAAAATTGATACGTGGGTGGAGTAAGACTCTGAGGGGTGCATTACCACTTCTTTAATTTATTCCACAATTTAACTCCATATATAGACACACAATGTTCCTTTATGAGTATCCGATGTCTAGGTATGTTAAATAATTCATGTCCTTTTAAATCATATTTGCCATGTCTTTTTGTAAATCTTTTGATTAATCCTACAGGTGCGTTCCTTTTGTTTGCATTATACATAAATTTAAAAATATTGTAGTACACCAGATCATAGAACTTTAGTGTTTTTAATTTTATAAATATTGGATTGGATGGAACTCTGTAGTTGCTCCTTGTGATTATTCTTATTGCTTTTTTCTGTAAGATGTAAATGGAATTTGTGTAAGTTTTATATGTTGTTCCCCAGATTTCAATGCAGTAGTTCAGGTACGGTATGATCAGTGAGTTACAGTATATAACAAATAGAAACTTTTCTGTTTCTGGTGCTGTGAGGCTTGGAGGATTTTTACAGCTATTTTTTTTAGCTTTTTCACTTTTTGAGCATTTATGATGCGTAACCATGGCAACAAGCTGGTTTACAATCGGGAGCAGCTGATTAACTCATTCACTGCCAGCCGTTTCCTGATCACTAACGGCATTCGCTGCCAGCGTTTTTCGCCGTTTTTACTGTTTTTTTTAAGAGTCACAGAACGTTGTGCGCTAGGATGATGTCAATGCCAAAACAAAGTGGAGACTCACCTCTTACATCAGGAAGAATCCGTGTGTTTCGAGCGTTATCCGTTCTTTCATAATCCGTTGTTGAATTGTGATCTGCAGACGCTTTTCCGGTTCGCGCCTCACTTTTTTTTACAGGAACGGCCCAAAACAATCTCCTAATACATGGATGGTCTGCTTCCTGATCATGTGACGTGTGACGTATGTGGATGAAGATCGGCTTCAGGGCTGAGATGTTTGTTCTCTCAGTGCGTGGGCTCTTTCTGATACTCAAACAGTAAAAAATGCAAATGACGACTAAGTCGTCATTGGCAGTGAACGGTTGGATATAAAATGACAACTTTAGTCATCAAGGGCAGTGAATGAGTTAACATTGGAAAGGCTGAAATAATACCTCAACTGAAGCCACAAATCCCAAATGAGCTAAAACGCAAGAAGCGTGGATGCAGAGCGGGAGCAAAACGGAGACAGAGAAAGAGGAATTTCAAACCATCTCTTCCATCGATCATAATGGGCTCGACACACGGGAGGCGACATCGCCTCTCCTCCATTCATTTTCAATGAGACATGAGCAACAAAGCGATAATCGCGGGTCTCCCTCCTACTAAGCGAAACGCGAAAAACGTACATGTGAAATTTTGCGCTCGTGCACGTGTCGTGCACAGTCGACCCAGCGACGCAATCCCAGAAAGTTGAAATATTTTCAACTTTTCATCGCTGTCGCTCGGACGAGGACCAATCAACGGAGGTTTCGTTCTCTGATCAATGAGCGGACAGGATGCTCCGTACATCTCCGAGCAAACATGGAGGAGAAGTTGATTATTATTATGTTTTATATAGTAAAATCAGAAGTAAGATTTCACATAACTCTAACAGCACCTTGTGAAACATATCTACCACTTTTTAAACTCTGAACTGCTTAAATAACCTTAATTCCCTCCAACCTGACACAGCCAAACAATACAACGGAAGTTTTGATTTCGCCATGGAACAGAACGCGTAGACGGCTTTGCCGCTGCCGCGGGTTGCCTCCCGTTTGTCAGGTAATAAAAGCGACAGCGACAAATTTCGCTGATCGCGGTTGTTCGTCACCTCCCGTGTGTCGAGCCCATAATGGGCAATGTGAGATCACTGGCCAACTAGATGGAGGAACTCCAAGCCCTTTCAAGGACTCAGCCAGAGTTTCGGCAGTTTCGGAACCGCTGGAGGAGATAATGCAAAGAAAGATTCTCCAGAGAATCAAGAAAATGATGGACAACCCTGAGCATTCTCTTCACAAGACTGTCCGACAACAGAAGAGTGTCTTCAGTCAGAGGCTTCTTCAGTTTCGCTGCAACACTGACCGCTACTGGAGATCCTTCCTGCCAACAGCCATTGTAATATATAATAACTCTTTGATGACTTGATTATTATTATTATTCTGAGCTACAACAGCAATCAATGTCCCTCTGGGATTAATAAAGTATTTTTGAATTGAATTGAATTGAATAAACCTTCTCTCTGCTACCAGATTCCCATCAATTGATATTAACAAGTGTGAAAATCACAATCAGGGCTGCACGGTGTTGCCTTGCAGCAAGAAGGTCTGTGGTTCAAATCCTATTCATGGAGTTTGCATGTTCTCCCCATCCATACAAGGAGGTGCTCCAGCTTCCTCCCACAGTCCAAAAGCATGACTTGATGTTAAGCTGTCCTCTCATTCTGTGTGAGTGGTTCTTTGTCCTGCGTTTCTCTGATGGACTGGCCTGTCCAGGGTGTACCCTGCCTTCTGCCTAGTGATTGGTTGAAATAGGCTCCAGCGCCCTGTGGCCCTGCAGAGATAAGCAGGTGTCAATAATGGACTGATGGAATATCAGTCAGCAGTAAAATGAAGCACTTCTGGTGCAATGTGAAATATGTGGTGGTGTAAAGGTTTTAAAGTAGTGTTTAAATGCTCTGCCATGTAAGACAACTGTGAACTGATCAGCCCCCTTTACAAACTATGTACTTGAAACGCTGCTACAATATCCTGCATTTATTAGACTGATTGGGACTGTTTCCACTTTTAGACTTGGAGCTCAGTTATTCTCCATCGTTACCTAAATGTTCCTTCTGACCAGTGAGTTTCCTTCACTAATTTCTGTTAACTGATCTGGATCCATGTTATTAAGCCAAAGGTGAGCACATCTGCAGGTGTATCCTGTAGTTTTCTGTCTCCACGTGCCCTCTGCGCAGCATGCACACATCTATTTATAGCAAGAGCTGATTAAAAGTAACAGAAGGGAGTTTAACTTGACCTGGACGACTTCAAGGCTGATTTATACTTAGTGAATAATCATTTATTAATTAGTCAGGACGCAAGCTGGTGTGAAACTTTGGTTTGGAGATTAGTTGTTAGGAACGTTTCTCCAACCAGCAGATATCTGCTGAACTTTTACACACAGTAATAAGCCTAAAAAATGACCAGAAGAATTTCTTTAATTTGTGCATTTTTGAGAATGTTGTGCTCAAATATCAGCAGGGATCCATTAAAAAAGCAACCTGGGATCTCACAACCTGTTTGACTTTCTTCACGAGCAGCAGCTCTGTATTGTTCTGTTTTGTTCCGAGTGGGTTCTTTGTTCTGCGCAGACGACCGGAACAGTTTTTCAATTTCCACTCAATTAAACCCCCCGCTGCTCCGTTTCTCCAACACTTAAAGTGTTCCGACACCTTCACAAGAAACAGGACAGGTGACAAGTTACCTGTCTGACAAGATCCACTGTGTGTGTGTGTGTGTGTGTGATGCTTATTCCAGGTGTGTTAAGTAAAATAACTAATGAGTAGTGAAAGTGAGGTAATTTGGGGTGGGGGGGTCTCTGGATGCCGCTGAAACTGGTTACAAATTTTGAGGAATGAAAGAAAAAAAGAAATAATAAAAACTGATTTTTGATTCAGCCACAGAAAAAGAATCAATAAAGGCATTTGTTCTATTATCATAAACACACACACACACACACACACACACACACACACACACACGCACGCACACACACACGCACGCACACACACGCACGCACGCACGCACGCACGCACGCACGCACGCACGCACACACACACACACACACACAGAGCGTGTGTGTGTGTTTGTGTGTATGGAAGGAATGTTTTCATCTCCAGATGGTTGACTGAGACTTGGCTGGTTTGTTCAGAGTCAGAAGAAAAAAGGAGGCAGAAGGCGTCTTTTCTACTTGAGCTCCACTCTCTCTCTCTCTCTCTCTCTCTCTCTCTCTCTCTCTCTCTCTCTCTCTCTCTCTCTCTCTCTCTCTCTCTCTCTCTCTCTCTCTCTCTCTCCTCTGTGTGTGTGTGACCTTGAAGAAGGTCACACACAGGAGTTGGGGTAGAGAAGGATGAGGAGCCCCCCTCCCTCCCTCCACCCCCGCTGTGCCTCCCCCCTGAGTAAAGAACGACTGGTTTCCCATCCTCATCCTCTCTCTCTCTCTCTCTCTCTCTTCTCCCATCCTTCTCTTCCTCTCCTCTCTTTCTAGCCAGCTTCTCTCTTCACTTTTCATCTGCCCGTTTCTGATTTTTATTTTTTTCCTCTCTTTTTGCTCTCCCTTTCTTCCCCCTCTTCCCTTCACCGTTACCCCTTCACCCCATTTCCTCTGATCTCCTCCTTCGATCCCACTCCATGGGTCTCCTTGCATCTTCTCGTAATGGCCTCCTTCCCGTCTTAAGGCTCCTTTTGACTTTGTTTTCTTGTTTTTCCTCAAACCACTCTCCATTACTCTTTTCACCCAACATCATTTAATCTCCTCTCAGCTCTTCTTTGTTTCTCCACTTTCGCCTCCATTCTTTTGTCACCTTTTATCTCATCTCTTTCCTCTCCTTTAGTTCTTTCACTCCCTTCACATTCTCTTTTGGGCCTCTTTCATCATTTTTCATTTCCCATCTCATCCTTTATTCCTCTGTCTCATCATGTCTGCTTGTTTCTTTTCCAGGGCATGTCCTCTCTTCTGTGTCATCTGCCTTCACATTGAATAACCGCCGAGCCCTCCAACACTCCCTTTCAGTGGCCAAGGTGCTCTGCATGAAAGAGAAGAATAGAAGAAGAAAACGCTCTGACTCGTTTAAAAGAAAACAGCAGAGACGCTTTGAAGGAAGCAGGAAACTGGAGAAGGTGTGACGGTGTGTGTGCAACGAGCTTCGTATTCATTGTAAAAGCGCAGCTCTTTGATTCGTTTGCAGCACTTGTATCGGTGTGCTGCAGCTAATTTTCTCTCACATGGTAGGAGTTTGTTCTGTAGCGCTTTTAGATAACACCACATGTCCTCAGGTTTGCTGCCTTGGATTTAGTGTTTTGTTTTGTCTCACAGGAAACAGACTTTAAAAGGGATGTTTCATCTCCCCGAATAACCCTTTAGTTAAAATTATGGAGGCTAACAGGAAATTTAACACAAGAGATGGTTCAGTAAGCAGCTGTCCGTTTGAGGAACCACCCTAACCCAGCCATAGGATGAGAGACGGAGGACACAAATAAAGACGTTTAACTATAAATCTAGAGATGTGCTGGTGGTCAACACAAGCTTGGGTTTAAATATCTGACTCCAGTACAGATGAAAAGCCTTCTTTTAGAGTTCTTAGGACCACAGCTTCTGCAGATGCAACAAAACTATTAATGCACTTCTGCCAGAGCCAGGAAGACACCAAACCTGATGGTTACTGTTGACTTCCTTCAGTTCTTGGTAGAACAGGACTTCCCTGCTAGTTCTGCTGCCAGACAGACCCCACTGCTACACTCTTAATGAGCAATTCTGTTTTGGCTTTAAGGGTCAGAGATCATCATTGAATAATTTGACAGGTCTTGCCTTCTTCTGCACCAAAGATAGAACTGGTTTATGCTCAAAATAAACTAACTGCTCATCTCCCTTAAAGCTGGAGTCCATAGTGGGATGTCATCAAGTTGAGGAGGAGATTGAGAAAACCGAGCAGCTACCCCCCTCCCCTTCTGGAAAGAGCTGAAAGCCACATCTCATGCCACGCATGTGTAGGGATAGCGAGTTTTGCAAAATGATTTTAAACCTATTAAAGTTTCCTTTGAGAAGCAGAAGGCGGTCGAGGATTCAGTAACTTTGGTTCTTGTTTTGGTAACTTCATTGCAAAAGCTGCCTTCTTCTTTGTTGGTGTGATGAACAGACTGAGGTGCTCACGTGTGGTGCATGCTGGGTACTGGAGTGCATTCTGGTTGATTGTCAACTCCAAATACACCCACATCACCCCGCTTCTCCTCCAGCTTCACTGGCTGCCAGTCAACTTCAGGGTTCATTTCAAGATCCTGGTTCTGGTCTATAGGGCCTTACATGGACAAGCACCATCTTACATTGGTGATCTTCTTAGTCCCTACACCCCCAGCAGGTCCTTGAGGTCCAGTGATCAAAGCCTACTGGTTGTGCAGCACTAGGCTAAAGACCAAAGGTGACGGATCATTTGCTGCTGTGGCCCCCAGACTCTGGAACTCTCTCCCCCTGAGCCTGAGATCAGTGGACTCAGTGGACTCCTTTAAAAAGCAGCTGAAGACTCACTTGTTCAAGCTGGCTTTTGTATGACCTTCTTCACCACTCTCTCTTTATTCTGCTCTCCCCACCTATTCCACCTTCCTCAGGATCCACTGATTTCCCTCTTTCCTGTTCACTCTCTCTCTTTCTTAACATTTTTTTAATTACAATTTTCTATTTTTTGCTCATTTTAATATATTTTAAAACATAATGTTTTTTTTTAAATATTTTTACATTTTTTGTTTTTGTGAAGCGCCTCGTGACTTTTATCTTGAGTGGCGCTATAGAAATGATATTTTCTTCTTCTTCTTCAACTCCCTTTTGTGGAAATGCAACTCTATTGGTGAACATTCATGTAAAAGATTTGCTGTAGTTGTCACACTCCAAGAAATGAAATGTTGAATTTTCCAAAGTTATGTCAATGATCTCAGTTCTGTCCACTAAACCTAGTTGTTTAAATGTAGAGCCTAATATACGTTTACTTTAACGTAACGTATACAAATGTGTATTACTCTTTATGTTTAAGCATGTTGACCTCTCACTCCTACACACTCGTGAGATCATACGTGTTGCACCAACTTTATGCACTCCCAGCGATCCTAGCTTGTTTCTGCTTGATGCTAAACATCTTAGCAACAGTTGATGCATCATTTAGCCTCATGTCTTCATTTTTGTTACCATCACATTCTTAAATATAGCAATGGTTTCAAAAAACGTTCAGCAGGAAAAAGTAAACGCTTGGGTTGTTAAGTTATTCAGTTAACTAACTAAAACACTCTTTGCAGGGATTTTCAGTCAGACCTTCCTTCAAGTGTGAACTGCAGGAACAGAGGAAGGTTTTACTGCGTTTCACTCACATAGAAGGAAGATGCAGGAATCTCATTTTTCTGTCTGAATCTTCTAGTTTGTATGTTTAATGTCTGGAAGACCAGCTCCTTATTTCCCTGGAGCTGAGACTAAGTGCATGAAGTGGAGGAGTGGGAGGACGTGAGCAGAAGAGGCTATTTTTACAAGACACATGATACAGATATGGAGATTGTTGGTCTTTCTTCTGCTAGACCAAGCACGGGTACGGAGAAGATGGAGTTAAACACCTTTTAAGTTGACAGAACGTGGAGACAAATGATCAGAAGTCCATTCACTGTTTCACCGCTCATGAGGGGGAGAGTCTCTGCAGCAAGTCCCGCGACCTGCTCTTGCCAGATGCTTCGGACAGACTCTCTCCGTTCTGCTGAAAACGGCTGATTTTTATTGAAGATTACAGGAATGTTACATACGTAGTTTGCCATACACACACGTAATTCTGCCATCTGCACCTGCAGACGCACGTCAGCTAATAGCCTTGTTAATGAAAGACCAATTCATCCCAAGGACATGCAACCTTGAGATGATCAGGACACATCCTGCAACATCCTTTGCTAACAAAGACAGTTGTTCTTGTATTGAGGAACTGAAGGAAGGAACGCTTTCACTCCCTTATGCAGCTGTTCAGCTTGAGCAGAAAAGGCACAGAGAGGTCTTTGATATTATAACAAGATTCCATGAAAAGGCATATAATAATGTATTTATGATAATATATAAGGGGCAAAAGTGAGAGATACATATTTAATCATATAAAAGAGCTTATAATAATATATGAAAGAGCTTATATGAGAGATATATATTTTCAATCCCCCTTTTGAACTCTTTTAAGAGTTCAATAAAGATATAAGAAATCAAAACAATAACACCAAATTCCATCAAAAAGAATCCAATAAGCAAAGTTTTTTTTTTTTTTAAAATACCAATACAAACAACCAATCAGATTACATTTACTCATCTTTCTAGCAGTAAACTAATACAAAAAACATGATCATACTTTCAACTGAACATGTTACAACATGTATGGATCGCATGCAACTCCATATGAGGGCGAAAAACCCTAATTATCATATGTTTATAGGGAAAATTCCCCCATGTCCCCCCATTTGTCATATCTCAATTTTGGGGCGAACACCTGTTGGCATAGAGTGTGCATGCCTAGGACATCAATGATCAACAAAAAATAAAACAAAACAAACAAAAAAATCATAAAAATGAACTGGTGAAGGGATGGTTACATAAATCACTGAACATTCTCACACTCTAACAACATCTTCTTCATCATGAGAGTCATCACTATCATCAGAGAGTTCCCCTCCCAAATAGATGTTAGGATTGGCTAGTAACAAGGGCATCTGGATAATTGGGTCAGCAGGTGGAGGGTGTAAAATATAACCCTTGTAAAATAAATGAGGGTGTTAAATAGAACCCTTGTAGAATGTTCATAGGGTGGTTACTTCTTCCCCCTGTTGAAGACCCTTCACTGGCTCCAGGCAGCTGCAGGGGGTGATGATGTCATGATTCTCGTCCTGCAGGATGTGGTGGCAGCTTGGCATGCTACTGCAGTCAGCTACTTCTCTTCCTGGTTTTTGGATCCTTTCTCTGGTTAGGCAGATGTCAGCTGCTTCTCTTCCAGGTTAGGCTCCTCCCGTCCAGCCGGACAGCGTGTGATGTCCTCTCCGTGATCCTGTATGGCCCGGTCCACCTCGGTTCCGTCCACTTCCTTTTGGTGACTTTTAGCAGGACCCAGACGCCTGGCACCGAAGGCGAAGTATCTTCGTGTGTGGTTTTGGTCCAATGAAGGCTTTCTCGACTTGTGCAGTCCTTGATCTCGGCAGATAGTTGGTAGGAAGGCTCACACTCCGGCCGGACCAGAAGTTCCCTGAACCGATCGCCTAGGGATTAAAGGTTATGCACAAAAATGTCCTAGCTCTTACTGACCCTAGCCTCTGATACCTTCAACATCAGACACATACAGTTACGAACAGCAAGCGCAATTAAAGGTACAGTGACATCACGACATGGACACACAGACACACACACATGCACATACACAGAGAGAGAGGGAGAGAGTAAGAATGTGTGTGGGAGAAAGAAATGTGTGGGATCCATTTTGCCACCAGCATCTCCACCTGTGTCACAGAGAAAAAATTGCAAAGAAATTAAAACATAAAGCAAACAACAATAATTCAATGAGTATAAATGATCAAACTAAAATATACAACCATGCATGGGTTTTATAACAGTTCCGGCAACACTGGAGAGGAATCCTTGTATAATGAATTCTTAAGATGTCCTTCATCAATTAGAGGTTATAGCCAAATTGTTTCAGGATCCTGAATTTGAATTTGAATTGGTTAATTTACTCAGAATAGTCCAATGTCTTTGTTGATGTTTCTCAAGGCTCGGCCATGCCCATATAGATAAAATAAGCAAACAAACAAGACAAACACAGTCAAACACACGGTCCATACACGTCTCTGTGCCCTCACACACCAAGCAAATGTCAGACTGAAGCGAAAGTGTGAAATACTTAACCTAATGCTAAATCAGTGGAAAGAAAAAATAAGACCTAAAGCGTGTAATCAAATTAATCCAACAAAACTTCCCATAACTGCCGTTCTAAACTCATGTTGCGGTGTGATCTCTCCAATTAAAAATTAGGACAACCACTTTTACTATCAATTCAACCAAATAGTTTCAGGTTGTCCCTTACCTAAACTACCTGTCTTTCTTACCTTCTTTCTTTCTTTCTTTCTTTCTTTTTTAGGAACACTACTCGCACAAGAAATCCTAAGAATTAATTCACTACTTAAGGTTAATTCATAAATAACGAAACTGCAGTTACAGGTTTGTTTGTGCATAGTATTGGTAATCAGCAGTTTTTTTTCCTTATCTCCTCATCTAGAAGTGTTTCTGTGCTACTCCTCCATCTATAACACAAGTTAGTATCATCCTTAAAGCATCTGAAATTAAGCTGCATTGCTAAATCAATAACGTGATTTGTGCTAAGAAATACTCCCCTATCCTCTTCCTTTTTCCAGTGGCACTGAATGACAGATTTTAGATCAATTTAACGTTTTATGACTATTACGTTTCATTTAATTAATTTTGCTTTTTCTCTCTTATTTTTGTCTATTTATTTATTTATGTTATTTACTTATTTATCATGCCATCCTGTGATGATAATCTTAAAGACTTTTTAGCCAATTGTCGTCAAAAAGGCCAATTAAAAATATTATGTTAAAGATTTCACAAGATAAAAAATGTGAACATAATTTTTATCGAATGAGGGGTACCTTTTATTCAATATCTTGTAACATTATTTTCTACCTCACTATTGTCTCGGATGAGATGTTCCATGAATCATTTAGTCAGCTGAATGCCAAATTATTCATTTAATGTTTATTTTTATGCAATGAATGGAATGGGATGGAACGTTACTATAAACTGTCCGGAAATTTGCGCATGTTTGCTCGAAGGAGAAAACTGTTGAAGCCTAAAGCGTTCTCCTAGACTTATAAATAGACACCGTTTCCTTAACTAATGAAGATAAGTGATGACGCCGATGAATGACTTTTTGAAAAGAAAATAAGGCTTTACTGCATGTCCGCTGCAGCTGAGAATCCTAAGACAATAAAGATTATATTGACGTCCAATGATGAGTTGGGCTGAAATCCAGGTTACTAATCCTATTATTTATTTATTTATTGATATTATTATTATCTTTTTTTTAGGCTAACTTTCTCAGTTAACTATGTTCTACAGTAGTTTAGTAAATTTTCCACAGTTCTGACATTTCATCAATTCAACTGGTTGTTGCCAAAAAGCCTTGTTCATTACCTGACTGCAGCAAGCACTCTTTTACTGGGTGTAACCATAGGAAACAGTCTCTTTTGAGCCTTTCTTTGTAAGTCCAGGATGACCACCGTCATTGATTAAAGTTCACATGTTAGCACACATGCTCCCCCTTTTGTACTTTGTTTCATCAGCAGCAGGGCAAATAAGTTTCTGCCTCTTTGTCCATCTTGTAGTGCTCCCCGTCTTTATGTTATGAGTCACAGCTTTTGGTGAGGGCTTCCAGGTTCTCTTTGGTGAGGGCTTCCAGGTTCTCTTTGTATAGAAGTCAGAGCCAAACATTCTTTGCAGCTGGTTGTGACAGGCCCACCCAGTAAAGTTCATGCCTGCCACAATGCACAGCAAACGTTTTCCTTAAATATGTTGATTGAGTTAAAATGACAGAACTTTCTCTTTTACAAATCAAAATCAACGATGGTTTCTAATATTTAGTCGACTTTATTGACTCAAAGGTAAATCTAGACTACTTCCTATGCACAATTTTTCTGAATCGTCAAGTCGGTTCTACACAGGTTTTAAACTTTAGGCACAATCTATCCCAAATGCAAGATCCCTCCTTTCATTTTTTGTTTATCTATTTTATTTTGGGAAAATAACTACCAGTTTTTAACTCAAAACAGCCTAGTACAGTTTCTAGCCAGGTTACAGGAAATAATACTTAGTTTATCTGTTTTTTCATTATTCAGCATCTCAAAATCCAGCCATTAACGTTAATGGTTCTTAAAGTTGAGGCAAGACAATTATTGGATTTTGTTTTATAGCAAGATTTAACAAATATTTTATTTCCTTACTGATTATTTGTTAATTTTATGGTTTTCATAAAGATGATCCTGAGAGGTTCAGAGCTGCTTTTCGCAGTACCCTGTGCTATTTTTAGACTGCGGGACTCCTGTGTGTAAAAGTGGGTGGAGTCAGGTCCCCAGGCTGAAACTCCAGTCATTCTCACTAAATCTGTCCGAGAGGAAGGATCTCCTGAATACCCTAACCAGAAGCCTTAAGGTACGTCCAAAACACCGAAAAATATCCTTTCTAAAGTCACAAATTGCTTAAAACTGCATGTTACACAGGAAAACTGTGAGAGCGAGGGAGTCCAGCTGACTCCACGGCCCATAATCAGACAAAATACTTCCTTTATAACCACGACCATACAACTTTTGTATTTTAAAGGATTTTCTTGTCCTCACACTAACGATAAATTCTTTTTCTATTGTTTCCACAGTCTCTCGAACTAAATAACCGTCTAGTAAAAACATGGACCGCACCCTGTTTCTCAAGCAGCTGCTCCCTCTATTAAAAACTGCGTCATTCAGAAGATCCAGCGAAAGCAGCTCATGCAAGAAGACACACATTCACTCATTCACAAGGCACAGAGACATTCTTTGTTTGTCACAGTCTCTTTTTATTATTATTATTATTTTTTTAAGGTAAGTCAGTTCGTCACTTATTTATTCTCTCTCTATATATATATAATATTTTAAGCACAGAATTTATTTAACACTGCACTGGTTATTTTCAGAATTTAATGCTTACTATGCTTTTAAGCAGGCCTTATGTAACATTAGAGCAAATCCAATTGCAATTTTTTTGAGAGCGCTCTGAGGAATAGTTTATATATTTATTTTCTGCAGATCTGTTTTGATTTTACTGTTTAGCAGCTATATGACTATATTTCTAAAATAAAGCTGTCATTTACATCCTTACTTGCGTTTCTTGGTGGTTTTTTCCCTTTTTTCATCTCCAGGTCACTTAACCCCCAGATCGGGGTCACTCACATGCTGCCCCACACACCAATGATTATCACGCTTCTACACTACATATGTATATATGTATACACATATACATACATACACACATACATATGCATATGTTACTTTAAAAACCTTTTATTTATTAACTTATGGTGTTCTGTTCAAAGACTGATCAGAACAGGGTTGCAGAATTTGAATTTTGCGTAGCTCCAAACATTAATTTTTAGCACTGCAGTGTAATTTACATATACGAGTTGCAACTTTTTAAAGCTCTTATTTATCTTATTTATTTATTTTCTGGTACCGCATCAGGCCTTCACACACACACCCAGCGCTGTACACTCACACACACACACACACGGAGCTCCCAAAACTCTGCTCTGCATTCTGCACTCTCCTAGTGCTACACTTTCAATCCAGAGCCGTAAGCAGCCTCTTGCTGCGCCTCACACACACAGGCTGAACTCAGCTTACACACACAGTGAAGCTTGTCTACAGCTGTGCCTTTTTTCTCTCGATTCTGCAGCCTTCACTTCCCAAATCTTTCTCCAGTTACCTCTACTGTTAACATCTACCCCTTTTTTCTTCATCGCCTCTTCCGCTGACTTTCTCAATAAAACCTTATTTCTCGTGGCTTCAACTGGGCTGCTTGTCATATTTAAACATTGCTCATTTTATGCAAAAACAGCCAAAAGCACGCAGAAATAGCCAAAAGCACTGCTCTCTTCACACAGAAGCAGTCAAAACATTTATCATCTTATGCAAAAACAGTTACCTCAGAACATTTTTCTCATCTCATGCAAAAGGTCCTTGACCTTAAAAATCCAGGGAGCTCTCTTTTAGCCTCCCCTTCCCTTAACACAAAAAACCAGGTCCTTGACCTTAAAATCCAGGGAGCTCTCTTTTAGCCTCCCCTTCCCTTAACACAAAAAACCAGGTCCTTGACCTGTGGACTTTTAGGGTTCCCACACCTATGGATCCAGCCAAGCTTTATATAACCTTGTTATATATTCTATCCGCTCGTCAGCAAATAGTGTGGTCAGCCACGACCTGGAAATGGAACTTTAGGGCTACTCTATTAGCCCTGGGTCACCATCCCTTCATCTGTACTATTTCCTTTTCTCATTTACTCATTAAACCATTAGAAAAATCCTCATTTCATTTCACCATTAAACCATTACAAAAAATCTCTTATTCTTTCTGCACTTGTCTCCACTTTCTTCTCCAACTATTATTTTAGGACCTCAGCTACTATGATTCTGGACACAAAGGCTTTGGATAAATCCAATGAGCAGATTTTAGATAATAGGCTCTGCTCACCTTGTTTTCCACCGCGGTGTTCTGTGCCAAGATCTGTTCGCTGGGTCGGTTGGTCAAATTGTCCTCCAAAAACTCCTTTTTCTTCAAAAAGAAAAAATCCTGTTCGTGACGCCAAATTTGTTGGTCTTTCTTCTGCTAGACCAAGCACGGGTACGGAGAAGATGGAGTTAAACACCTTTTAAGTTGACAGAACGTGGAGACAAATGATCAGAAGTCCATTCACTGTTTCACCGCTCATGAGGGGGAGAGTCTCTGCAGCAAGTCCCGCGACCTGCTCTTGCCAGATGCTTCGGACAGACTCTCTCCGTTCTGCTGAAAACGGCTGATTTTTATTGAAGATTACAGGAATGTTACATACGTAGTTTGCCATACACACACGTAATTCTGCCATCTGCACCTGCAGACGCACGTCAGCTAATAGCCTTGTTAATGAAAGACCAATTCATCCCAAGGACATGCAACCTTGAGATGATCAGGACACATCCTGCAACATCCTTTGCTAACAAAGACAGTTGTTCTTGTATTGAGGAACTGAAGGAAGGAACGCTTTCACTCCCTTATGCAGCTGTTCAGCTTGAGCAGAAAAGGCACAGAGAGGTCTTTGATATTATAACAAGATTCCATGAAAAGGCATATAATAATGTATTTATGATAATATATAAGGGGCAAAAGTGAGAGATACATATTTAATCATATAAAAGAGCTTATAATAATATATGAAAGAGCTTATATGAGAGATATATATTTTCAAGATGAAACATCTATATGCTACCTAAGGACCTTGTCTTTACTCCCAGCCAGCTTCGACAACCTTTTCTCTTGTTTCTGCTCTGTGGTTTCGGTGGAGGCTGGAGAGAGGGAGCCTGCTGAGATGAATGAGACTAATAATCCCGCTGTCAGGAGAAAGAGAAGTGGGGACGGTCGTGATGGTGTAAACACCAGAGTGAAAGCTTGCAGGTCTATGGCTCTATTTTTACGGCAGCACAAGGGGAGATGGAGGGGGAGGAGAAAATAGGATGCGAAGTAGCATGAAAATGTGAGTTCTGCATTATTCATGGACTCGGTGGAGGAGGATGGACAGCGGCTGAGAGACATCTCCCAAGCTCCACGTACGTGCTTGCACTTTTACGTAAATGCTCGTTGGAATATTAAAACCCATTCTCAGTAACTTTAGGAAACAACATGAGATGTAATAATTATACATATTTATTAGACTTCATGCTCTTAGTGCAGCTTGCTGTTATAGTCTTGTGTTAAATCCAGCCTGGTCTCACTCACAGCATTTTTATTGAGCAGGTCAATTAATTAAACTCGGTGTAAACTCGTTGTAACTGAACGTTTCTGTCATGGTCTGCGTGCTGCGTCCCCTTCATGTGTTCTCCAGACCCCCTCTAGGTTCCCCTTATGTGTCTCCTTGTGTTCCCCAACCCCTCCATGTGTCCCTCTAGCATTCCCCTCATGTGCACCCAAGCTTCCTGTGCCCCTTTTGGTCCCCAGCTCCCTCCTGGTCTCCCTCAGGTCTCCCCTAGTCACCCCTCTGTAGTTTTTCTATAGGTTCAGCTTTTCATTTTGTTACAATAATAATAATAATAATAATAATAATAATAATAATAAATTTTATTTAAAAGCGCCTTCCAGAACACCCAAGGTCACTTGACAAAAATACGTTCAGAAAACACATTAAAACCACAATAAAACGCAAAAAAAACAAAAAACAAAAAAAAAAAACAAAGAGAGAAACAGTTCAATAAAATCAGAGGTCATGGGCAGATTTAAACGTGTGTTTTGAGTCTTGTTTTGAAAAGGGTGAAACTGTCGATGTTCCTGATGTCTGGGGCGAGTGAGTTCCAGAGACGGGGAGTAGAGCGGCTGAAAGCCAATTGATGTTTGTGTCAGCGTTGTCTCACCCCCCCTCGCCCGGTCTCTTGGTATTAGGAAATCTCTAGGTCTCTTGGTTTTTGGATATCTCCAGGTCTGAACTTTAACGGAGCACTTGGTCTCTAAGTCTCTAGGAATTACGCATTAGGATTTTGGATTTATGTTTTTGGCTCCCCGCCCTTTTTGGAGTTTTACTTTGGACGTTTATCCCTAATAAAGGACTTTACTTCTTTCTACAACTCCTGCCTCGTGTCATCCTGGTTACTGCTTCTTGGGTCCTAACCTCCTCCTGGCTCACATCGTGACAGTTGCAAGGTAAACTATGGTAATTTATGCATCCAAGCCAATTTGTTAACCTCAGAAACCATCTAGTGAGACAGAAACTCACTCACTTTATGTTCCTATTCAATCCTGTTGGAGCCTAATTCAACAGTAAACAATTATTAAGACTTAACGCACACACAACCCCTCACTTGACTGGAGTTTAGAATGTCTAAACAATCTAACTTGGGTGTGTTTGGACTGAATGAGGTAAAATAAGGTACCTATGAACACATCGATGAAGGAAGACATGCAGACAGCACACAGGAACTGAGATTAGACCTGATGATGAACTATCCGTGAGGAAACAGCACCATTATAAGAGGAACCATATAATAAAATCTGTTCAGCTGATGCAATAGTGGATGCATAGCCCCACCCACCCCTACCTCCTGCTGCAGCCCTTATCAAACGGTTACAATGATTTTACAGCAAACGTTACGGTTAAGGTATAAAAGCACACGACCCAGAGGACAAATATATGAGCTGAGCTGAAATCTAAAGACTAAGCCTTTGTCTCGTTTTATGATGATGTCACACATGATCATACACTCTCGTGCAACCTGTGTATCCATGAATGTGTGTTATAAAGGACTCCCAGCCATTTTTGTGTTTACTAGTTAGGGGATAATGAATACAACCAAACACCAACAAAACAGAAAAGTGTAAAATATGAGAGTGGCTGATAACTGGAATAACACCGAGGCTTTATCTGAAAGGTCGTAACATAAAACACAAAACACTTCCTCTGTCACTGTTCAGCAGCGTTAAACAATATGTCAGCAACCCTGGTAGGTTCTCTACAGCAACAACAAATCCTGTAATGTCATGAAAATGGGAGAATCGAGGCTGTGTGTGTGTGTGTGTGTGTGTGTGTGTGTGTGTGTGTGTGTGTGTTCCCTCAACAATACATTACTAGAAGCTGTCAGATCAACATCAGGCCTTGCCTGTCATATTAAGGTTGTTCCAGCAGCAGCACCCTATCCAGCAGCTGAACAGCTGCGGATAGATTACAAACTCTCTCTGTTTATCTCTCCTCTATCTCCTCTTCAGTCTCGGCCTCTCCGTCTTCTGTGAGTCTGCAGGACGCTCCTGCTCTGTCTGTTCTGGCCCTGGGGTCAGACGGAGGAGAGCTGAGAGGAGCCAAGATGCTACGAGGCAGGTGGCGCTTTGGCAAAAAATGAAAACCATGACTGTGTCTGAAGAAGAACCAGCAGGAGTCTTTGATGAGGAACGTGACAGGGTGCAAAGGTAACATTTTGAAACTATATTTTACTGGTTTATTACCACTTATAAAATTAAGAAACAGCCTCATTAAGTTACAGATTAATGACCCACTTACCCTGTGCCAGACACAGACTGCTCAGTGTTCCAGGTACAGCGGTCCACACCCACAGGAAAGGTGAAAAACTGTAAATCAAACACCAAAACAC